ACATTTGACTTTAATTTTTCTTTGATTAGAATAAAACTTCTATCTACTATATTTGTCCACTAAAAGTTTTATCTTTTCATGCACTTAGTGATGGGAACCACAATTGAACTAAAATTTTGAATAAATTTTCTATAAAAGGATGCTAAGTCATGAAAACTACGAATATCATGTATATTTTTTAGAATTAGTCAATCTCTAGTAACTTCAATCTTTTCTTCATTCACTTTGATGCCTTTTGTACCTAGAATGTCTTAGAAAAACTAAACTTAAAATAAGAAATTTATATTTCTTCAAATTTATAAATAACTCATTATATTTTAAAATAGTCAATACAAATCTCAAATGATGATGATATTCTTCCTTTGTGATACTATATATCAAATATCATCAAACAACATATTTTTCAATGAAAAGCTTAAGTACATGATTCATCATTCGCATAAAAGTACTTGGGAAATTAGATAAGCCAAATGGTATAACCAACCATTCATATAATCATGCTTTCGTCTTGAAAGCGATCTTCCATTCATTACTCAGACAAATTTTAATTTGATGATACCTACTTTTAATATCAATTTTTGGAGAAGATTTTAGATAGAATGTCAAGCATATCATCAAGTCTTAAAATTGAAAATCTATATTTCACTATGATTTTGTTAGTTACTTGAATATCTACACACATTCTCCAGGTTTTATCTTTTTTTGAAACTAATAATACAAGTATTGAACATGGGCTCATACTTTTATGAATTAATTCTTTTTCTAGTACCTCTTCAACTTGTTCTTATAGAATCTTATTCTCCTCATAACTCATTTTGTAATGAGGTAAATTTGGCAAACTTGCTCTAGGAATCAAATCTATATGATGTTGTATGTCCTTGAGCAAAGTTAAATGTATAGGAAAATCTTGTGTGATAGAAAATTCATTTAACATATTTTATGCTACCTCAAGTATAACATCAGAATAATTTAAAGAAATATTATCTTTTTTAACCAGCATAAATACTCCATAATTTTCTTTCAAAGTATTAAAAAGTTCATTTTTTTCATCATCATAACTTGCTTCTTTTATTTAACTATGCTGAAAAACTCATTTTCTTTTATTGGACGTAAAATAAACTTCTCGCTATTTTTGTAAAAAACATAATGATTATCTTTGCCCAAGTGAGTTGCATCTAAATCATATTGTCATGGTCTACCCAAAATTAAATCACAGACATCCATCTCAATAACATCATAGTAAACTTCATCAAAATAATTTTTTTCCATTGAGAACTTAACTGTACGTCTCTGTAATTTTGATTTCATAATCCTTCTTTATCCGCCTAATTTTATGTGGATGTAGATGTTTTTTAGTTTTCAACCCTAATTTCTGTACCATTGAATAAGAAATATTTTCACTACTATTAGAATCAATAATCACATCACATCTTCTCATCAACAATACATTTTGTTCTAAAAATATTATAATGATGGGGAGGTTCTTCCTTCTTTGGTGCATACATCAAGCCTTTGAATGACTAGAGAGTGACCAAAGTCCTCTTTTTCTTCATCTTCAATAACATTCTCTTGAATTTCTTCATGATCTTCTTCACCCTCAATCTCATCTTCATCTATAACTTTTAAGAAATTCATAGCACCACATTTTGGACAAGTATTTGACTTGTGACCTTCTTCATTACATCTATAATATTTTGGAACAAAGAAGAATTTAGATCATTAGGAATAGATCCACTTAGATTTGGTGCAACTGAGGTTGCTGATCTTTCATTACTAGTAGCAAATAAAATATGTGTTAGTTTTGTTTGACTGAAATATTAACACATTAGTAGAATTTTGAGTTTTGATTTTTCTTTTCTCTAGTAAAGCTTCAACACATTCTGATGTCATAACAACATCATTTAATTTGAAAAATAATTGCAAAGCCATCTTTTCTTTAATATCTCATCGAAATTCACTTTTAAACCTAGATATCATATAAGATTCATATTCGGTCAAATTGACTCTTGAAGAAAGTTTGTAAAATTTCTCAACATATTATGTGACAGATCTACTTTCCTATTTACAACTTTGATATTGGTAATATAAAATATGTTTATAATCAAGAGGAAGAAATCTAGATTTTAATAATTTCTTCATCTTATCTCAACTTTGAATTTTATCTTTTTATAATCTTGCACAAGTGGATTGTAGTTGATCCCACCATGCTGAGGCCCCACTGAGTCAACCAATTTCATATATTTCTCATTAGAAATCTTCATATATTCAAACAATCTCTTAACTTCAGAAATCCAATCTAAAAATTCTTCTATTTTCAAATGTTCAATAAAACTAGATAAATCAATTTTCATTCAAAAATCTCTATAATTATCATAATCTAATCTACTTTTTGAGCTTCCTATATCATTTGATAAGTTTTTCTTTAAAGGATTATAAAAATTATTTTATCTTTGACCAATTTGACCACAAGATTGACATTTCACTATTGAGATTTGTGCTAAGATTTGCTTCAAAATGTCATTTAAAGCTTCCCATTTTTGTTCCATATGTCTTGAAATCAACAAACTCTGATTTTGAAATGGGACATACCTCATAAGTTTCATTGTTGTTGATGTGAATCATTTTACCTCATGATATCTTATAAATCTAAATTTGGAACGCTGACCTTGCTCTCATACCACTTGACGTAGTGAAATGTGAGAAGGGAATGGCTTGAATGAGTTGTGATCAAATCTAGTGTTGTGGGGGTCGAAGTCACATCTTAAATCTTTGAAAAATATGTTACAATAGTTGTCCCTTTGCTCTGAATCCACAAGTTGAAGAGGACATGTCCCTTGAGTTCACAAGGGGGTGATTTTAAATCCATTGAGTCAAGAATAAGGTTTCTTGAGTCCACAAGGGTGTTGGAGTCTACTAGTAGAGGACTTCAAGCTGCAATAGTAATGAACTTTTAAGTACATCAATAGTGGGCTTCAGGCTTCTTTAGTGTTGGGCTACATCACGAGCCCACATCAATGTTTCTTTGGCTTCGTCAATGAGTTATTGTCACTGTTTCACAAATCGATATATTGTCAGCAAGTACTATATATCATATTGTTTCACTAATTCTAGGGGTGTGAAAGGTTGCCACCCAATGACCAATTTAAAAATGAATATCTAGTTGAAGAGCTCTATGTATGTTGTGGGTGAACTAAGTGATGTTAACTCCACTCAATTGTCTTTTATGACAAACACACGGTGCTACAAGTATTCTTTGAGCATGTCATATGTCTTCTTAGTCTGTTTATCTATTTGAGGATGAAATAATGTGGAGAGGTTTAGTTTAGTGTCAAGTAGGGTGAAGAGAGCTGACCAAAAAAGTGTCATGAATCATGTGTACAATATAAGATAATGATGCATGAGATGCCCCATATCTTCACAATGTGTGTTCGAAAAAATTTGACCACTTCCTTTGCCTTACAATCCGATCATGTGGCAATAAACATGAAGTATTCGAGAAGTGATCTACCACCATGAGAATTACATCGTGGTTGTCCACCTTGGGTAGTCTAGTGATGAAATATGTTGGCAATGACTTCTAAGGTTGCTCAGGTTTAAGTAGTAATAGCAACATTCCCACATCTTTTGTCATTTACTCTGTCTTTTCCTATTGACATATAAGACATGGGTAAACATAAGTTTTCACATCCCTCTTCATGTGAGGCCAAAAATAGATGTTGGTCATAAGTGACTCTAAATGCTTCGCCTATAATGCATCATAGACCTCTTACAGAAAGTGGTATTGTAGTCCTCCTCCATGGCACATATGGTTACAACCATCGACATATAACACTTCATCCTCCACCCAAAAGCATTATGTTTCACCCACCTCTACTTGCTATATGAAGTGATTTGTCATTGCATCCATCATGTAAGCTACTTGGATCTCATCCATCAGGTCATGGTGTGTGCTGATACCATTGTGAGGTTCGCCAACATCCCCTTGTGATTCAAAATATCTACAACAACATTGAAATGGACTGATTTATACTAGAGGGAGAAGTCATATTCAACCAAAATGTCTTACCATCACATTTATTTAGGTGAAAGCTTCTTATATGAGTTGATGTAACTAGTTGTCATGTTGTTGTGAAGAACACGAATGTACTCACTAGTAGATAATGACTCCACACGATTAAACAATGTACAATTGTAGTCATTTCTTTCTCATAGATAGAAAATCTCTATTATGTCTCATTCAACTTACAACTCTCAAAGGTTACCTAATGTCCTTGTTGCAGGAGGACTCTAATGGCTACCTTGGAAGCATTTGTATGAACTACGAAAGCTTTCAAAAAGTTAGGTCACTCTTGAATGGGTTATTTAGTGATGGTGCCCCATACTCGTCTTGAGGAAGTGAACAGCCGATGGAGCTGAAGTCACGAACATAATGTCGTCAAGTGATTAGACATTTGTCATCACCTAATGAACTCTGACCCAAGAAGGAAGAACTGTAGGAGGCAGTGGTTCTTGAAACCACTAGTAAAATCTCCCCACATACATATTTATCATAAATATTAAATGTATCATATTTGTATCATTGTATATTTAAATCATTTTAAAACCTATTTATCATGCATTGGCCGTTGCCAATTCTAGTTGTGGGCCCAGAAGAGTACGTTAAGGGGCTTTTATCGTGACATGCTGACGTAAAGTCTTCCACGTGGCAATAAGATGAAGGGGGAGCCACGTGGAAGCATCCCCAGAGTCTGTATCCTTCGCATACGTGCCACGTGTACCTTGCTGTGGAACTTCCTCTTGTAAAATATACATTCACAAAGACCACCATATACAATGCGACGGTGATTTATATAATGTATATAACGTATAAAATCTTTCTCCGGGTGTCTATGATCGCATCTGCCTCCGCTTTCTCTCTCCTGGACTTGTTCTCGATCCAGCGTGCAGGGCGACGTTCCAATCTCTCTCTAGCATGAGAATGATGGTGATGATGGTGCTGCTCAGGAATTCGAGGACCAATCAAAGTCCTGGTAGAGTATATGAACGGGGCCTCCGTCCCTCTGGAGGTGAGTCAGAAGGCCGGCCTTGGTAGAGTCCAAGTAGGAGATGACCCACTTCAGTATCTCCTTCTCGTCCCCAAAGTCAGCGCTGTACCTGTTGACCGCCATGAGAGGGAAGAGTCCTGACGGGTTCCTTGGGGTTGGTGGGGCGGGGGAGGGAGGGAGGAAGGGAGGGAGGAGATTGATTCGGGTAAAAAAGTCAAAGCTTACCACTTGACGATCCTGGTGAGGCGGACAGTCCTCTTGTCCAAGTCCACCTCCAGGCCGCCGCGATGGAAGAACTCCCTGGCCGCGTTCCTCAGCTCCATCTCGGTTCCTTGCCCGGAGAAGAATCTGACCGTCGGGCTGGAGCGGGTCCCGTTGCACAGCCCGAAATGGATCAGCGGGTTGACCTTCGGGAGCATCAGCTGGAAACACATTTGTTTGATGAGGAGAGTCGGATCGTCATCTTCTCAAAAGACATTTTCTCTCTCGGTCAACGATAGGAGAGAAGGGAGGGAGTAGTGGGGCACCTGAAGGCGCTTGTCTTCGGCATTGAAGGGCTTCACTAGGGAGTAAGGTTGCCTCCTGTTTGACCTGAGGATGCCGTTCTTGATGACGGTAAGGGAGTAGGGAAAGCCGCCGACCATGTAGTAGAAGTCCCCGAAGAAGGCCCTCCTGTCGATCACCCCCTCTGGCCTCCCAAGCTTTATGACGGCGTGGATGACCATGGCATTGTACAGGTTCAGGAAGAAGGCCATTGACTCGTCCACGGATAACACGGAGAGGTCAACGCGCTGGAGATCTTCCACCAGGTTCACGTATCTGTTTTGAGATCATTCCCCCAGTCAACACAGAGAAAAAAAAAATCCCCAGTCAACTCAGAGTTTATACAGATGAAGATGGGAAATACCTCCTGAACTCTTCGCTAGCGCTGATCCGGCCGTAGTCCAGATAGCGTCGGTCGTCGGAGGCGTAGGCCTCCAGTATCGCCCACATGAGCTTGGTGAGGTGCCGCCCAACGGCTACCGCTGACTTCGGCTCGCTATCCCTCGTTGACGCCCTGAAATTGAAGCACCGAAGTATGACGGGGTCGTGCTCCAGGAGCCGGTAGAGGTGGTGCCCGTCCTCAAATTCCTTCTCACTGTTCATAACGAAGGAGCATCGTTAAGTCAACGTCCTCGAACAGAGAGGGGGAGGTACCAGTGAGCTTATGAGGACTCACCGGGAAATATGGTGGATGAAGTGCTTCCGGCAGAGCTCCTTCCCGATGTCCACCGCCTGAAATCAGGAGAACAGAAAGTCAAACCCGAACCGACAACAGTACATACCAGAGCCAAATAGAAAGCCACCATTGGACCGATAAGATGGCGAGTGTGAAATTGGCGGCGGCCGTCGTCACCGCGGTCACAGTCCGACTCGCAGATAACAGATAAAACACGGCAACCGGGTTGAAGATTTTAACAAAGTCAACTGTTTTCAGACATCTTCTTCTCTGTTTCCGTCAGAACAGGGGAACCGGTTCATCACTTCTAGAGCGACAAGTTGTAGCCTCTATTGATGTCGCCGAAGGGACCGTGCCGTGTCCACGACTCCTTCGACACGTGCAACCTCAAAAATAGAAGGGGCCGAGCCTCCTGAGGCACGTGATGACGATCGTGGGCCAGGAGCATGACCAGGGATATTCAAAGTGGGCCGATATTAGGCGAGTGTGGGCCAGGTTTCGGGATACGAAAGGGCCATGCGTGAAAACCGGCGGGTGATGTGGGGCCCGCTTAAATGATGTACGGCCTTGATTCGTGGGAAGAACGGGGAAACCGCCGGATCATGCGTTCCACGATTAAGGAATGATCGGATCGAGAGAAGGAAAATACGGGAAGTTGATTAAGGGCTGGGATTTTCCCCTTTGGAGGGGAGAGATTGAATCGTGCGGTGAAGATTTAGAGAGAGAAGTAAGGGGGTGGGGGGGATGGTGGTGGGGTTCGTCTGGGGCGTACCCTTTTCCGGCCGCAGTCGAGGTGATTGATGACGGTCTCCACCAGATCGCCGCCGGAGAAGCAATTCTTGACGAGCTTCATCTTGCTCAAGCGATCCTGGATCGGAAGCCGGTGGCGGAGGACCTTAACGATGCCGATCATGGCGTCTTGGCGATCCTTCTCTTCTTCTTCTTCGTCGGCGTCGTCGAAGCCGTAGAGCGGCACACGAGGGGCGGTCTCGGGGCACTTCCAACCGGCCATGTCCCTGAGCCTCCGGTCGAACTCTCCGCTGTTGCGGAGAGAGTTGAGAGCCACCAGGCCTCCGACGAGCTTCTCGTTGAAGAAGATCTGCGGCACGGAGGCGCTCCCCGTGCGCTCGATCAGCTCCTTCTTCCTCGCCGGAAACACGTCGATGTTGATCTCCACGAAGGGGAGCGCCTTCTCCCGGAAGAAGGAGCGGACGGCCGTGCAGTCACGGCAGTTGGATCGGGAGAAGAAGCTGATCCGACCGACGATCTTCGGGTCCCGCGCGTCCTCCTCCGTTTCTTTGGGACGGACGGTCACCTTGAGACCGGAGAGGTGGAACTCGGAGACGGAGTCGGATTCCTTGAGAGAAGAGATGCTCTTCGCGAGCGCTGCCGAGAGAACGCTTCCCCTGTTTCTGAGGTACTTCCCGATGGCGGATCCGCCGCCGGAGCCATCGGAGAGAGACCGCTCCATGGGGCGGAAGAGCTCCCCACTCCTGGACATGATTGTACTGATCCCCAGGGGCTTCTCCGGCTGGGGAAGGTGCGCCGGAGGACAGAGGAGCTTCTCCTCGGGGTGAATCATGCTCTCCACGCCGGAGCTATCAGACTCTCCACTCCACGACGCCGGCGTACCGCCGTCGGAATCCTCTTCCCTGGAGATCTCGTCGCTCCCCCACGACACCTCTCCGGCGACCTTCAAGCCATCGTCGCTGGGATCTTCCTCCTCCGCGCCACCTTCCGCCGGAGAATCCGCCGGAGGGAGCTTGCCGTGCTCGTCGTTCGCCGGGGGGACTGGGACGGGAACAACCTCGCGATCCCCCTCCTTTCCCGAGCTTACCATCCCTCGATCACTCCCGTATGACCCGGGACAGGACCAGAGAACGGCCCAGAGAAGACGAAGGGGAGAGAGAGAGCGAGAGAGAGAGAGAGAGAGAGAGAGAGAGAGAGGGGCAGGAGGCGTTTTGTTTCCTGGAGAGAGAGGAAGGGGGTTTGGGGGTCTTAACAAGGGCATGAGAGAGATCCGAGGGGTGACGTAAAACACGTGGGAGAAAAATGACGGAATTATTCCCCACAAGAGAGAGTATTTCATCGGAACGGATCGGTCAACCCGGACGCACGAATATTTGCCGCCAATGGGCTTGACCCCGCCCTCTCCGCGTGCTTACGCGGTCCACGACTCACGGCTTCGTCTGTCAACGTGTTGACGCCCACCGAGGATAGGGAGAGGAACTTGCCACGTGGCAGACAGAGACGATCAGATCTCTCCTGCGGACAGAGGGACCGAATGGGCTCGTCGGTAATCTGACAGCCGGTGCGCGAGAGCAGCGGCGCATGCAGTGGACGTCGGCATAAGAAGAGTCACACGTGGTGGGCGGAGAAGCACAGGCGGAAGCTCACCGGCCCCTGGAAACCGAACAACGGACCAACTGTTGGACCAATCCAACTACCTCCAGGGTCCCACTTGAGCTCCGCGTGACACATTCTCTCGAACTTTCCTGATTCGCATCCACGGACGTATGTGCGGTCCACCATAATGGGCCGTGAACAAATATGGGCCGAAAAGCCCAGCCCACTTACACGTGACGGCAGCAATTATACACATTCTAATATAAAAAACCTATTGGAACCCCGGTCCACAGAGAGTCCTTCAAAGAGGGGCCCCACAAAGCATCAGCACACATACACACTCGGGAGGAGCTGCCGGCCGCCTTCAGACAGACCAGCTCCTACTCACCTGGTGAGAGTGAGTAAGAGAGAGAGAGAGAAGAGAGAGAGTTTTATGGGGAGGGGGGTTGAGCAAACTCGTGTGGCCTCAGGTGGCTAGAGAGAGAAGTACCGCTCCAAGCTCGCAGAGGAGAAGATGTTGGTAGGGGCGGTGCTCAAAGCCGCAGCCGGCCCAATTTGAAGCTGGAATCTGATGAACCGCTGCAGACGGCCGGGAGGTCTTAGTGAGGAAAATCAACGCACCTGATGCGATCATAGAGAGAGAGAGTGAGGGAGGGGGCTCACAGAGAGATTGTGGATGACAGCAGGGTTCGTGTCGATGTGCCAGTCGGGTTCCAGCTGTCTGACGAAAGAGGACCTTCCATTCTCAGTGCCACAGAAGAGGACCTGGAATCGGAAGTCAAGGAGACGGCCGGGAAAGCACTTGGTCATATTTTTAGGTCAACGGGAGACTAATCCTCACGAGATAAACAAGAGGATTTGAATCAGGGAATGCCCAGCAAAATAGCTGGTTTTCTTTATCTACATTATAAGGAAAAAAAGCTGAAAGATAATACAAAAAAACATAATCTACGTTATATATACATTTTCTATGTAGAAATATATATATATATATATAAGCAGGCCCTTTGGAGATAAGCTGCACGGCCCAGTCAACGAATTTATTCATAATAAGACTTAAATTTATGCGTTCAGCATCATCAAATTGTAAATAGCTAAAAAAGCTCGTCTCCGCATTCTAAGGAGACTAAATCTCATAAAACTACTCATAAATAGAAATTGACGATGAGATAATCATGCACACAAAAAGATTGACATGACAGACTGAGAAGAACATATACGAGAGTGATAATTTTTTTCTGGTCAACCTTCGACTCACCTTCTCTTTTATCAACAGGCCAGAGTCGAACAAGCCGGCGCCCTTCAATGCTGCAAGGGCTCTCTCCTGTGGCATAAAACACCTGCTATTAGCTTCTATTTCCAGTATACTGAAGCTTTATAGCCAGTCGCTGTCAGTATCTGATCATGAGATCAGATAGATTCAAAATGCCTTTTCTGGGAAATGAATGAATTTAATAACCCGTTGCATGTACAGAGCAAGGGGAGCAGACCCACAAGAGGGACTATGTTGGAGAAAAAATGTAAAAATAAAATAAAATTCACGAGATATAACATAGTTACAGTTTAAGTAACATTAGAGAATATTTATCTTAATGAAGGTATAAATAGATGAGCAGTGATCACCTCGCTTTCATCATCATTAACGGTTTCCATCAGATAAACATCGCAGGATCTAGCTATTTCAAGTAAAACTTCCTTCACAGAGTGTCTCACAGTGGCATGCATCTGCAGGAGGTTTACATCATCAGACTCCTGCCCAAGACGAGCCTTAAAAGATCAGAGATATTACTGAAAAAACCTGAAGCTCGTCGGGAGTTGTCTCCTCTAGAACCACACCAAGAAGTTGGCAAGTGACCTGCGTTACGAAATCCAATGATCAGGTAGGGATCTTAAATGTCTGTAGCTTTGATATCCAGATATGTCGTTCCATCTCATGTGATGCATGCGTTATTCTCTAAAGAGCATGTGCTGCTACAAAAAATTAATAGCCATCTTGCATCAACCAATGCCATTTAACCCCCCCCCCCCCCCCCAAAAAAAAAAAAAGAAACCAATTATGGAACAGAAGTATGATCGATCAAACAGGCTAAGAACACACTTTTTGTCAGTGAGTCTAATGATTTTTCCGGAGGTAGGGGTTGGGTGGTCATCTCCAAAGCTAGTCAAGACCATCCAAGTTAACACCAATGGCATGATCTCCGTGTGCATACAGCAATGCCAATCACGTATCAATCTTCACCATGCGGATTGATTGTAGTAGATGATGTGCCACATTCAAGAATCACGAAATTCCGTGCATAAGAAGTTCTCGTGTCTAAATAAGCATCCAATCACTATGGGTGTGTATCACTGGAAATTGTGCTGCAAAGAGAGAGGAATGTACACGGAGAATTATTTGTCAAGAATAAAGATAGGGCAAATAAAATGGAGAATATTTCTCGCATTAACAGAAATCTAGGTTAAGATGGTTATAAGAGCTGCTTAGCACATAGAAAAATGTTGTCCGTGAAGAAATCACCTGAGGCAAAGATAAGAATTATAGAGTGAAGGGTGGACTATAGAAAATATATATTGAATGCATGTGGCAGTGGCACCTGTCGGAAATAAGATAAAAGAGAACTATTCAAGGTAGGTTCCTCCATGCGCATCGTAGAAAAAAAAAATGGAATCAAGCCAGAAGAGAGATAACTGATCGATTTGGTGCAATACATGAAGGAACCTGTTTATAAAATAAGCAGGAGAGGGAAAGCATCACAAGAAAGAAATTGATGGAGAAGAGAAAAGAAGTTGGTCCCACAGATCAGTTCAGTTCCCATCCTCTTCAGCTCCTAGAATTCTCGATTTTTTATGGGGTATTTCTCTTCACTTTACAGTTATTCTTTGCTTTCTATTGTCATTCGTACAAGGATTTCGATTAAATGATATTTTCTTTACAAATTTCTCCTATGATGATAGTTCCTCAGACAAATATTGCAATCCAAACACGACACTCTCCCGTCCCTTGTTGTCCAGGCTGTCTAGGCTCTTTTCAGAGTAAAACTGGTTAAGACTGTACTCTGGATGCATGCGCTTAAACAGTGCAACTGAGCAGGTAACTTTCCTACAGGGAAAGAATTTTCGTGGGATTCTTCTAGACCTGATTCTGAATCAGGTACTGAAAACGCATCAAACAAGCCAGCCAAGCTGACAGTCGGAGCTTCTAATATACAATGAGAGCTGCTAACGCACCGTGAATCAGCAAACAGGCCTAAGAGAAGGGCTGCTGGCATGAAGACTATAAAGAGGCCCATCGAAAAAAAATTCGAGAGATGAATGGGTTCAGAAAAAATGTTGAATTTATCCATAGTGTCATGTATTAACCCATGGAAGAAAGGAAAATGAAAGAACGGAACCTTTAATGCACAAGCTAAGCCAAGATAGCGGATGCGCAGAGGCTTTATCCATAAAAGTCAGCCGAAAAGCTGATAAAAAATTAGACATTAAGTTCCCTGAAGTATATAATTTCTCAGAATTTAGCTTTCACTATCAATCCAATAATTAACAAGGAAATGAGGTAAAATAAGTCTAAAATACTCACTATCATGCAGTTTCACCATCCATTTAGTATCCCGTGTTGCTTTCATCCATATTACTTTGGATAAATAAAAAAATGATTCTCTACATAAACGGCTATCTTTCCAATTTCCAGGTGTGACAATCAGTGACTACTCAAAATCAGCATAATTACTGAAGAAGAGGCTCGCAGATACAGTCTGATGTAAACAGATGCGGATGAATTGATTCATTCTGACTTACGTATGTTCGTTAAATAAGAGAAATCTGAGGCTTTCAGTGATGAATTACTAAGGAGAATCAATTCCAACCTCACCTCACTCTCCTTCATATTATTTCTGAATTAGAGTTCTCACGGATCCAGCAGGTTGCGTGGCTTCAGGCCTAGTAATTGGTTACAGGCCACGGGTCACCATTGGGTGGGTTAACTACTTCAAGATAGATGGGAGACTACGACTGCAAGTGAAGGCTCCACAGTCACTCGGAGAGGAAGAAGTTTGCACAGTAAAGAGGACGACGTAAGGGGGATCCACAGGAGCTCGGACAGCTCAGACAGAGATTAGGCACACAGCTTTCATCTGCCCGCCAAGGTCATAAGGTTGTCTTTGAAGGAAGGCCACAGTGGCCTGGGAGGCACATTTAAAATGGAAGATAAGTAGGAAAGGAAGGAAGTAGAATCAATGGCAGCTTTTGGAGAAGTAATGGAAAGCCCATTGCATGTTGTGTGATTGACAACCCCCCATTAGAGAGGCTGTGATGTAAATGCCTTCAATCATATGTCCTCAACGATGCCATAAATCTTTGACTAAAGGCAGCGAGAAAACGTGGATGCATACCTTTCTACCACCATTTAGTTTCTTCCTCACCATCTGCCCAAGTGTGAGCTGTAGCAAAATCGTGACCAACAACACGAATTCAAAATGTTGTTCTGGCATCGACCGATGAAATAAGAGAAAAAAAAATTCATAAACGTAAATATGGATTGATAATTCTCACCTCAACCGGGAGATCCTTGGAATCTACTGCGTGGAGGTCCGTTAAGCTTAGCTGGGATGAGTGAACCTCGGAATCTGGAGCAGCTTCCCTTGCTACGTTAACGCCGCTGCTTGTGGCCCCAGGATTTGTCCGCTTAGGCCGATTCCTCCCGGACCTGCCGGTCGGCGATCTCAAGAACTTCCAAGTAAAAACTATCGCAATGGCGAACCCAGCTAATGCCCCAAGTGATCCAGCACCCTGAATGTCCAACCAACACCAAAACAAAAAAAAAAGATAAGGCAGTCGGCGGAAAAGCCTACTACAAATCTATCAGACGCTGCCTTCCAAGGAACAATTTGCCATCTCACTTCGAAATCCCTTCAGATAAATAAAAATTCACTTGCATACGACGAGGGGTTTCGAAGAGGAGCTAATCGAGACGCCACGGATTAGCGGCAGAAAAAATTCAGGAGCAGGAAAAGGAAGATCCTACGATGTGGGAAGACGAGCAGACTCTACCTCAGCGGGAAACAATTAACAAAAAACGGAGGGTGTAGAAGGGGGACGACGAGGCAGAAGACCTTGTTGCTGAAGAGGAGCATGACGACCTCGGAGGCCTTGCGATGCAGGTGCACCGACAGCTTCTTCACCAGATTTCCGACCTGCTCCGTCACGTAATCCGCCATCTCCAGGTCCCTCCTTCACACTCGACCCTCAAACGAAAAGCACAGGCCGACGCACGACGAAAGTTGTCTGGGAGAGAGAGAGCGAAGGGGGGGGGGGCACAGCTTTCAATTGCCCTCCATATTATTCTACAATATTCGCTTTTATTATAACATTTTATTATTCTCATTCTCATTCTCATTTTAACGAGTAAATAGTATTCACTTTAACGACCCCCTAATGAGACCTCAAAGGTAACACTCATCGTGCGGTCAGCAGCGCCCCCAAGGAAATCAACAGTCGATCGATCATCAGTATCCCCACACAGAGAGAGAGGGTTAGGTGAAAAATGGGCTCTATGCGTCCAACATAGGCCCAATTGAAGAATGGCCCGATAAGACTACTTATCCAGCCCAAACTCTCGTTCGTCCAGGTTAGCTCTTGGTTAACTATGGCCGAGTTTTGGACCTTATTGGGGTTAATGAGACCTGGGCCACACGCTCTAATTACACGTCATTACTAATTTACAACTCTTCCGCATTAAATCTTTGTGATTAGTATGAATGTCGAAATTTGTGAGCATTAAACGGTAAATAATAATATTAAAAAAGTAGACAGGGAAGCTACGAAACGCGGTCAAGGACGCACGTGTGAGGTATAGAAAGATGCCTGCCTAGCACGTGATCCACGCGCAGCAGCATTAAGCCGATTTTATGTTCTGATAAAATCCGTCAGCTCTCGCGGCATACACGTAACCAAATCCAATCTCTTCGAGTTCACCCGCTTCCTCAGCCCAAGCCCTCTCCAGCAAGCATAACAGAACCCAACTCGTCTACAAACCAGTTGAAAAAGGGTCGATAAAGGTCAACGAGCTAAATACAAAGAGAGAGAGAGAGAGAGAGAGAATGCACACGGAAACCAAAAATGAGTAAAGAGAGAGATAGAGAGAATGCACTCAAATAAGAAGGATAAATAAGGAGAGAGAGAGGGCGATTGTGCCATTCATAAAAAGTCAACAGAGAGAGATAGAGGGAATGTACCCAAATAGGAAGGATAAGGAGAGAGAGAGAGAGAGAGAGAGAGAGAGAGGTTGACTGTGCCATTCAAAAAAAGTCAACAGAGAGAGAGAAAGAGAGATTGGATTTGGTCAATCTAAATAGAATAGTAAATAGAGAGAGAGAGAGAGAGAAGAGAGGTAATATGTGTCTACAGGAGGAGAGAGAGAGTAAAGATGGTCAATAAGAAGAGGGAGGAGGTGAGGGTGGGGGTAAATCTAAATAAAAGGGTAAGGAAAGAGAGAGAGAGAGAGAGAGGGGTTTCATTTGTCTTGTTCACCAGACTCCCCACTGCCGCCAGCACCGCTGGCAGGCTTCTCCTCCTCGCCGGCCGGCGGCTCGCCCTTGATGATGGAGGTGCCGCTGCCGGCACTGCGAGCAACTCCGTCATCGGCCGAGACAAGATCACCAGGCTCCTGCTCCTCGGCCTGTCTCGGCCTGTTTAGCGCGTGGCAGTGCGGACAGAAGTACGTGATATAGGGGAAGTCCTCCTTCCTGGCAAGCCCTGAGCAGAGAGACGGTCGACCATCCTCAGAGAGCACGAATGAACACAGTCGATCAATGGAGGAGGTCTGAGGATCCCTCACCGTTGTGCCTACGGCAGTTGCCGCAGATGAGGGCGTAGCTCTGTGCCGGGTCTTCGCCCACCAGCATGGCGGCGATCCGAGCGAGCCACCCTCCGTCGTTATCTCCGATAGTGCTCCGATAGTGCTCGACGACTCTCTGACCCGGCGGCGGAGTGGGGGCATCGCCGCCGCCGGCAGCAGCGGCGGCGGCGGGGGAGGTCTCGCCCGTGGACTGCTCCACCGTGCCGCCGCCGCCTTGGCTTTGACTTCTCGTGTGGGGACGTTTCCTGTTCCTCAGCCCGTCGGATTGAACCGCTTTGTGATCCCTGTGGCCTCCCCTCTGCGAGGCTTTGTCCTTAGAATCGTCCTCTACATAGACCTTCAACCCGGTATCCGCCCCCAACTTCGATGCCAAGACCGTTGCGGCGGCCGCCTTGGCTGCGGGATCGAGGTCGTACCTCTGGACGTAAAAGGGATAACTGGGTAAAGAAACAAGAGAGAGAGAGAGAGGGGCACAGAGAGAGAGAGAGAGAGAGAGAGAGAGAGAGAGAGTACCTGGATGAGCTCTTGTGTGGCGTAGAAGTTGGTTCTCTCTTTGAGCTCGTCGATCTTCGCTTGCCTCTCGATCCTCAGCCTCTCGAGTGTCTTCTGATCCTTGCGGTCAACTGCACTTTCATGGACATGTATCAAAGTAAACACCCATACGAGAAGAGTTCACACATGAAAAAAGTCAACACAATTCATAAAAAATTAAAACAAGATAGAGCGAGTAAGAGAGAGAGAGAGAGAGAGAGAGATGCTGATCTTTTAGGAAGCCAAAACTCAAAGATTCAACTGTGTAATTAATAGGGCTAATGCCCCATTTCCCTCTCTCAAAGCAACAGTACCAATATGCACACAATTTTCGTTGCTTGTTACTATTTTTAATTAGAACTACAAATAATTTTATATCATTACTAATACTATCATATCATAGGAAGGTTTTTACGTTTTTCACCCATGCAAATACATAATTAAAAAAAATCCGGTCATTTAAATTTTGGGAGCAACTACTCACAACCCACACTCATAAGATCTAACCCCTTGCATCTCCTGTCATTAACAAGATGTTAACCCACCAATCAACTAGAGTTCCTTCTTCTCTCTCTTCCCCATCTCATGTCTCTCCTCTAGAGACCAAGAGTGAAACCCTACCCTAGCCTACCCTCCCACGCACCACAATTTCTTCCTCACACTTGCGGCCGGCAGCATATGAACCCAAATTCTTGGGTTGCAGTGCTGGGATTTAAACCCCCCATGTTTCTATCTCTACTTGAATGTTGCCTGTAACGTTGACTCCTTGGTGTACTCATCTGTTCATTGAGACAATAAAGTTGGAGTCAAAGCACGAAAAACTAGATAAAATTTCCCATAATGTCCTCTAAAATTCATGGTAGCAGGCAGGGGCCTAGTGTTGTATTGTTCATGCTTTGGAAAACTAGTGAGTGTGGTATTAGCAGTTGGAATTTTCAAATGGATCGTCAGAATGAAACAGTATAATGTTTTTAAAATTGAACTGGATCACCGCATCTCAGAATTACTGACATTAGCTGTGCTATCACTCGATTCTTTTAAAAATGATCCACAGTCGCCATATATCACAGAACTGGATGTTTGACACCACTAATCCCTTGAAAGCAGACCGACTTCATCAGTCAGAACATGTACTATGAACTTTCGGATTTCTGAACTTTCCACAAAAAGTTGACCCACCCGTAGATTATGAGATTATGCACCAGTAATGTATTACATTTGATGAATACCACGAGTATCACAGAATTACTGCGCATAAAATTTATTCAAACTTATCACAAAGAGCACAGATCCATCAGTCAGCCAAAGATGTATCATCCTTGTGGGGACAACCAAAAAGGTCGGAAGGGAATCAGCAAGTGCTACACAAGAAAGGGCAAGAGCACGGACCTATAAGGGGTAAAAAAAATCTGCGGATCGTCTTGAGGATTGCTTGTTGATGAATTTTCATAACTGCGAATTTTACCCGAGTGAGATTCTAATGCTAACGTTACAGAGTATTATTTTAACAAGGAGTATGATTTAGCCACCCACAGGGTTTTGTATGCACTGGTTTCATTGCCTAGGCATCCATATCCTTCTCCCTGTCCCAATCAGGTAGAGGCTGCAGTTTAGAACCTCGGCCCCAGTGCGACCCAGCATATTATCAAGCCCCATCAGGAAAGTACTAGGCCTCTGAGAGGGTCTGCAAGGTTAGTTTCTCTCCATCAAAGAAAAGAAATATTTTCTATTGTTGGCAACTTTCGTTTGCGTGGGAGAAAAAAAAAAGGTCCACGAATTTTTAAGGCAATTTATCAGATAAATAGATAAATAATTTGAAATGCTTAATGAACTTGAAAACTTACGCATCCTTGTGAGGCTCCCGAGAATCGAGTAAAGAGCAAAGGATAATGCGGGTAAGGCAAAAATAGGCAAGACACACGTTGCCCTCATTTGCCAACTTAAACCTGGTGGCCTTGTTTTAATCACAGCATATGCAATTGCCGCTACCTGGAACAACAATGATGGATACACAATAGATGAAGAGCTCGGCACTAGTAGCAAAAACATACACAAGCTGTCAGTCTAGCGGCTTGTGAAGGGAAAAGGAAGCTGACAGTCTCGTCATTTGTAACATTGCTAAACAAGGTTATTCACCATGACTTGATGCAGATTAACTGTTCTATTAGCAAATCATAAGACCGACATGATCGAATGCGAATGGCGCAATCATACCTGGGAGAGGAGGGAGAATCGGTTTTCACTGTACAACGGAGTGATTAATAATGAACGAAAAATGGAAGGTGTACAGGTCAACGCCACATAAACAAAAAGTGCTAATCAAGCACACCTCACACTATTAATCAAATATTTCAGCTAGCATGCTATGGTTCGACAAAGATCATACTAAAACATAAAATGGCAAGTGGCCTGCAATTTGCTTTGATCAACGATAAGTACCTAACTACCGAAGAATCAATAATGGAGTGCAATTAATAAGGCGTTTAACAGCTCCACCGTGTATCAATTTATGGGGGATTAATAGAATCTTAGAAAATAATTTAGCATGACAGGACAGATTTAGAAAATGCTACAAGAAATTTTTAAGCTAATGCAAACAGTTAACATGCAATGTTATTAACACTCCAACCTTCAAAAAATCCAAAAAATCCCTTTATCAGCCAAATTCTACTGGAAATGCTGTGATGGTTCTATGACGCAAGCCATGTGAAGGATCAGATGATGAAACAAAAGTCGTCATCCAACCAGACAAATCACGCTAAATTGAGCCAATTTCCGTTGTTCTCGAGAACATCCCATTGTTCTAACTCTCAAAGGATTGTCGTACACTCACTCAATTTCTCTTCAAAAAGAAGGCAAAAAGCATAAGTTAGAGGACTCACCTCGAAGGCTACAGAAAAGAGAACGATGTTCCTGGCAGTCGTCCGCCACCGGTGAGCCCTCTTCTTCATCCGTGCATGAACGGAGGCCTCCTCCTTGGACAGGTACTGCAGCTTCTTCTCGTAGTCGTCACCTCTCCTCCTGAAAATCGCGTTCCACATCCGGGATAGGAAGCCCTTCCTCGGAGCGGACGACGACGACGGATTCTTCCCGCCGGAGGGCCCCGCCGCGTCCCCGCCCCCTCTCGCCTCCTCAGACATCACCTGAAAGCCGAAACCGAGCAAAAACGAAGGAGATCGATCACGCCATCGCAAAATAATTACCGGCCATCCGAGAAAGCAAACCAGATGCGAAGAGACGCAGACTTTCTCCGGCATCCAGAACAGCCGAGAAGCAGGAAAAATCAAAGGAGGACGTCGCACAGGACGAAGCCAGCCGCCACCGAACTCCCTTCCTCTCTCTCTCTCTCTCTCTCTCTCTCTCTCTCTCTCTCTCGCTGGGGCGGATTCCTTCCTCTCTGCTCCGCCTGTCCCATAAGATCCACCCCCCTCCTTCCGTCTTTTTCACTACTTTACCCGCCACCTTTTTCCAGAAGGAAAAAAAAAGTATTATTCTTGGACTAATTAATTCAGAAAGTGGGCCCAGTTGGGCCACGATGCTATTATTTACTGTTCGGCCCAGGAAATGAGGCCCAAGCCCAAAACTTCATATCACGAGTAATTATGGGGCCCACATCACCAAGCGAAGCTCCCCAACTGCTTCCACCATGGTCGTGGGAGCGTGTGAGCCCCGTTGGACTCTCCCACCCACGCCGTTTTTCCCGCCACTTGAGCGGCTTTCTAATCCGCGCGTCGTCGTCCCAAGCTCTCGCCTGGCCATCGTTCTCGATCGAGATCAACTTCTGGAGAGAGAGTCTAGAGAGGGAGAGAGAGAGAGAGAGAAGAAGGTTGAGAGGAGGGAATGGAGAAGACGATGGAGTGCAGGGAGAGGATGGAGCGGCTCAGGAAACGCGTGAAGGAGCTGGTGCGGAAGATAGAGGAGGACATGGCTGAAGGGGGGACGACGATCTCAGGCAGTCCATCGCCGCGCTCGCCGGCGGCCTCTTCCATCGCGTCGACGAGGTACGCCTCAACGCCACACATAGTCATTGTGTACATTCCTCGACGGTGGGACCGGATAGTGAGTCGTCTCAACCAATTCCTCTTTCTGTCTCATTGCATAGCGAAGGTTTTTTCTCCGGCTTCTGGCTGATTACTCACCGAAGAACAACCGATTTAACGATCGCTTTTTCTAGACGACTTCTAGTCCAGGCCTACTGCAAGTCTAGAATGAGCTTCTCATCATGTCGAGCTTTTTTCACGATTCCAAGTAATGAGTTCGGGCTTCTGTCTGTTAAGGTCTCTCTGAACATCTCTCTCTCTCTCTCTCTCCTTGCTCGGTCGCGCTCTCAGGAGTCAAAGCCTTCGTCGGGCGCAGGACTGCCACCTCTGCTCTGCGGTGGCACTGCAGGAGGTGGCGCCGGTGATGTTCCATTCGGACTAGACCACAGCCTCCTCGGTCTCCCTCGCTTTTCCTCCTATGGAGAGGGAAAGAAGCGATACACGGTTATGGAAGAGATCGCAAAAGCAACCCAAAAGGTCACGCCAAAAGGATTTGTCAGGCGTTCATGGTCCGTCGATGCCCCGCGTAGGGACGATGATGATAACGATGATGAATGGGAGTGAGGGAGAGAGAGAGTGAGAGAGAAAAACGATGGAAAGAATGGACTCTAGAAATAATGGGATCCTCTGACAGTCAAATCTCCCCATGAAGAATGGTCGGAGGGGGCAAATATAACGTCCAGAGAATTGATAAGCCCGTGGTACCTGATGACACGGACGGCCAGGATTCACCTCAGATCCCCAGAGAGCACCTGCTGACGTGTACACGTCCTGAGAAAACTACGGATAAGATCGCCCCAGTTTCGAGGCCCACGGGAAGTCGCGCTCCTGCGTCGAGCGGCCCCCCTCCGCCGCGTCCAACGTCAGACCCTACAACGGCACCACGGCATGGGAATTCCTTTACGAGAGGGCATAGGTACATTTACGTATATATATGTACACGCGCGTACGTATGTACGTATATGCTGGTACAAAATCGGGGGGATATTATATACTACCTGGGGCATGGCTACACCAAGGAGAAGAGCGCTGAAAGTCTTGTTGTCTATTGAGACAGGCAACCGCGCCATCTGGCTCATCGCGCGCGTCTCACTCATCCTGCAGCAGAAACACGACCGTTTCAGGTAAAAGTCTCACGGCTGCTGAAAGCACGCCGTCAGTGAAGCGCACCTGTTGAGGATGGAGACGAGGTTATTCTTCGCGTGGAAGAACAGGTCCACGTTGTCCTGCAGCTGCAAGCACACAAAAAATAAATAAATAAATAAATAAAATTGAGCCCCACAAAAAGAAAATAAAGACGTACAAGATGATGGAACAGGTTTTTTTGTTTGATTTATGCCCCTCAGTCATTGCAGGAAGCAGAAGAAATACTTCGAGGTATACCATATAGGGCAAAGGCGGGGACCAGATCAAAATTTTCCATTGCTATAAAATTTGCAGAAGGGACGTCATAAGGTGGGAGCAGCCCGCAGGGTCAGCTTCCCGTCGGAGGAACTTGAACTACCTTCAAATCGTCTAGATTATGCGTGATCCGGTCCAAAATTCTAGCATTCTCCTCCAAGAGATACTGTGCGGCATCGCCGACTATTGGATCTGAAACCCAAAGAAAATGCCACGTAAGAGGGGGCACAGCCGGATGAACCCCACGTTGAAAAAAGGGAAAATAGCTATTTCTCAAAATAGAAAGCCACATAAACTCTTTCTTTCACGAAAAAAAATAAAATCTGAAGATAAAGAAAGCCCGCTGACCATTATGTGGCATGCCGCCGCCGCTGTCGGGACCATACATTATTAAGGAAGTCGAGGCCACAGAAGGTAGTTGACTTGAAAATGAGTTGACTCCTGAGGAGTAATCTACTTGCTTGTCCTGAAGAGAAGGGCATGATTAATATCCACAATTTTTTTAAAGGCATATTCGCTATTTTTTATTATATGCAACAAGTCTGCGCAGAAGCTGGGTCCCCATTTCCAAATAAGAATCTACGAATATTTCAAAGTAATCATAAATGGATGGGAGGCACCAAAAAAAAAAAAAAAAAAGAAAGAAAAAGGAAACGACGAGAAAGTCACCTTCTTGTCTTTCATCTTCCTCCAAGTGTAGATTTTTTCCTGCTTGCATCGTTTCCCATTCTCCTTCCTCTGCAGAGAACAAATCTCATTAACCAAATCCGCGTTTCTAAGAAAAAGCGGCAGATGATGGCAGAGAAAGAGTTATTTCTTGTGTTATCTCCTCTTTTTTTGCTTTAATTACTCAGAGAAAGACGCCAAATGCTCTATTTTTCTGCAAATTTCTCGCCAGAAACATCAGATCAAGGAGCTCTTCTGGGTAGCATGCGACGAACGCGAGAGAATCATAGAAGCCACTCAACAGTGTTCATATATGTTCTGAAAGGGGAGATGGAGACGATATTTAGAGGTAGCTGAAAACAAGTAAAGAGACTCACAGCCATCCACTGGCATCTTAAAGCGACGTCCCTCACGGTTTTACCCTGCAACCCTGCTGCTATCTTGATGTACTTCATGATGTTAGGTTCATGGCCATACCTGAAACTCTCAACTCTCAGACAAGTTAAATCATTTGTGCTGGAAAAAAACGTAGGAGAAATTAGTACAGATTAACTCTTCTCACAACAATGCAACAAAACGCTTATGAGCAAGATGCAGAAATCCATCAAAAACAGCCAGCAATCTGCCAAACCAACTGGAGCGAAACATCCCCAATTCTGTGCAGAACCGAAATCCTTGGAAGAGTTTCTAACATAGCAGCATCTCAGAGTATACCCTACACGAGTGGTTAAGCTAGTCTGACGTTGAATGCTTCTACCAGATTAACTCGAGATATTGGCAAAGATTTTGATTGTTTTAAGCAATTGGTAATCAAAAGAGCTTCCAGGAGTGATGAAATATGAGAGCAATCTAGGACTACGTACTTGACAAGGCCTTCCTCCAAAAGTGACTGCTCTTCAAAGGACCAATCCGCAGTCAATCCTGTATCATACTTGAGGAGTCCTGGAACGGGGTGAAGTTGGGGAGAGCGGTCAGCACTCCCCATTGGAATCAACACTGACCTGCTGCTTACACAACCAGTATCCCCGGCAAAAGCCATTCCTGTTGTGCTACATACACCACCTGTGCAAGGAAAACGCATCTCGATATCTACGGGCTGGAAGCAAAGCATCTGATGATTATGAGAAGATGGCGATGCTGTCCTGTGATGGAAAGACATGTTTGGATCGCTCGCCGCCCACATCTTCCAATTACAATGGAATTCTATTCCATCGTGCGACACCAAACGGCCGCAACTGTCTGCGCAGCAGGCTGTCCTAGATCTTCACAATTCAAATGGAGAATTTCACAAAAATCCTCAGCGGCACAAGGATGATCCAACGTGAGATCCTAAGCGGCAATATACGCCGAGTGCTTCGTCTTGCGCAGAACAGCACTCAAGTGATTGTTTCTCGTTACCGCTTCTGAGAGACCGCACGGACCTCAAAGACCGCGGACCTTTCCATTACAGTGGACTTCCGAAAACCCTTAAGAACTCCGTCTCCATGACTTTTCCAGCATCACCGCTTCCCCGTTCAGGTAGGACCCCACGCCACCGACAGATGGTCGTCAGACGACGAAGGACGACTATATTAAACTCTTCCGTCGTCCTCCCCCCGGCCAAACCGGAGCACCGACTTCACCACTCGGATCAAATTTCACCCCATCCATGTCAAAGAGATCGCAAGCGCACCTGAAACAGAAGCGGGATACCTGCTTCCGCTGACCTCTGCTGCCACCTTCGCCAACCCCTACCTCCGGCGACCCTATCTCAAACCGTTGTTCCTCCCGACCAATGGGAGCATCGCGCGGAACAGGAGCGAAAAACAGATTGGGGCTTCTCCGGAGTCTCCCGTGCTCATCTCTTCAAGACATATCTATCAATCAATCAATATATTAATCAGAAAAAAGCGAAAGAATTCGGCGCAACTTTGGAATTCTGCGATGAACAGCGCGATTCCATCACCAAGCATTGGATTGTCAATTCTTCTGAAACCTATCGCCTCCCTCTCCCCCCACCCTATCTCTCTCCTTGTAGTTCCCAATTATTATCACCTCTCTCTCTCTCTGGCCTAATCTGAAGCCGACGACGCTGCTGCGCATCCCTGGATCCGCGGTGACCTTTTTATCGATGAGAACAGAAAACAGTCTGATTTTATGTTACAATTACGATACAACCACTCCACCACCGGGATCCCGGCCCCGCTTCTCCTTACCCAACAGTCCGGCTCCCCTGGCCCACCTTGCGTACCTGGCGCTCATCGCCACGTGGCCGAAACTCCTGGTTCTATTTTTCTGACGTGGTAACGCATTTCCCGTGAGACTGGTGTCTTATTCAACCCGTTGGAACTTAGCGGAAAGTGGGAAAGGTTAAAGGCGAAGCATTTTCGCAAATGGGAACCTTGCCATGCCACGTCAGAGGAGTAATGCCGGCGACCCAAGCAGTCCACAATTCAAAGCTCTGGAGGATGATCTAGACATATAAATGGAAATGAGTGCCGTTAGATACACAAGCCCTTCCGTTGAGAGCTTTTCTGCAATAGTGCAACATCACGTGTCTCGTCAGAAAACCAGTCAAAGTGATACGTGCCGAGGCCGACAATTAGGAAGACCGGGCCCGATTGCCACGTGCCACGTTCGGATACTATTCTTTGAATTATATGTAAAATGTGGGAGTGATTGCCTAAAACCGTTGCCTCACAATCGATGGGAAGCAGAATCTCTCCCAAACGGCTTGCTGATTTTCTCGTCTTAATAGGACGAAAAGTTTGTTTGCCACGTGTCTCTCATTGATGGGTCCGGTTAGGTGTCCCTGTCCCCCCTTGCCGCGGCCACCACTGAAGGCCGATTCCCCTTCCTCGCGAAAACCAGTTTAACTTAAAACGTAAATGAGGGACACGTTAAACGGAGAGGAAAAGGAATTGGCACCCTTTATGTTATCGTCATCCTCGGAGAGGCAAGCCATCTCCTCTTTCAGGACCCATCCTCGCTCCCTCCGCCGTCGATGGCGGTTCCGTCGGCTTCAGCTGCCATCGTCTTCCTCGCTGTGTTCTCCCTCCTTGCCGTCGGAGCGGTCGGCAGGCCCTGTAAGACGCTGTTCATCTCCTACACTTTTTCATCTGAATCTGCCGATTCTTCCTCCCAATCCGGCATCGAGGTTTCTCAGATCTCTACCGCGAGGGAGCAGGCTAGAACGAGATTCGTCACCTTCTACCGCGTGATTCCTCTGCGGTACTACCACAGTCGTTCCCATCTCCGCCCGGCGGCGGCCACAGAGCTCTTTGCTACTGCCATTCGTCTCCCTGCAGGGATCGAACGCCCTAGGCCTCGCTTTGAACCGTCTCTAGCCGTCAGTTCTCTGCGGGAGCGCACCCGCGACATCCTGGTAGTTGTGGCCGCTCTCGTGTTTGGCGTCGGATGCGGAGCCCTCACCTCCGCCATGATCTACCTCGCGTGGTATCTGATCAGCAACCGCAATGAGGTGTGTGGTTTCCACGACTACGACTACGACGACGATGTGGAGGATGGCGTGGAGAGTCCCAAGAAGAGGGGCTACACCGATCTCCCTGCCGCACCTGCAACTCCGGTCACGCCTCTCAAGGAAGGGTACGGTGGGAATTAGAACATGACATCTGAAAAACTTCCTTGTATATACGACTATCTCCTTCTCTTTTTTTCCGTGAACGTGCCAGCGTGAATCCGATCTCTGATCTGATGGATCTGTCCATTCAACTACCATCATGGTTGTCATCATCGGCATCATCGTTTGCTATATATGTGATCTCATGCACTTTTATTTTTTTGTGAAGCGTCTGGCTATGGAGATGAATCTGGCATGTTCGTGTTCCTTTCTCTTGCATGCCTTCTTACTTTCTTTGCAGAGATGAGCATATTTTCTGGGACCGTCCTTGCCTGGAAAGCTTCATCCAGAGAGGGGAACTTCCGATTCCTCTTTCCCCCATCAGAGAGCTTAGAAACCTGGCCATTCCTTTTTCTGAACCGCTAAAAATGCCATCAGAGAGCTCGGGGATTGATTGTGGCTGAGAAATTGCCAAATCTGGGAGCCATTTGGGACTCACTTTCCTCTTTCCTTTGCCCACTGAAGTGGGAGGTACTGATTTCAGAAAAAAAGACGAATATGGGGATTCGATTTCAGAACTCTTTTCATCATTCTTCTGGGAGATGTTTCTACAACAACCAGTCTGTGGGTAGAATTTCTGTGATTCATCTCAGGCGTGGCTGATCAGATTGGATCAACTCGTCGGATTTCCCCAGCACCGAGCCCGATCCTGATCTTCATCAGATACAAGTGGAAAGGAACCGGCGAATTCTTTGAAGAAGAACACACCATAAAGAGCAAACAGTCCCCTTGTGGGTTGGTGGGGAGTGACTGCAGATATTTCCACAGAAAGTAGCCGAACGCTCCTCTTGAAGAACCCCACTGTTTGCTTTGCGATTCCGCGCTTTCTCTTCCCTTCGATCTGGATTCCTGGCTCGTATTTGGTACGACTCGTCTTTCAGTAATAAATTCTGGGTGTAGTGAATGCTTCTCCTCCAGCCATCATATGCGCTTCGGTTAGCGACCCAGATATAGAAATTTCATGGCTTATATATGCCATGAAAAATTTGCATCTATACATATAAATATATATATATATATATATAGAGAGAGAGAGAGAGAGAGAGAGAGAGAGAGGGGTTCGTCGTATTTACGGTTCTGTTAATGGGCTGGGCCTCGATGGGAGATTATTTCCTAATTGGGAAAATGATGTGATTGCCTAAATTTGTTCTCTCTCTCTCTCTCGCGTTCTGTATTGGGCCGGTCTGGTCTACCCGGTTCGGCCCGAAAGAGCACGGCCCGGCTTTTCGACCCTAGATTGAGTATTAATTTTGGTTTTTAAAATTGTTTGAGATCCGTTCCAGAAGCTTCTGCATAATTCCCGAAGAGCCTGTAGGGTCGGTTGTAAATATCATTAAGGGGGAGAACAGAGGTTGTGGTCCACAAAGAACGTTGATGCGGCAAGCAACTTGCTCTGTCCGCAAAAAATGGAGGGCGGTAACCTTATGGCGAGTACCGACACGCGGGGCACGACCTAGGAGGCGGATATATATACAGCGGCGTTTGGATCGAGGGTTCTCCTCGTCGTCCACTCCACAGCCGAGGAGGAGAAGATAACACGAACAACACTCAGGCCACCGGCGGTCTCTCTCTCCTCTCTCTCTCTGTACCTTCCGGGAGAAACCTAGGAAGATCTCTTCAACTTCATCTTGTCGCGCGGATAAGATCGGGGGATGGCGATGATCAGTACTAGAGCTTCACTGCCATGCGTCGATCTCTCCAGCGCCATCGCTTCGTGTTGTCCCCTTTCGTCCCCTGTTGTGCTGGTGCGCTCGAATCAACGCCGGGCCGTGGCGAGAGCTCTTCACATTGAGGAGAGGAGGACAGGGAGTGAAACCGTGCGGGTGCGGGCCGCCGGGAATTGGAACCTCGGCTCTCTGAGAGGGGGCGGAGCCGGTCTTCTGGAGCGCCCCAGCTTCGACCAGTCCCAGTTCGATCCGCTTCTCCAGGTCCAAGAAGGTAGATATGTTCCTCTACCTCAACATTATCCTTTTCGTTTCTTATCCTGGTATGACAATAACTTTAGCTTAGTGAGGTTGGATGATGAACAGGACGAGGTAGAGATTGGTTTGATTTGCAATGTTGGTCAAATTTCAACCTAAAACGTACATTTCACTTTGAAAAATTTGTTTTACTTTCTTACATTTACCTTAGCGGTCCCACAATACCCAATGTAGCACGGCCAACCACAACTCCAAGTTCCATCTTCACTTCCATACCTTGCTTGGCGTGGGCTTGATCTCGATTTTCCTAATAAAATTGACGACAAGGATTTGTGTGTATTTTCTTTGACAACGTTTGTCAACACCTGCTATTAAGTTGTCCAGGCTTTTTTTTTCTCTTTTACTTCGTTTGTGTGATTTAATTGGCCTTCCCGTAGTTCATATGCCCTCTCTATCCTTTTCCATCTTCCAGTTCCTTTGAAGAACTGACGCATGCAGAAATGACACCGTCCATACTTCCATGTTAATAGGAGAGAAAAAAATCCTCTGGTTTTTTCAACTCTGATGATATGAATCTGATCTGGATTAATTTGAGCTGGATCGAATTTTTATGTAGTTCGTACTAAAAACAAATCAGACGGGACGGTCCTTAGAAATCGGAAGGCCACTCCAACCGCGACGACAGGGGAGTTCATTCAGTTCGTTCCATTGAATTAAGGTAAACTTTACGTGAAACATCCCGGAAGGGGAATGCTGATTCATTCAGTTGGAGGGGCACTGAAGCCTTAGCTTCGTCAGGAGCCATGGTCCCAAGGATTTCCAATCGAAATGACTCTACCTGTTAAAGTACTTCAGACCTTCACACCAGGCTTGTGAAGTTGGGCTCACAACCGGTTCCAATCTGCGTACACACACCGTAATCACAGTTCCGAATCGGGTCAAAGGCATCCTGATTCTCATTCGTCTAACCCAATAGCTGCCATTGCCAGAGTTTTTTTTTTTACCCAATCCATCTAATGAACGCATAGCATGAACTCCAATTCCTCTCGCTATCTCCAAGGAGTTGACCATTTCTCCTCTCTCTCTCTCTCTCTCTCCCCATTATGCGTACAGGAGGGGATATCGGTAAGCTGAAGGGAGAGAAAGGGCTTGGAAGCGGCGACAGCTTCAGAGTTCTGCTGATCGACGACGCACGTCATACTGTGGCATTAGGTAAGGAAACAAAAAACTGGTTCATCGCCGCTGTTCTCACAGACTATCCGCTTCCACCTTCCTAATCTTCTGTTCATTATTCCTAAAACGAACATTTATATTGATGGACTTGGTAGGCCACCGGAGGTAGAAAAAAGTTACAGAAAAGACAGTCAGACACTCCCCGCTCTCTCTCTCTCTCTCTCTACCGCTCAGCATTAAAGTGCACGTGGTGGGCTGGTCGTCGACGCTTTCGGGCATGTTTACAATAGAATCTCCGTAAATTTATGTTCTATGTATCCTCCACGACTGTTGCAGTTGAGAAGGCGCTGCCCCAAGTGGTTCCCTCCGTCACCCCCGACGAGGCCAGGAAACTGTTCTACGAATCGCGTCAGCAAGGCGTCACCGTTGTTCTCGTGACTGTGAAGGTACACACCGCACCACTCCAACCCTGCGGCCCTCTCTCTCTCTCTCTCTCTCTCTCTATGGAGGGTGAGCTCATCTGCTACGCCGTTCGTATCGTTGCGCCTACAGGAGCACGCGGAGTTCTACGCGCAGATGATGGTGCGAAACGGGATGAGGTCGGCCATCGAACCAGATTCTGCCTAACACAGCGAAGAGCGGTGTAAAAAGCTCGACAAGAGTGAATTCATAGAGAGAGAGAGTGAGCAGAATTTTGTCGTGAGAAACGTGTTGAGGAGACGATTTTGTACGAAAGAGATTTGGAAACGCATCTTTCCCGTCGTTTTCCGACCAAAAATGCCCCACCAGCATCCTACCTACTCGGATGCTACAAAAACAAGGCGCCTAACCGATCCCTCTCGGTCCGGAGTGATGATCCTAGACAATCAGTCAGGCACGGCATATAAGATGGGGGCTCACAGCTGCCAATCAATTGGGGCGAGTCCCAGTCCGTCCAGGATCGCATTGGTCTTGGAAAAGTGCCTGCGCGCGTGCACAGGAGATTCGTAATTTCGGGGAGAAGAAACGGCGGCAGAAGAGAGAGTGGCGAAGGGGCTAACCTGCACCCGAAGAAGCCTCTGTTGGCGGATAGCCCCGACGGATGAGCCGCTTTCAATATGTGGTGCTTCGCCCCGTCGATCAGCCTATTAATAACAGCACCCGTCAGCCGATTTCTTTGGAAGAAAGAATCGTAATGTTAATAATCGGAGAGTCGCTTAGGCCCCGGTTTTTGACGAACGGTTTGGATTAACTGGGTTAACTTGGCCTTGGGTTCCGCATGACTGAAGAGAGAGAGTGAGAGAGAGAAAGAAATATATATAGGAGAGAGAGGGAAAGAGAGAGAGAGAGAGAAAGATATATATAGAGAGAGAGAGAGAGGGAAAGATATATATATATATATAGAGAGAGAGAGAGACATATATATATATATATATATATATATAGAGAGAGAGAGAGAGAGAGAGGTCAGTTTGATGGCACACCTCTCTCTCTCTCTCTCTCTCTCTCTATCTGGGGTTAAGATATCAGAGTACACACGACGATCGCGTGGGTGGTTAGCACCATACAGATCACATACAAATCGCAAGCAACAAAGGACGAGCAGTTTTAGAATAAATAAATGCGGGCAGAAAATGAGGGAACGTGGATGAAATAAAATACCTCGTCTTCTCTTGAGCAGAGTTTCCCCATAGAAGGAACACGATTCCCGACTTCTTCTGCGAGATCGTGCTGATGACAGCGTCAGTGAGTTGCTCCCAGCCTTTCCTCGCGTGGGAGTTTGCCTGATGATTCCTCACTGGGATTGCATCATCACAGTCACGTCACCGGTTCTACCACGGCGGGGCAAAACTCGAAAAGACTGAACAGAAACGCCTCTCCAAGGGAGGGAGCCGAAGTTACCAGTCAGAACGGTGTTGAGCAGAAGAACTCCCTACAGAGAGATGGAAAGTGTGAGATGCCTCTTCCTGAGGATGAACCTTGGCACTCACAATTATTAAGAGATTATGCTCGCGAAAACATATCTTACCATCTGCATACTACAAAAAAAATCATACTAACCCTCCGTTATTCACATGAGACTAAATCACAAGAGAAAAAAAAAAAGGCAACACTGCGAGAGTAAGACAGAGGAACTGCAACAAAGAATACAGCGCACCACCATTACAATACTCTCTCTCTCTCTCTCTCTCTCTCTCTCTCTCTTATTCAAACTCTCGCAAATCATTCATTCACATTCAAATAAGACTGCGAAATTTTTCATCAAGAACATGCCAAATCAGATGAGCTGCAGTACGAAATATCACCTTTTTTTCATCATGAATTTACCCAAGTTCCAAGGTAATCACATACTAATTGTGTCATGTGAACATAGTGAATAATGAATTTTTATCGGGTAAAATCTTCCTCTGCAACAGGAAAATGTGTTCTTCAAGAAGCAACTGCCCTGGTTAATTGACTCACAGTGCTCACTACGAAGCACAGCTTCCAGAAAAACGTCCACACTTATCGAAATCCAGCTAGAATCGGATGAGAGAGTAAACAAAGCTCCTCTGTGAATATCATAAAAATCAGATAGATAGGAGATGCGGAAAGAAAAGCACAAAAAAAATAATCATGCCTTTTGTGCGTTGATCTCCTTGAAAATACGACGATTGGGAGAATGACAGTGTAAGAACCCCAATGGATGCCAAGATAGGAGATAATGCGACCAATAAGATTACTACATGCTGTTAAACTTTGCCCACCTGTACGGCCCATCGTTCCAGGTTCCCATGCGCGGGGATGGAACAACCAAGATCTTGTTTAAGCTCCTTAAATATGTTCACCAGACTGGAAGGGACCTTTATTCCTTCTGGCACTGAGAAAGCAAGACCCATTGCCTGGCCTGGCCCATGGTAAGGATCCTGAGAACAGGGCACACCGTGATGTTCAGCTCCTTCAACTATCACATGGAAATGGAGAAAATAGACCCGTACATTTTTCTCATCATTGTACCACAACAAAGCAGGCAAAAGTCAGAAGAACAGAAGAGGCAAAATATGACTTCGGGATATTCAACAGAAAATGCAGAAGGCATCGACGCAAACATAGGGGAGAAAATACATACATCTCGTTCATATGGAATTATATACTGCAGAAACCACCCAGATAATCGGTAAATTCGAGCATTTTCAGGCCTACATGATGGAGAGAACTGATTATTCAGGGAGAATTCCAACCTAAAACTTATGAACAACATTTCATTCAAACGACTCTGGAACGTGCCCCTTAGTTTACTGCATAAGCCTCGGAATGCATTTTAAGGTAAAAAGATATCCATATAATGCAGCCATTCCCTCAACTTGGAGAATTGAGAACACCCTTCGTTTCACAAGTCGGAGTCTTTTTGCATCCTTTTCCCATCTACCACGTAGAGAACTGGCAATAAAACGTTGGTCATTACAACAAAGATGAGTTAAGTCTTAGCTTGTCAAGGTCGATATTAAAATTCCTCAAAATGTATCAGGTTTATGTACGAATGAGATAATGTAATTCTATGCGAACCATTGTCATCTTCCAAGTTAGACCAAATCGTAGGAATGTTATACAGTTGATTGTGCCCGTGCGTGGCAGCAAAGATGAGAACAAGATAATCAGCAAGGTGGATCTCCATCTGATGGCCTGCCGTGTTGATGCAAGAAACTACCTCGCCTAAAGTTGCCATGATAGTGGATTAGACACCCAAGTTAACTGGGATACAGAAAACAGGCCCAGGTTGAGATGCTAAAATTTTCTAAACCAATTTTCAGAAAATTGGCTAACGCCGGGTAATAACGGGGAGAAAAGGTTCGCATTAACATCACCCGGCACGCTATTCACACAGAAAATAAGAAGAGCACGGAGTTTACACCGACAGCCATTTCAATGGGAAATTATTAAATGAAATTGTTTTCATCTCGAAAAATAACTAAAAAAGAGATCTTTTCAAACGGAAATTTGATGGAAAATGATAACATCGATTGTGAGAATAAATAAATAAAAAATGCCAAAAAAAAAAAAGCTCCACAGGCGCGTTTCAAGTCTCGAAAGAAAGATGCAGACAAATGTGGCCTGAGTACGTCTCAGGGAAGAAACCTTTGCAATGAATCTTAAGAGGGTGTGGTGAATCAGGTAAACGGATGAGCGCATACCTGCCCAATGATTACTGCCTTCACTCGATCAAATGCTGTCGAGTTCAGAGCATTAAATATAAGGTGCTGAGGGGGATAGATAGGAACCGTTCCTTGCAACTCCTTCTCGAGAAACCTACACAGATTCTTGGCATAAGGCTTCTGGAATTCCCCGGGAAGCGCATCCGTCCAGGTTTCCTCCACCAAAAGCTCCTCCAACTTGACGTACCTCATACCCCCCTCTGACTCACACAGCCAACGGGCACTAGCATCAGAAGACATCCTGCCGAGATACTGAAAGCCATGGGCTGAAAACCAACAACCACCTATATACGTACCTTTGGATTTCTCGATCCTCTCGGCACAGATCCTTAGGTTTCTCCTCGACCTCGCGAGGAACTTATTAATCTCGATCCTCTTCTTCTGCTCGGGGCTCAGATCGGACGGGGACTCGATCTGTAGCCCGCTCGCGTCAACGCCGTTAGTTGAGACCATGCAGAGGGAGGAAACGGAGGACTTCGACATCAGATCACCCGCAGAAGCCGCAGTCTTCAAGCGCTTCGTAGGCTGCAGGAAATCGAGCAGAGTTTTCGGCGACGCAGAAGCCATCGTCCTTCTCCCCCTCTGCCTCCCCTCCCTCCCCCCTCCTTCCCCCCTCCCTCCCCCAGCGCAGATGAAGGAGCTCAGAGAGGAGGCCGATCACTGGTAAAGCTGCAGGAAGTCGGATGTTTTGGCGGGAAACATGGGAGAACGTTCCCCAACGCAGTTCCTCGGAAGTATCTGGAAGATCCTTATTGCTTATGAGTGTTTTATAGATTTTCCGATAATCTGTAGGGCCTCTAACGGGCCGGGCCAAGGCCGGTTACTGAGGCCCGGCCCGGGCCGACCAAATGTACTTGGACACGGACGGCTGCCACAGTCCATTATAATCCTCAAAATTACAGGTTATCGACTTTTGGGCCAAAATGGGCCGCGAGAGAGAGAGAGAGAGAGTTGGGAAGATCCGGGCCGGGGATTATCGAGTTAGTGGGCCATAATGGTAGGCCGTATATTGACTAGTCAAGAATCGGCCCATTAATCCTGGTACGAGTCAGTGTGGGGATGAGCCTATCCCTTTTGCCCATGATAATTCCTGGAAATTACATACTACCACGTATGGGTCTAAATGGGCCATATATCCATCCCGGCTGGGCGGGTATAAAATTAGTAGTAGGCCAATGAGGTTGGGCCGGACGACGTCGGGTGACGTGTACAAGCCTAAAAAAGACTCGGCCCATTAATCCTAGTAAAGGATCGAACGGGTGACGTGTACAACCCTCCAAAATACTTTATCCACGCGTGCCGATGGGACGAGGCCAGGGAGGCTCCTCGCGATTTTCTTCGATCCACCGCCCACGTACCGACCAAACGCGGCGAGGCATGGCGGTCCTCCCCCTCCCTCTTCGTCCCATTTCCAATCTCCAGCCGTCGCCATCGCCGACGTCGCCATCGTCATCCTTGAGCCGTTCTCTTCTCCTCTCCGCTGGGGCTCTCCACGTCGGAACGTAGGGTTTTCATGACGTAGATCGAGGCGTCTGATTTGCACGATACAATCGGAGACGCTTTCCAGGTTCATATCAATCTCTAGGTCAGCGGTCGGCTCGGAAGTTCGCTTTTCTGGTTTTGCTGCGCGCATCTTGATGACCGCCTCCGCGTTTTTCACGCCGGTAGAGTTGGGAATTCGGCGGCCGAAATTCTCGAGGCGGCGGGTGGACCTGCCGCACGAGAATGGGGACTTTTCCGTTGCTGACAGCGAATGCGGGGTTTAAATTGGTTATCCATTGGATTTTGTGTATACTGAGGTGATTTTACGCTGCCACAGGTTGAATGGCCTTCTTCGGAAATACTGGGCGCGGCTCCGTATCCTAGTCTATGTCTGGTGAATTCAATCCGGTGGCCAATTCAATCCAGAACTGGTGGATTCTCGTTCTTCAATGCTTTTAACATTGAAGGACTGCGGGGGGTACCAGCCAATATGCTGGTTCTTGTCTGGTGGATGCCCGTGTGGTGCTTCTGCGTTCCTTTCAAGGAAGCCACGAGGGCTGGGATGGAAGTGCCAGGTTTCGCCGGGGAAAATCAACCCTAGCTTTGATTTGTCCGATTCCGTCAGGCAAAGAATCAAAGCCCAGAAGCTGGTCATTGACAAAAGTGTTTCTGACGATCTGGATTACGAAGAATTATCTCGGCAGCCAATTCAAATGGCCTCGAATATCACCACCTTCCAAGAAGACCTCGCGCTGGAGAAGCTCAGGAGTCACGTCGGTGCCATCCATCCCATCCCTGTGCTGCCAGCCAACCAGAATGTTGCAGGTTTGGTGGCTTCTTTCTTCTTCTTTGGGGTCATCTGCGACAGGCTTTGGACTTGGTGGAAGAGGAATCAACCGACCACGGACGCCCAGTCTGGTATCTGGTCTCAAGTGCCCACTAGCTTCTCTCTGTTTCTCGAAAAGAATTTGCAGAGGAAAGAGTCGGTCGAGTGGGTCAACATGGTATTGGGGAAGCTATGGAAGGTTTACCCGGCGGGTTTGGAGAACTGGATCATTGGGCTGCTTCAGCCTGTCATAGATGACCTCGAGAAGCCTGATTACGTGCAGAGAGTTGAGATAAAACAGTTCTCCATGGGCGACGAACCCCTATCTGTTAGGAATGTTGAACGCAGAACTTCTCGTCGAGCCAATGATTTGCAGTAAGTTCTCTGTTTCATTTTGATCTTTAGGCATTCATGTTCACAGCGGCTTCCTATTTGGTTGTTCTACGTCAAAGTCCACCCCAAACGCCTACTTCTTGCAAACCCTGATCTGGCAGGGGCGCTGGTGGGTTTTTTTCTGTAACAGAGAAGCCCCCCCCCCCCCCCCCCAAATAAAATAATAATAATAATAAAAAAAGGAAACCTTTTTTATATTTCAACCTAGAAGTAGACATTTTCTGGCCTTCAGTTTAGGAGAGTTGAAAGGGAAGATTAGGAACGCCTATGTAGTTTCCTGCTTTCTGTCTTGATCAACTTCATGGTTGGCTGTGCCAATTGAAACGCTTGAGTGGAAACAAGATATTTTCTTCCTTGTTCATCGCAGGTACCAGATAGGCCTCCGTTACACAGGGGGAGCTCGCATGCTGCTGTCTCTGTCTCTGAAGTTTGGTATCATTCCCATTGTTGTGCCCATTGGCGTCCGCAACTTTGATATAGATGGGGAATTATGGGTCAAGTTGCGGCTGATACCATCAGAGCCATGGATTGGAGCTGTATCCTGGGCTTTTGTGTCCCTTCCAAAGATCAAGTTCGAGTTGTCACCATTTCGTCTGTTCAACCTGATGGGTGGGTTCCCCTATTGGACTTGCAGTTTTTTAACTAGCTTTGGATTTCAAATTGCATGCTTATGTACCCAAATAGCCTTGCTCAAAGGTTATATTGTCATTTTTTTTAGCTTAAATTGGTTCGTCCATTGTCAGGCTATGGCATGATCCAGCTAGGAACGTGGGACCTGTTCTTCTTATATATTGATCTAACATGATTGAAATCAGGCCAAATAATTTATTTTTCTTTCCGCACATTTATCGATTATTTCCAAGTCTTGACTATGATGCTGATGTGAGTTTACTCCCTTTTTTTGGGCATGGAATGGATCATTCATCATCAGCAATCCCTGTCCTGTCAATGTAAGTCAAAATCTATTCCGTGGTTATTTTTAGTATCTTTCATAGAAAGGCATTATTTTGGGAAGGACAAGGCTGCCTTCATGTTTCTATTAATATTCTACCATAGATGCACCAATTTCATCTTAACCGCTCAAGAAGAAAAGAGAAATTCTTCAAATTTCAAACAGCGCTGTGTCTCGAAACAATTACCTTAAACTTATTTCGCGTCTGCTCCAGGTTCCTGACCAAGCTGTTGACTGAGGACTTGCCTCAGTTATTTGTTCGGCCAAAGAAGATCGTTCTTGATTTCCAGAAGGGAGAAGCCCATGGCCCCGTCACAGTTGATAGCAGAAGTCACCCGATTCACGAAGGCAACAAAGACTTTATGGGGGAGCTATCAGTCACTCTTGTGGATGCTCGGAGTGTTCCTTATGTTTCCTTCGGTATCTTCCTTGCTTCCTTCCTTCCTATTAATGCTTTCTTTGTAAAGGGTTTTCTCCTATTGCCATCCTAAAAATAGCATCTTGAAGGATAATTAATGCACCATTTCCATCATAAAAAAGGTTCTTGTGGCTATTTTTATGCATATGCTCGTTCATTTTCAGCAAAGACCGATCCGTACGTTGTCCTGAGGCTGGGAGATCAAGTGATCCGTAGCAAAAGAAATAGCCAGACCACCGTGATTGGGCCGCCTGGGAAGCCGATATGGAATCAAGTGGGGTTCTGTGTTCTTGACCTACTCTTCCTCCCTCCCTCTTGCCCACTTCTTTCTGAATGCTGATCTTCCTGGGTATCTTCCTTCCTTTGGAGCAGGATTTCCATATGCTGGTTACTGACCCTAGAAAGGAGAAGCTCCACATCCAAGTGAGAGACTCCTTCGGCTTCACATACTTCACTGTCGGCACAGGAGAGGTAAACCAGTGGATGTGAACTGGGTCATTACTTCTCTTGTTTGACTTTCTGTCACAAAAATCCCCATTCTTGGTCACGAACATGTCTGTGTTTCAAGTGCATTGCTTTCCTTTTCGGTCAAAAAAATTGTCCTTTTTTTTTTTTTACAGGTTGAATTGGGTTCTCTTCAAGACACCGTGCCGGCAGATAGAGTGGTTGTTCTCCAACGAGGGTGGGGCTCTTTCGGAAAGGGCTCCTCTGGACAGATACTACTGCGCCTCACTTATAAAGCCTATGTGGAGGATGAGGAGGACGACCCACATCGGATGGAGTTCATGGACGTCGATCCTTCAGATGATGAGACGAGCTCCGATGAACCAGATGCTTCACCTGAGCAGGGTGAAAGAGGATCTGGGTCTGGGAAAGGGCAAGAACCCTTCATGGACTTGCTGGCAGCATTGATTGTGAGCAAAGAGTTCCAAGCCATTGTGGCGTCTGAAGCTGGGAACTCCAAGTTTCCCGTGGATTCTGTGAACTTGGGGCGATCCCTGTCAAGATCCTTTGGTAGTAACTCTGAATTCTCTATTGCCGACACTAATAATACTATTCCAGGAGGTTTTGCTGGTAATCATTCTCCATTGTTCTACCGTACTTAACCTGCCAAGATTACCCAAATTAGCCTTTTCTAATGCAGGTGAATCTCTTGTTTTCCTACAGAGAAGGTATTGATATGGTCTGCTTTGATCACCGGCATAGCTACATTGATTTCTATCAAGCTGACCGGGTCAAGCTTCTTCACTTCTTGACATATTCCCACTGGAGCAATTCTCCAGAACTCTAAGGTATTTCCTCTTCTAGAGCTCTGCAGTAGCCCAAAAAAAATAAATGATTTTATTTATTTATTATTGATGTCGGTTGATTTATGCCGTCATCATCATCAGCCACTCTACCCTCCTTGATTTATTCATGAAAGATCCTCCCATGTTACCCATATTCAGATCTTGATCCGGCAGTCGCTCTTCCCCCGGAGATGAATGGTCCCGGATTAGAAGAAGGACTCCACCTTCAGAGATACGAAGAGGCCCTCCACTTAACCCAGAAGGCCCGTGAAGGGGCTCGGCTCGGGAAGAGGCCCTCCGCTTAACCCAGGAGGCCCGTGAAGGGGCTCGGCTCGGGAAGAGGCCCTCTCTTTCTTTCTTTCTTCTCACTGGGGTTACCCAGAAGAGCTCGCTTACTCCAGATAACAAAGATTTTAGGAGAGATTTGAAGGGGCCAGGGCGGCCCTGCTCTCAGCTTGACCCGGCGCTTACCATATGTAAATTCTCACATATCCATTGCCATTTTCGGATTTACTTATTGTACAGATATTAATTATTCCTCTACCCAAAGTGGATAAATGAATAACTTCCTGCTGGGATTTTTCTCTGTTCAATTATTTATTCATCATAAAATTATTTATTTATTTATTAGCCATGGCCATTTTCGGATTCCTTTGATGTATAATTGCTATTTTTTTCCCACCCAAGTGGAAAAATAATTAGTTCACCAACGGGGGCAGCTCCAAAGGCAGCAAGTACCTGGCTTGAGACTCCTCTCATGGAGCACCAGAAAATAAAGCGAGATGAGGTAGACGATGAGATATTAGTAAACTGATGGCAGAAACACAGCTTCGATCTCGTGGGCCAAGTCCAGAGATGACGTAGGAAACTATGAACATGTCAACCATAAACAATCAGAAACCCATACAACGCTCTACTTCCCCAGGTTATAAGGTTCATCGGATCAAATTTTACAAGAGAAACAGCTCATAAAAGCAAAACCCTTTTTAAATGACAGACAGTCTGTGAACGATCCCTCGCCAAATCCCACCCGCTCCAAGATCTGCATCAGATCAGATCGGCCACATTCATCGGCATTTCGTCAATCTGGGTGCTGTAGTATTGCTCTATATCTCGCAGAATCTTGATGTCGTCGCTGCGGACGAAATTTATCGCCACACCCTGGAGAAGTAAGTCAACGTCAGAGTGACCCATTAGTTGGAACTAATAGACGGGGGCGAAAAGAAAGGTGAAAAATTCGTGCCATTTTCCGCCATTTCTGGATAATTTTCTGCAGATAATGATAAAAAAACGGATGAACTCTACTAGCAGATATCTAGTGGGTCTAGTCAACGTCAGAGACCCATTAGTTGGATCTAATCGACGGAGGGGGGGGGAAAATATTAAAAGGTGAAAATTGGTGCCATTTTCTGCCATTTCTGGATAATTTTTGCAAATAATGATTAAAAAAACGGATGAATTCTACTAGCAGATATCTTCTAGTGGGTCTAGTCAACGTCAGAGACCCATTAGTTGGATCTAATCGACGGGGAGGGAAAAAAATAAAAAGGTGAATTATTGGTGCCATTTTCTGCCATTTCTGGATATCTTTTGAGGATAATGATGAACAAACGGATGAACTCTACTAGCAGATATTAGTGGGTCTCGGTAGAAATCGGCAGGTACCTTTCTTCCAAATCGCCCAGACCGGCCGATTCTGTGGATGTAGAGCTCTCGGTTGTTTGGAAGATCGTAGTTTATCACCAGGGAAACCTAATGGATGATTATAGAAAATTTTAAGATGCCAAAAAAAAAAAAAAACAAAAACAAAAACAAAAAATATAATAAGAAGAGAAAAAAATCAAAGCCATGAAAAATAAGTCGGTTTAACCACGTGCCTGTTGGACGTCAAGCCCACGAGCCCACACATCAGTTGTAATGAGAACACGGGTGGTGCCTGAGCGGAACTCTCCCATGATCGCATCTCGCTCTTTCTGGGGCATATCCCCGTGCATAGAAGAGACTGTGAAGTTATTACTGCGCATCTTCTCGGTCAACCAGTCTACCTGTCAATTGGAAGCCATTAAGAGATATTAATGAAAGCTAAAAGCACAAAAAAAAATAAAAATAAAAAAAAATAAAAAATAAGACGGATGGATAAGAATATAGTAAGTATAGGGCACTTAATAGTATGATTAAAAAAAATAAAAAATCCACCCTGTTTCACCGTCATGATCAGCTTATACTATGTTTCTCACTCATAGTACACCATCCCAAGGCAAGAACAGAAAATCTCGGCATGGCCTGTTCTTGGGGAGGGGATCTAATGGAGACCCATAGGATGAGAACATGCCGAAAAGCCTTTCTCGTTTCATACAAAGAAGAGGATGAGGGCATCTACTGTGATTGTCAACGGAAAAATAAGTCAGACCAGATCATAAAATAATGGGCGTAAAAGGTGGATAGCTAGCCTCAACGTTGACTACTGACCTCAAATCCCATACTCGAGGTGAAACACAACATTGGGAACCTATCATCTAGTTATATGGCTGATATCCCCAGTTCATTCAAAAAGGAAAATATATGTTTTTTCTTGGAAATTCGATGCCCATAGCAGAAAGTAAGGAATACCATAACAAGAAAGCAATGATCAAACTGAAGTGAGAAAATTATCGGATGAAAAGTCAAAACACCTTTCTTTTTGTGTTGCAAAAGATAACAGCTTGGGTGATCGTAAGGGTGTCGTAGAGGTCACACAAGGTGTCAAATTTCCACTCTTCCCTTTCAACAGCTACGAAGAATTGCTTTATACCCTAAAACAGCAAGAATAGAAAAGTGAGGTAACAATACTAGCAGAGTTGATAATTAACGTGCAGAAAAAGTAAGCATGATAGCAACAAACCTCCAAAGTCAACTCATCACGCTTGACGAGAATCCGCACTGGATCAGTCATAAATTTGTTGGTCATCTCCAATATTTCGTGGGGCAATGTAGCCGAAATGAGAACAACCTATGAGAGCAATGCAGAATATTCCAAATTGTCAATATACTTACATACTTGAGAAAGGCAAGGAAATGGAAAAAATGCGGTTTAAAGGTATACATCTGTTGACGGAAATGTACATTAAAGAACTAGATTAGTCATTGCTGATACATACCTGAAGATCGGGTGGAAGGTATCTGTATACATCATATATCTGATCCTTAAAACCTCTGCTCAACATCTCATCAGCTTCATCCTGTCATCACACAGATAACCCGTCTGTCAGGATATACTTAAAGGCAGGAATCTGCAATTCGGAATCACAGGAAATTAATAGAAAACTAACAAGAACTAATATTTTTATTGCTCTGGTTCGCAGTGTCCTCCTTTTGATCATGTCACAGACTCTGCCAGGCGTTCCAGATACCACATGAACACCGTATTCCAATTTCCTAATATCCTCGCCTATACTCTTGCCTCCAATACAGGCGTGAACCTGTATGTTTATGTAATCGCCAATAGCCAAGATCACTTTCTCAGTTTGTCCAGCAAGTTCTCTCGTTGGAGATAGAATCAGTGCCTGCACTCTGAAAGAGGAAAAGGCATTGGAAAGATAGATAATTGTCAAGCAAAACGCTAGCTCTTTAAGCACACATTAAAATAGGGAAAAAAGCAATAAGTAACAACAAACTGAAAAGGAAAAATTGAAAGAAAAGGCACACTTAGCCATGGTTCTAGCCACGTATTATGGAGTTACGACTGAATTCAGAAAAAACCAAAAAATGGCCGTTCTCAGAAAAGGATCCTAAAGTCCTATCATCCAACATCAACATACCGACACTTAGGTTATTCTATTCTCTCTTCAAAATGGGGGCAGAGATCATGTTCAAACTACATCAAAACATTGTTCCCTCGAAGAATGCATGACACGAGCCCGAGTAAACGTCAGCCCTCATAAGTAGTAATTACGGACTGCACAGTAATTACCACAGCGATGTCATCCAATTTAGTCAAGCCTTAAATCCAAATATTCACGAAAAGAAAAAACACACAAACTTGGGAGAAAGAGGCCAAGAGAGAAAGTATTAAGTTAAATAGCGTGTGACATTTTTTACAAGAGCACAAAAACGTTTAGGGACTTGTTTAGAAAAAAAACGAGCATTCAGGAAGTAGATACAGAAAAATAGGCAAAGCAAGCACTATGTTGAAATAGATCCAGACCCGAGATGCCTAAAAAAGTAATTAATCACAAAAAAATGACTTAACGAATAGAACGCCATAAAACCTTAGGGTCAAGTACGACAACGAAATACAAGGATGCAACCGTGAGTAAGGCGCAATATTTATAAGAATTATGGCGGGTCAATCTTCTTTTAGATTAGTACTTACGACAAATGACTGTTATGCCGTCAATACCCTCTGTTTTCTCCCTAAAAGTTTAGAGGCCATTTCTGCGGCATAAAAGAACACAGGGTATTGCAGATAGCGCGAGTTGTTCATGTGAATAGAAAACGCCTTTCCAGTCGTCCACTGGATTCACATACTGGGTTTTCCGTAAAAACAACACTAAGCATAGAACGAGAGGAAAAATAACAAAGTTGACGCAAAAGGAGATTAGGTGAAGAATAAATCCACGAATCGAATGACGTTGCACCAAACCAAAACTTGATTTTCATAGTCCCAAATCAGATAACCAGTTTATGAAATATACATGTATTCAGCCAATCGATCCTACAATTGACGAAACCCTCGGTTACTGAAGCAGTACATGGGTTAAACAAAGAAACTACACGAGCCCAAAAACAAACTTTGTTGAGAAAAGAATTCGTTCACGACCGCTTTTGTTGTTATTCAATCCCTGGTTTATCTATCATTCGGAGATCACATGCATGACGGCGAAAATCCCTCCTTCATTCTGTTTAACTTTCTGTTTAACTTTCTGCTTAATCTTCCAAAACTTGTAGTTTTCTCACGAGGTGTCTATGAATTGGGTGAGGCCGATCATGGGCATATGGGACTCAAAAGAAAGTTAGCAAAAGAAAATCACACCCGTTCCAACACAGCCAGCACTCTCCAGGGTCGATTCTGATGGGCCAAAATCAAATAAGCAAATCTTGACGCAGAGGGAGAGAGAGAAGGAGAAATTAGGTGAAAGAATGTATCGATGAAACAAATAACGTTATAGAGAGAAAAAACTCGGTTATCACATTCCCATATCAGGCAAATTGTGGAAATAAATTTGGTCAATGAGTCCGAAAACGAACGAAGCCCTCGGTTATGGGATTAGTACGTGGGTCAAACCGAGAAATTATGCCAAAGCCCAAAAAATAGGAAAAAAATACAAATGCAGTATATAGTTCGTACTCCCGGGAGCTTGTGTCGACCATCTGGCAGACGGATAGTGCGATCATGGAAGTCTTTCCAGTTCCGGACTGGGCCTGCGCAATGACATCGCGGCCGCTCACTATGGGCAGGACGGCCCTCTGCTGGATGGCGGAGGGTTTCTCGAACCCGTAGGCGTAGATGCCCCGGAGTAGGTCATCCCGAATACCCATCTGGTCGAAGCTGGTGATGGCCTCCACATCGGCGGACGTCTCGAAGACCAGGTTCGAGTCGTCCAGCCTGTGCTGCATCCCTCCCTCGCGGGTCCTCGGCGCCGCCACCGCCCCTGAAGCCATGGAAAGCTCTGCGACACCAGATCCCTACCAGAAGACAAAGAAGAACGGAGACGAAGCAACTGAAGTAGGGATTCCGGAGAAAGGGGGGCGAACGGGTTTTTATTGTCGGGCGGGAGCGGTGACCAATTGGGCTGCCCACAAACCAACTAGGGTTTATCCATCTGACGTCATTATATGCCCGATTTCTCATTATTATATTTTTTATAAAATTTATGCACACAAATTAATTTAATATACACTTACATGTGACTCAAAACGTCCGTCTCGCTTGGTTAATTTCCCTTTAAAAAATTAAAAATAATTCAATTAATGAAAATATGAAAAATAATCGTTTAATTTAGGTGGAAAGACCAGAACTGAGAGAATATATGGGCCTTTTGGGCTGTCACTTTAGCGGGCTCATTAACAGGCAAATGAACACGCGCCACGATTCTTGATGTGGAAGGCATTCTAGGAATTGGTAGAATGAGGGAGGAGACTGCAGGTCCGTTTCCGACCTCATTCTGGTATCTGCATCTAGGAATTGAACTTCTAATGGTGCGAAGCAGCTTTGATGGCGGAGGCGGCGGCGGATTGTCCTGAGCCTCGGTGATTCTAAGGAGACGAGATCTTCCGCCGTGGAAGATGACCTAGGAGCAGATGAGAACGGCGGCCGCTTCTTGTTTCTTCCTTATGATCATAAATCTGGGGTCCTGCTAAGTTATCTGAGGGACAGAGACGCAGAGGAAGTGAGGAAGATGGTTTTAGGGCTTGTGCGAGCCTCCCGGCGCATATTGGTTCGGCGCTACCCTTTCTTCACGCCACTCATTGAATCACCTTCCGTGATTTTCTCCTACGCCGAGGATTCTGGCTCTTCTGAAGCCAGTCACCTGCGTGGTGTTCAAACGGCGGAGTCTCCTTCGTTCCATCGCTCGAGATCATCCTGGACTGCGGCTACTGACCATCGGTTATGGCAACAAAGGCACTTTGAATTGGTGGACAGTTGCCCCCGGAGTCTCTTGTTCTCGGCGACCTTATCCAGTTCTTCGGAGAAGGGGGAGCGGCAGCAGGACGGCGGTGACGATCGGCAGCACGAGGCTCCGGTTACTGATGCGTCGTGGGTGGAGAAATACGTCCCCAGGTTTCTTGAACCTTATGCACTACTCGCTCGTCTGGACAAGCCCATCGGGACGTGGTTGCTGGCTTGGCCTTGCGCATGGTATTAGGCTTATTGTCCTCTCATCTGTACCTAGATATTCAGATGACAATTTTTTCGATGAAGACGATGAGATTTAGGTGATAGGAGCATTTCCTTGATCGGTCAAGTATCATTTATATTTTTTATTCTTCACACAAACCTTACCTGGAACATGTGATCTTGCAAAACGAGGAAGGGTATTTTGAAAAATGTCCACCAAAAATGGGTGACCAGTAAGATGACTGATATTCAGGTTCGTCAATGTAGGTCAATTACATTTGCTGCACGCCCTGGAAATCTTCCCGACCTTAAGATGCTTGCTCTGTTTGGATGCGGTGCCGTGCTTCTGAGAGGGGCTGGCTGCACAGTCAATGATCTCCTAGATCGAGACATTGACAACAAGGTACTCCCGAATGCCAATGCCGCATTCCCATCAGTGATAATAAGATATGTTTTTTTATGCAATCTTGTGGCTTGCAAATGATTATTATTGTAATCAGAAAATTGGCATTCAATGCCGTACCCTGGAGTAACATCAGATCATGAATGCGTAAGATTCATCCAAACAACCTCACTGAATGTGATTTCATCTGCTAGCCAAATATCAAAGAATCTTGTTGACTTGGATAAGAAAACATATTCCAACTTTGGCATGGATTGATGCTGCCAATTTTACTTTAGACGACTTATTCCTACTTTGAGAAGCTCTTTCTCGTTCTATCCCAACACCTTCTTTCGTGTATTGACTTAGTATTTTGTATGTGCATTGATGCGCACTGCTTTAACTTTATTCTCAGCGAAGTGGTGTATTACCCCTACGAAAAAAATAAGAAATAGAAGCTTTCTATCAGCATTGGTTTCGGCTTGTTTTATTCGGCGTTTGAAAAATTATACCCTCTTCTTTTTTTTGTTGGCTTACTCTTCAATAAATCTACAGTTATCCAGCTGAACTGGGAATTAGAGCAGCAGGGACGATTAATGTATTTGGTCTCAAGGAGATTGTGCAGCTGTTCGTTTTGCCGCTTGGATGGTGGTGAAAAAAAGACTAGTTCTAGGTCAGAGGATTTCCAGGAAGAAAACCATAGCAAGACTGTGTTCGCAGGAATTAACAGTTCATTTTAGGTTCCTGTCAAGGGGAAAGATCCGTTCGCATGAAAATACGATAAAAAAGAATTTCACGTGCTACACATCTTTTGCGGCCATAACTAGTAGAAAAACTCTGATGGCTGACATGAGTATTGTTGATTGATCTTCACTAATATTTCCTAACGATTTATTACACTCACTGCTTGTTTTTTCTTGGTTGCTATAGGTGGAGCGAACAAAGTCTAGACCAATTGCATCTGGTCTTTTGACACCATTCCAAGGGCTTTCGTTTCTTGGGTTTCAGCTTTTGTTGGGACTTGGAATCCTTCTTCAATTGAATGATTTCAGGTAACTTGTAACTACTTTTATGAGGAGGCACTTTGTTTTAAAACTTTTCGTTGAGTTTCGTTTGTTTGAATGTTAATAAGATACCCCAATATCGGGTGGATATCTTGTCGGAGTACCTCTGAGAGAGAGAGAGAGAGACGACAGATGATGATGTTGGCTCAGATGGATGGAAGAACTAATAGGAATAAGTTTGCAACTCATGTTTATCAGTATCATGTAGGAAGAAACAAAAGAGAAGTCATTTAGCATATTTTCTGCTTGTGTATTTTAGACCAGACATACATCTCATGGGAAGTGTGAAAACCCCAGAAGAGTTTTCTTTGTTTATCATGATTATCATCAGCGTGCTAGTTATCTTCTTCTTGAGAGTTATTAAACGTCATTATTCAACTTTGAAGTTCACCTATTCTTTTGAGTTACTCGCAAATCCGCTGTCTCCATGTGGTCTAAGAATTTCATGCATCAATCATTAAAGAAAATATAACTGTTTGTTACACTTCGAGGTCCTCAGCATATGAATGGATACTGCATGTAGTGTAAATTAATCGTGCAGACTTTATGGGTCATGTTCATCATTTACTGTTCTATTATTTTTGGAATTGATAAATATCAATAATGACTAATCTAATAGAAGAGTGATGGAGATCCTTCTTTCCTCTGCATCCGATGTTTTGCACCTTCGCACCAGCATGTTAGGTGCGATTTCTCTTCATTGACTGAGACAAATCCGTTGATTATTTCTTACTAATTTTATTCATAAAATGCGGTCTCCTGGTTCCTTCAATTGTCTGCACATTTCTTTTATGAATTGGCTCTCTTTGCAACGAAGGCGCCATTCTCTTCTCATATACTAAAATAGTGTGCAAGAATTTGGGGTATGTAACGCCATTTCATTCTTTCCAAAAGCCGTGTCTTAGGTGCATCATCATTGCTGCTGGTTTTCTCCTACCCCCTCATGAAGAGATTCACATTTTGGGTATGTGACAGATTATACTACGATGAATTATGGATTTTCTGGAAAAAAAAAAAGAAGCTATGTAATTAAATTGGCCCCTGATTCTGCAGCCCCAAGCATATTTAGGTCTAACCTTTAACTGGGGAGCTTTACTTGGCTGGGCTGCTATTAGAGGAAGCCTAGATCCTGCAGTTGTCATCCCATTGTACAGTGCAGGGGTCTTCTGGACACTCGTATATGATACTATCTATGCACATCAGGTACATTGACTATGCTCCAGCATTGCAATCACTTACCATCTCATTTTCCTTCATCCTCTCTCTCTCTCTCTCTCTCTCTCTCACTGCACAAGTAGCTAGCAAAATTTTCCTTCCTTCTTTAAGAAATGCTGACAAAGGTAATCCCCAGGATAAGGAAGATGACCTGAAAGTAGGCGTCAAGTCAACGGCATTGAGATTCGGTCATCTAACCAAGAACTGGATTTCTGGATTTGGGGTTTCCTGTGTTAGTAGCCTTGCCCTCTCTGGATACAACGCAGAGCTTGGTTCGTATTAGTTTCCTTTGCCGGCTGGCATGAAGCCTTTCATTAGCTATCATGCTGAAGTAATTAACTGCTTGCTTTCTCTTGTAGAACAGAGTGGCCGTATTACACATGTTTGACTCTTGCAGCTGGACAGTTAGGATGGCAGATATGGTCTGTTGACTTATCTAGTCGTGCAGATTGCAACCGAAAGTACGCATTTTCAAGGGATTCTCTTCATCTCAATATTTTTGCTGCATCGCCATTTTTTTAAACATCTTTTGATTGATTAGACCAAAGTAGGGTCTGCCTCATTGTTATCTATACACCCTCACTTCCCTTATAAATCAGTTCAAACACAGGCTGGCTGTCATCTGATAGTCCACCAATCCAATTTTCTTATGCTAGCCGGGGGGAAACGGTAAAGTCTCAATTTTTAGGGGGGTTATTAATAAAATTCCTAGCTCGAAAGCTTATCCCCCGTGTGTAGTGTTCCATCTCGGACCCCCTTCCTTGCTTTCTTGTCCCCTTACATTGTTGAATTCCATTCAACTATTTCTTGATCTTCATCTGGTATTGGAGTCCCATCATCATCCTTTTTTTAGCCTTTGTTCTTTGTCAGTGAGAAATTTTAGGCCCGCTTCCTGTTCTATGAATGGAAACTGCGAACCCATCATTGCGGATTAGCAAATTGTGAAGAGTTGATTGCTCGTTGACTTGCATCAGTCAGCTTCCTGTTCTATGAATGGAAACCGCGAACCCATCATTGCGGATTAGCAAATTGTGAAGAGTTGATTGCTCGTTGACTTGCATCAGTCAGCTTCCTGTTCTATGAATGGAAACCGCGAACCCATCATTGCGGATTAGCAAATTGTGAAGAGTTTCAAGTTGACTATCTGAAGCTGAATTCAGACGTAGGATGAGGCATTTGAGAATTGCTCGTTGACTTGCATCAATCAGCTCAATCTCACTCTTAAAAGGAGCACATGGCGTTTATATTCCCCAATCTCTGCCGACACCTTTGCCTGTGCGTGCTTCTCGCTTGGCTACACTCGAGATCTTCCATTAGGGTTTAGATGGCTTCGCCTCCACTTTACACCCCAAATAGAAGTATGTTCTTCATTCTACTATTACCTTCAATGGCGATGGTCTCAACTATCTCTGCATAAAATTTTCAGTTTTATTATTTTCATAAATCCATTGTGGGATGAACATAACATTTGCAGCGTTTTTTTCAACTCATTATTTTCTCCAACTGAATGGGGAAAATCAGAAAAAATCTGAGCTTTGGCCTGTTTATTTTCAGATTTGTCTCCAACAAATGGTTTGGAGCTTTCGTCTTCAGTGGAATCTTGTTGGGTCGACTAGCATCTTGAAAGGTACCACCCTCTTCATTCACACCCAAAAGGGCTCTACACGCCTCACCTTTATTGAATTGCTCATCATATTTTTGGTATCTCTTGGAGTATCTACCTTAAGCAGTGGGCCCATCTTAGCTCAGGGTTCTCTCATTGCGGCGCCCACCCTTTTGGTACTTCCCGAGTTCTCTGAGTGTAGATCGGTTTGCACAGTTCAGTCAAAATGGGCCAAACTTTGTGAGGGATAACTGAGCCATTTCCTTATCAATGTGGCCTGTTTTTTCTTATTCGAGAACAATATTCTACATTAATCCCAATTAGGGGCACTAATGAATTGGGCCGGGTGCAAGCTTTTGTAAGGCCCAGGGAATGGGCTCTGGGCCAGATTGCTCTGAACCCAGCTCCACCAATGAGAGAGAGAGAGAGAGAGAGAGAGAGAGAGAGAGAAGGTTGTCAAACGGGTGATCATAGAACAAAAACATGAGAAAGTGTCTTAGCTAGCCACTTATTCCGGCGTTCATCACCCTTCCACTTCAGAGACTACAATCCACTGTTTAATTTTATCTACTGTGACCCTCATTGAATTGGGCCGGATGCAAGCTTTTGTAGAGCCCAAGAAATCGGCTCGGGCCAGATTGCTCTGAACCCCATCTCCACCAGCGAGACAAAGAGAGAGAGAGAGAGAGAGAGAGAGAGAGAAGGTTGTCAAATGGGTCATCATAGGACAAAAACATGTGAAAGTGGGCTCATTTCTGACTTTTATTATTATTATTATTTTTCAAGTGCTGATTGCGGCAGTGGGTCATGCCAAAGGAGCTAAGACCAATGGTGCTGATGTGTATACGTGGCCTTTAGTGGTGGGGACAAGCCGGTCATTGCTCACGCCACTTATTCCAGCGTTGACAAGATCAGATATATTGGATCTGATCCACATCACCCTCAATTTTTTATCGAATTTATTTTCACTTCAGAGAGTATAATCCCCTGATTAGTTTATGTACACCATCTCTCCAGTTATTTTCGGCAAAGCCATCAGCTTTAGTTAAAAGAGTATCTCCTGTATTCATATTATTGTCTGCAGCTGCATTCCAGAGGAGATCCGGGCCTCATGGCTGGCCCTCTTTATGCACATATTTAGAGAGAGAGAGAGAGAGAGAGAGAGAGGGAGTTACACTGGAGGCGCTCTTGATTCATTAGGCTTGATCTCATTGTACATCCTGCTCGGTCTTCTTAATGCACTGATCTTCAGGAGGGAAGGAGTCAGAGAGAGAGAGAGAGAGAGAGAGAGAGAGAGAGAGAGAGAGAGGAACCCAAATCCGAGTCATTCCTTTTCTTTGTATTTTCACATCAAGTAATACCGTAAATAGAAAAAAGGTTATCTAACATCATCGCAAGAGAAGGAAACGCAGAGCTACCTCGGATGTATCATTCAACCGCTATGAGGTTCATGGCGTAGACTTGTGTAGCCATTTAGTAGAAAATCATTCTACAACTAACAAATCTCAGACACAAATCAAACAACTTCATCCTCCCCCCTCCTCTCCTATTAAAACAAATGCTGTAAGATCAGTGATTATGCCTGCAACAGAGTTACTGTTAGTGGGTACGGAGGGGGGAGGCTGGAAGAGAGAGAGAGAGAGAGAGAGAGAGAGAGATTATGCCTGCAACAGAGTTACTGTTAGTGGGTACGGAGGGGGGAGGCTGGAAGAGAGAGAGAGAGAGAGAGAGAGATTATGCCTGCAACAGAGTTACTGTTAGTGGGTACGGAGGGGGGAGGCTGGAAGAGAGAGAGAGAGAGAGAGAGAGAGACTTGTCCCAGCATAACTTCAACCCGGGCAAAACTGAATCTGAGCCAGGCCTTTTTCTAAATACTTACAACCATTGTTGGATGAGAAATCGGTGATTTCAATTGAATGATTTTCGGAGAAAAAAAATATGCATCATACTAAAATCTGACTTTACCTGAGGTTGAAAGCAAAGTCAAAAAAAAAAAAAAAAACTTCTCTAATGCTGTAGAGCATGGAACACATACAGAGACCAAAGCAATAACACAGTATAAGCAATGTATTGAGGATTATGGATAACCTAAAAGCTGATTTGATCGGATATAAATACAATCGAATTAAAACAGCGTCAATGATAATGTAATATATGTGAGGAGAAAAACACCTTCAAACAGATCCAATTAATAGTGGGGATGAACTACCAACCAAACCCTAGCAAAATCCTTGCGAGCAGTAAAACATTTGAGATACTTGTTCATTACCTCCAATTAATAGACGCATCAATCATTTCAAGGAAGGGAAAAAAACACAGATTTGCCTACCCAAACGAAACAAATCCACCATGTCCACCAACAGTACTCCCAACCGATACTCACACAGACCAGGAATTAGATGGCTACAGTAAATAACAAACGTACTGTTCCATGAATCATTCGGCGCTTCATCTTAGAGAATCATCCAAATTAAAACCCATAAACTCGTAGAGATCTTGTATCTCCAGGCTATATGATGAGTATGACGATTCAAATATGTTTCTGCAAGGTAAAATTTTGGCACGAATACCGAGTTTTAAACTATAAGCTCACCATCATAGAAGCCATACCACCCAAAATCCACTTTACAATCTGGACCTCCTTCAGCAAATTCAGCAGGCTGATCATCAATCATATTAACAACTTGTCTAAGATCCAATGAAATAGAACATTAGAAATTGGATAATCTTTCAGCAGGAATGCCCATCATAAAGTTAGATCCGTTACTCCAAATACAGAGTCAGCAAAATCGATCTCCCACATCTTTTCCATAAAATGATCAGACCTTTAATTAAAACCACCATTGTGATTGAAAATCCATTACCCAATCAAAGATTCACCCTCCACAATGACCTCAAGATTTCATCATCAACCAGCTTATATATCACAGGCAAATAAAAATTTCTGCTTCCTCCAAATGCAGCATACAGAAATTATCTAGAATCTCACGTCTTGGGTCATACCTAGCACTTAAGAATCCTATTGACGTCTTTGAAAAAAAAAAAAAAATTGATGAAAAGACATACTTCTCCAAACGAAAAGCCAGACATCTGTTAAACTATAAAAGAAGAATGAAGGAGCCAGATGCCAAAGCCATGATGAAGCCATGGAAATTTCCTATACCTGCAAGACAGATGGAAGGAGAATATAAAACTAAACGAACTTGGAAGAGGAATAAAGAGTGACCATGCCAATGCAAGAAGTCTTACGTTCAAGGAGTTCAGTTCATTCGCTGTCTAATAATAATATCTGCTTCCAGAACCTTCACCTCCATATAGAGATGAATATCCTGAACCCCCATACTGCGAGAGATACAGCGATAAAGTACATTAGAACCTAGGTGACAACATGCAAAGATAATCAAATTCATTTACTTACATCTGAACCATAGTAGTCATGAGAATACATACTGCCAGAACCTCGCATACGATCTACAAAAAAAAAGAGAAAATACAGTTCATGGAAGGACTTAGTAGAAGAAAATAATGGAAGTAATAAAAACACAGTCAGAGCAAAGTGAGCATTATTAACTAGCAGAGCCTAGAAACCAAAAACACAGATCGCTAGCTGCCTCACATCACAATCTTCCCTCTATCTATTTCGTTCCTATACTCTAAATTTAAATATATACGCTTGATATATCCGTTTCGTGCTGACTAATGCTCTGATGCATTGATGCAAATTCTAAGCATCACTGTGTTTGGATTGTAAAGAAAAAAAGTTCAATTAAAAAATTAAGGCCAATTAGTAATGAAGGCAAAAATATCCTATGACCTAAACACGAAATGATAGACAATTAAAAGTTTGAACCATAGTTACAATGTAAAAGCATCATCAATTAACATTGCTAACAAAAAATTGAACTAAGGAAAGTCATCAATAATCTAGGCGTCTGAGAATCTATTGTGCCTGAGAGACGGCCACTAAACATCCGGGATGGTAATTAAATGAACATTTCAGCTATGCACAATGTTTATAGAAGTTCCAGGTCCAAACCTTGATAACGAGCTTCACCAGCCAACGGATCAGCAGGATTGTAGCGAGGACGTACCCTGCTCCCAGGCTCCAAGAACCTAGACTCATCCTGATCCAGTACCACACATCTTTAACCGATAAAAATATGAAAATAATCATTGAGAAAGACATAACTTCAGTGGCACGTCTATGAATCTTACAATCATAGAGAATGGTCTTTTGACACCATGGCCAACATCACCATAATAGTACGGATCTTCAGCATAGTGTCCACCATCAGAAGGCCCGCCAAAATCACCATCAAAAGAAAATGGCTCCCCTCTCAGATGAAGGGGCCTGCCACGGCCTCTTACAAAACCCCCATGCCTAGACCTGCTGGTATCGAGCCTTGGAGGAAATTCTTCATTTACTCCTTCATAGTCCCCCCTGAAAGATCCTCGTCCACCTGTTTACCAACAAAAAACGTGAGAAGAAGAAGAAAAGAAGAAAACCTGATCAGAATGCATGAATATCTCGTCACTTATTCAATTTCCATGAACTAAAAAAAGATCACTCGTTAAAACTGAGATTTCTAAGTCCAAGTAAAGTTGGACCTCGCGCTCCAAATGGCTGCCGACCGCGGAACCTGAAATGGGAGTTGTCCATGTTGCCTTCGGCAAAGAAGGGAAATCTTCCACCTCGGCCATGTCCACGAATGTGGAACCCTCGGCCACCTTGGAACCCTCCTCGGGCAAAGGGAACCCTCCCCCTGCCATATCCTCTACCTGCTGGGAAAAAAGAAGAGAAAATCGTAAAGGTGTACGGTACACATAGAAACATGTAAGCACCTCAGATGGATAGACTTACCAAACCTTGAGAAACCACCCATTCCAGCATGCCCAATTCGGAATCCACCACGCATTCCACCTTTCACAGCCTGAGTTTTAGGCAGTGGATTGGCAAGCCTAGCTCGTACCTTCATCTGGTGCCATTATGCAACAAATGAAGCACAAATTACATGGTAATTGAAAAGAAACAAAATATCGTGTACTTTCCATTCTTCAAGGATTATGCATTTAAAATTATACCATGATTAAAGCACAAGATATTAGACAATGAAAGGAAACCAGAAGCTCACCATCAATTGTTCATGTAAAATGAGGATACTCAAAAAGGATGACAAAAATAGTTTTTGCTTTGAAATGAGTAATGATCATCCACAAAATATCAAAGAGAGGAAGAAAAGATGATCTAAATTCCCACCCAAAGGCCAGATGCATTGATAAGAAAGGGGACTCGGTTGGTAAACTAGCAAGTAACTTAGATTACAATTATGAAGGACAGCTATTTTAAGGAATGAAAACACTAAATTAAATAAACTTTCCCCCAATAGAGATTCTGAAAGCACTGACTTCTGCGAAGAGCCTCTTGAAGTTTACAACACTTCAACAGCTCAGCCGACAATCTTCAATCCCCTTAAAGTATCTTGAAAATTTTCGAGCTCTCTCTCACGGCCAAATGACCCATAGTAGCGCAGGAAGTAATACCGTTCAACATTTCCTTTCAACACATCAGTCTTTGATCGATTAAACAGCTCAGACGACGATTCTTCAATCTCCTTAAAGACACCTTGAAATTTTTCGAGCTCTCTCTCCCACCAAACGTCCCATAGCAATACAGGAGGAATGACGTTCGACATTCCCTTCCAAGTTAAGGACAGAATGACGGGAAACTGCCTTCTATTATTACATTAGAACAAGGACTGCTTCAAAACTTGACCACAGTGGTTCTGGACCAGAATTTCAGAATAATATCAATAATGCCATACTCAACAACTAAGATAACAATGACGGTATCTCTCCTACTCTTACAAAGTATATACTTGGCATTGATATTCATTCTAAGCTTGTTCATTCTATCACGTGTCATATCAAGATTTTTCTTTTTGTAAGGGAGATCCTTTTCCATTTTTTGACAGATTTTGGGTCCCCGTTCATTGTAAATCTTTACAAATGACTGCATATAAACTTAACCTTAGATAACCATCAATAGAAAAAAAAAAATCACCCTCATCATCATATATCAACACTTTTCGACGAAGATCTATAAATTCTTCAACAGTAATCATATAAGATAGGCATGCAGAGAAAGTCATCATTACGACGCCTCCAGAACCACCAATGATACGACTATGGGACGCTTTTTTCAATGGAGGTTTGTCCCAACCACCAAAGGCTGAGCCCAGAACCAATGCACTGTTGTCAGCTATGACTTTGTAATATCTCGTGGGAAGATGGGATTTGCAAGCACCAATGCTACAAAAGAAAGTGCCAAATATTTGACGAGCAAGGACAATTATGAGTTTTAACTGATGGGAGTGGACCAATTTTGTAATTGGTATCAGTTGATTTTCTATCCAACTAGTTTGCAAGCATAGAAGTGGTGAATCTCAGTTTGGTGGGTGCTTTGAATAAACACATCAAGTTCTTCTCCTCATACTAACAAGTAGTTCTTTGCAAAATAAGATTACATCACCATTTCACCTTCATCGAGACATTCATTGTGGTAGAGAAACAGGAACGGCTACAACAAGTTTACCTACAAGTAGGAACTCGCAACAATTCAACTGATCAAAATGATGTGTTACCTTTGATTTGCCATCACCTAGTTCTGTATTATTTACAGCTTCAGCACAAGCAACAGCAGCTTCATGAGTTGTATAGTTCACGAAACCAAAATCCATCCTCTTGGCAGTTGGCATATTACGGGCCAGCACAATACCCTCAATCTCCCCGTAGTCTTTAAAGTGCTCTTTTACACGATCCTCGTCCCAAAATGGAGGCATCCCATCCACGAAAACAGATTTAACCTACATTAAGCATAGAGAACATGATCCCTCTGGGCAAAATATGTAATTCCAGAAGAAAAGAAAACAATAACAAAATCTCTACAGACCTGGGCCATTACTTCTGGATCTGGCTCACGTAATGGTTCGGCAAAAGCCACCTTTGCAGTCCATTCAGCATGGCCAAAAACAACATCCGGCTTTTGGAGACGTTTGTAGGCATTCATTGCATATTCATGGCATGAAAATTCCACAAAAGCAAAACCCCGACTCAACCCCTCATTTTGGGTATCACCAACAAGAGTAATGTTCTCAACTCCTTCAACACCATAATCCTTTAGCCTCTGCTTGATCTGAAATCAAAATAAATCGAAATTCATAGATAAGTCACATAAAATCGATTTTTCTTTGGGAGTGTGGGATACGAAAGATAAAACCATACAGCCTCCTTTGTCCATGTATTGCATATGTTACCCAAAAACAATGTGTCGTTATCCTCGCTACGCGCAATACCACACCTCTTTCCATTAATCTGGAAACAAAAAGAAGAATTTGGGAATATTACACCAATATTCAACAAAAATATTAGCTTTTTATCAAACCTGGCAGTAGATAATATAGAAGCAGCGAGTACAATATATGGCTGAATCAGGAATGGCACAGGGAAAAATAAAGAACATGAATCTGTGTAAAGTAACATAATTGGCAAGAAAATCACCAGATGTTCATGGTACACCACATTCACGATATTGAAAATAATTTTTTTTGAAAAATATCAAATGGTAAGTAAAAAAAAATCGCCGATCATGAGTAGATAATCAGGAGATTACCGAATTATTTTACTGCAGAATGCAGAATGTTTAGGAAAAGTAAACAGAAGATAAATCTAAAGCAATGTGTCTTTCTCAAATCAAATGGTTCAATAAACCATTAAACCAGGTTGTGGGAAAAGAGAGACCACAGACATCACAAACGGGAAAAAAGGAGTTTTTTATATAGTTCCAACTTTTCTTTTCTTCTTTCTTTGTTTTAGGGATGGCTTGGGGAATGCACGCTGAAAAACTGACCAACTTACAATGGGGTTTTTCAACTCTAGTATAGCCCTGTTGGCCTGCTCTTTATCTGCAAACTTCACAAAGGCGAAACCCTTGTTCTTGTTGGTCGTGAAGTCCTTGTGAAGCCGAATATCCTCCACAACCCCAATCTTCTCAAATACCTTCCTCACATCCTCTTCTGTAGCATCACGATCCAAACCACCGACAAATATCTCTTGCTCCTTTTTCTTTTTCCTCTCCTTGATTATATCCAACATCTCAACCTGCTCATCCTCACCCAATCTACCTGCTTGCTCTGCTTCCCCCACAATTTCGTTTTCCTTCTCCTCAGCTGTTGTTTCCTCGTCCCCAGGTACGTCAACTCCCTCTTGGCCCACGTATTCTTCCATAGTGCGGTCTTCATCTTCAGTTACCACAGCCTTCATACTGGATTCTTCTTCCTTCTTGAGATTTACGATGAGCCCACTCTTTGACTCATAAGAATCTGCTATGCTGTCGCCTTCCTCTCTCTTCATTTCATCCACTGGTTCCTCTCCTTTCTCCTCAACAGAAGGTTTCTCTGGTTCTTCATCAGGGATAACAGTTTTTTGTTCCATCTCAGGTTTCTTCCCAACAAGGGGTCTCCCCTGTTCATCGACTTCCGTTCGAACAGGTGTTTCCGTTTCGCCAGTCTTTGGCACTGATTCATTCTTGACACCCTGCAGTTCCATCGTGGATGTCTTTGCCTTAACTAAAGACGGGGACGACTTCTTTGCTGCTGCCGGCTTCTTCTCCGGAGATGTGGAAGTGGGCGCCGTATTCAAATCCCCCAACACAGCTGCTTCTTCTTCTATGAAAAAATATGACACCAAAAAGGGGTTTAATCAATACAAAGACCGAACCAGCGATTAGAACGGTGACTCTTACCCCTTCTCAGCGATCGTAGGACTACCTTTCTGCTCGGGCTTCATGTCCGAGACAAGCACTACTTCTGGTGCAGCCGCAGGAAGAGGCGGATCACTTGTCGCGGAAGAAGCGCCAGAGTAGACCGTGGCTGCTTTACGGTTGGACCTTTTCCCCGTGTTTCTCGCTCCTCTAGTTCCGGAACCAGGCTTGGGCGGCGTGGTTTTCGTTTCCGGTCCTGGCACCATCTCCGGAGTGCTTCCCGAAGATGCTGCGGCGTTGGAAGTGGCCTTCTTGGCTGGAGGAGTTTTCTTGTTTCCTCCAGACCTGGGGGTTCTCATCCTTCCTGCAAAAATTATAAACCCAAACAACCACGGGACCATCACGATTAGGCGGAAGGAACAAATTAAAGATTAATCAAACACCGTTCTCTCGCCATCGATAACGGAGACGAGTTCGTGAAGCTATCGCAACTCGAATTAAACAACGATAGAGAAACGAGGGAGACGGGTCGTGCCGGGGAGGCGATGGCACCAACCGTGAGAGAAATGGAGGCCCAACTTACCGAAGACAAACAAGCGCACCCCTCGACTGGTTCTACCTTCTCCGGGAAGGCGAGCTCTGAAACCCTAGAGGGAGAACAATATGCGAAAGGGAAAAAAAATGGGAGGAACGATAACGCGCGGGCTCGATAATGGAACGCCAACGATTCGTGCCGCCACTAACGGTCGAATTCGTTTACCTACCAAGATCCGACGCGAACGGGCCGCGAGAAACCGGGCTGGACCGAAAAACCGGCTCGTACCTCAAGTCGACCCACTTCTTTATCGGCTTTGGCTTCTACAAATCCAACCAGAGCTTTTTTTTTCGGGCCGGGCTGCCGTCCAGGGTCCGGGCTACACAGCCCGCCCAGGAAAGCCCAGGTACCAGCCCACTAACCAAACCCACCCCCTCCCCCAAAAAAAAGAAAAAAAAAAAAAACTAGTCATCGAAATTAATTCATGTTTGGTCCATTTTTTTGGGGCTCGCATATTTATCATTTCTACTTAGATAAATACCAGAAAAATATCAGTCCCTGGAGGGACGTAATTTATAAAAAATCAACACAAACTTTCAGAAATTATGGGCTTTTTATGCTCATAATTAACGACAATTCAGAACCAGCATTTCATTTTTTAAATTATATAAATTATTAAAAACTTTTATTTCTAACATCAGGTAGAGAGATAAAGAGGATCATTTACCTTCCATTAGACTCTAAGAGTTTTGTGAAATAGTCCTAAACATTTGTCATAATATCGAAATCAAGGATTTCATGAAGCTTCGTGGGGATTGAAGTTAGATGTTTCAAGTGGAGGTTTTCATGATTTTGAGAAAAGAAGAAGAGGTAAAACATTAATTAGATTTGAAAGGACAATTAATTAATTTTTTATGACATCATTTTATTAAAAAAAAAGATTATTATTTTTCAACTATGTTTAGCTGGTGAAGTTATAAATAATATTTATGAGGTTGAAATTGATATTTATATGGGTAAGAAATTATTAATATTGTTCACCTGTAAAAAAATTAAGAATAAATTATCGATCTAACCTTCCCTTCTCTCAAAATAATCTTCAGGGCTCCAGTCCGTTGGGTCGGGTCGGGGCTCGACAAGGCCTGGGCCGGCCCGGTTTGGGCTTAACCCGCTTTCGGTCTCCGCGAGCCCATTGGGGGGTCGCCGTCGAGGACGGCGGCACTTGATCCTACGGTAAACATTGGCCGGTGATCACATCGAAGGGTGGGAATCGATTCAAAACCCTAACACCTTCGAGTCCTCTTCCCCTCCAACGGCCCTACTTCAGGGTTCTGAAGTCCTCTTGCTCTTGCTTCCCTTTCGTCGGGCGTCTCTCCGCGTGCTGCTGCTCAGTCTCCGTCGCCGCTTGCTGCTTCCCAATCTATCCTTTTCAGAACAGGTTCGCCCTCCTCTCCCTCCCTCTCTCCCTCTGCTGTACGAGATTTCTCCGTCGATGGACACCGGGAATGACGATCATTCCGCCCTGAAGGAACCAGCGGTCGTCTAGTTTGTGGTTCAGTTTCCTTGGGATTCTTCTCCTGTTCTCAGAATCTCGGAAATGCGCGGGTTTCAAACGTTCCTTGCAGGAGTATCGCCGTCTGCCGTCGTTCATGGAGGTGACCAGTGATCGACAGTCTTCGGCAGCGCCAACCTCCATGGAACTCGACTCCTCTGCGGGAGCCGGCGTCGATAAGCTTCCTCCTAAGCCAGAATTCGCTGCTCTCTCGGCGCAAGAGATGGATGGGAAGGTGGAGTTTCGAAGAATTCCGGTCCCTCCCCATCGGTACTCTCCGCTGAAGAAGAACTGGATGGAGATGTACACCCCCGTCTACGAACAGATGAAGATCGATATCCGCATGAACCTCAAGGTGATCTCTTCTGATCGACTCTCTGTCAATCGACCAGCCAGTGTCTCTGGTGTTCTTCAGTGAATGTTCTAGCCCGAATCTCGAGCTATGTTGATCGATGTTCATGGATTTCTGAACTCTCTCAGGCTCGGAAGATCGAGCTGAAGACCAGACGGGACACGCCGGAGGTGGGCAACCTGCAGAAGTGCGCTGACTTCGTGCACGCCTTCATGCTCGGCTTCGACGTTGCGGACGCCGTCGCCCTCCTCCGCCTGGACGACCTCTACGTCGAGTCCTTCGAGATCCAGGACGTGAAGACGCTGCGCGGCGAGCACGAGAAGAGGGCCATCGGCAGGCTCTCGGGCAAGGGGGGGAAGACCAAGTTCACCATCGAGAACTGCACCCGCACCAGGATTGTCATCGCGGACAGGAAAATCCACATCCTCGGCTCCTTCGTCAACATCAAGGTTGCCAGGGACTCCCTCTGCAGTCTGATCTTGGGCTCCCCGGCGGGGAAGGTCTACTCCAAGCTCCGATCCGTCACCGCCAGATTGGCGGAGAGGTGTTGACCTGAGATCCGCCGATTTTTTTGAAAAATGTTTATTTGTCGCCATCACCTCTCCGGCGCTTGTGATCTGTACAAAGAATTTGAGATGATAAATCTAAAATCTCTCTCTCTCTCTCTCTCTCTCTCTCTCTCTCTCGTCATCTCGCAGTATGATCTGAATTGTCGCCGCGAAAAGCTGAGATTTTTATCAGAAACAGTATTTGAGGGGGTAGAGAATATCATCCCTCCGTACCCAATCCGCCGCCGCCGTCGCCTCCCGTTGCCCTCCCATACTCCGGCGAGAGCCCGCCGCCGGTCTCCTCTCCGGCGACCAATAATGGGTGTAAACCATTTGATGGCACAGCGGGTGACGTGCCCATGAGGAGATGAGATCAGTTCAGTTCAGGGTATCTGAGGTGTTGAGCCATAAAGAAGATCATTAACCGTCCATCCAACTGCTCAAGGCCCATCAGACGGTCCCAAACGACCGGATACGCCGCCTCGACGTGACGTATAAATACGCGGCCCGTTTTACCGTGGATCACGAATAGGCGTGGAGGCTCATTGACAGAGAGCTATCATCGTCCTCCGAGAAGGCACAGTCCGTCTCCCACCCAAAAATCTCTCTCTCTGTCCTTCTCTCTCCTCTCTTCTCTCTTCTCTGTCGCTCGCTCGCTCGCTCTTTCTCTCTCTAAGATAGTACTCGCACTTGCCCGTGTCCTTCGTCGTCGCCATCGGCGTTCTTGTTTAGCTGAGCTCGTTCTCTCAGGCATCAACGCTCCCCGAGCGCCAGGTTTTATCTCCGTGGCCGCGTCGGCGCCGGGGATTCACCGTCTCCGGCGTCGACAAGGCAGGAGCACACGAGAGGTTTAAAGCGAAGGACGCGGGGGAGGAGGGGGGGTAGTGAACCCTCTCTGCCTCTTCTATGCGAGTCTCTATTCCTCTCTGCGCTTCCTGATCACGCCTGCGGAGGGCAGTTTGCCAGGTACAGGGTGCCGTGGATTAGGGTTTGTGTGGTCGTGCCGCTGCAATGGCGCCGCGCCGGAGGAAGGTAGGAAACCGGGGCAATGAAAAGGAGCGGTTCCGCGTCGGAGATTTGGTTCTGGCAAAGGTCAAGGGCTTCGCTGCGTGGCCGGCTAAGGTGTGTGCCTTTGTAACCTTTCCAATTGGATGTGGGCTCGAATTTTTGTGGCGGGAGGCTCTAGTCGTGTTTCTTTTTACATTTCGTTTTCTACGTTATTTTTCGCGGGCGCATAGTTGGGAGCGGGGAATAATCAGACGCGGGATTCACTGCTATCGTTGTGAATATTTGTGTTATCATTTATTTTTTTATTCTCATAGATGACACTCCATTAATTGGTCTTCTGGTCCGAGTCTTTGAATTTTAGGGTTTCGTTATTTTTCCATTTTCTTTCCGTTTTTTAAAATAATGTCATGTTCTGTTCTGCATAGCCACATATTTACGATTCGTGGGGTTTGTAATAATCCGTATGTATTTTCTGTTGACACGAAACCTCTTTCGTTGATGATTTTTTCCGCAGATCAGCAGACCTGAAGATTGGAAACGATTACCTGACCCGAAGAAATATTTTGTTCGATTCTTTGGGACGTCTGAAATGTGAGTGCCTACTTTTTCTGCTAGCCCCAAAATATTTTTCATTCCTTCTGTCTGTTCCGTAGTTCAATATTGATGACAAAATGGAGAAGTTATAGATCTTCAATATTAGGTAAATTTTTAAGAAAGTGAAAATAATAGGGAGCTGCAGTGTTTTAAATGGCAAGGACTCAATATTTCCTTTAGGCACCTAGTAGCGATATGATGACTGGTCGGAACTGGAAAAGGCTGGGTTATCTTAGCTTATCAAACTCGGATGGCTGAGTAAGTCATGTGCGGCCCGGGTATAATAAACTCGGATAAATCGCTTAACTTACTCGACCAGAAGAGTCAAATAGCGGGAACCAGCCCAATTACGAATTTCAATTCGGTCGCTTAACTGAAAGCCAAGTTAATATAGGTTATCCCATGACAGGAATAATGATGCTATCAAACTGAAAATTGGATGAACTAGAATTCAGAACTGAACCTTGATTAACCTAGATAATTCTGACCAGTTATAAAACTAGTCCCTGGTGTGCTCCTTGTGGGGACTGTCTTGGTAGTTCCGCGTGGATGTAATTATTGTTTTGTGTGCTCATTAGTTAATCCTACTTTCTTTTTTTTTTTCTGAGATGGATCTCATTGCTTCTTGGAATTTACTGCAGTGTGAGTCAAAATAAGTTGTGCATTTCTGCGCAAATCGCTGTTTGAGATCATAAGCTTGTTAGTCCCGCGATATTAAGTCGCTCTCTAAAGTGTTATGCAAGTTCTCTGCTTATTCAAAACTTGGGGTACAATTTTTTTTTAGAATATTTTCGTTGTCATATCCAGGGCCTATAAGGGATGTTGACTTGCATCTGTAGTTTAGTCAACATATTGTTTTTAGCTGGATTTGAAATAAATAAATATGAAGGCCTACTTTTACAGTCTAATGCTATATTTTCTCTATTTGACATGTTCTGTTTTGGGGTTCTTTTAAGTACATCATCTAACTCTTTTCGCAAAACCTTCTGTGATTTTACTCTGGGTTAAAGAGAATAGGTGTTCAGTTTCTTGGTAGAGAATTCGCATTCAAATTGAGTGAATCTTCGGACTGCTTCATTGAGCTTTAAAACGTTTTTCCGTAAAGTAATTAATGCTCTGGAATCTACATGAATTTTTAGTTAACCTGAATTGAGTTTGTGCCCAATTTTATTCGTCAAAGCTTTATGGGTTTGTTCCATATTCCTTTGTAGTTGATGATCGTTTGCTGATTTTTCAGATGCCAATACCTATGTTCTGTTTAACTGACCTTCGTCATTGTTTTCTTTTTTTCCTCTCTGGAAGTGGTTTTGTTGCACCGTCTAATATTCAAGTATTTACAATTGACTTGAAAAGTGAGTTGATTGGTCGTCCTCGGATCAAGCATTCAAAAGACTTTGCTCGTGCTGTGGACGAGATTTGTCAGGCTTTTGAAGAGTTACAGGGCAAGAGTTCAGATAAGTCTGGAGAAGACCTTAAAAGGCCTGATGTCTCTGTCGAGAATAATGATCTAACTGTAGTCGCTACTTCGGAAGAGCACAATCAGACGTCCAAACGAAAGGAAGGAACCAAAGATAAATGCACCAGTGGTGGATTGCCTGGTTCAGAGGATATTTCACTCGATTATGACGGGACTTTTTCTGCTGATATAAAACTGAATGATGCGGACATAAATTTCAGAGCAGAGACTTCCGTTTTTTCTGTTGAGAGCAGTAATAAGTACTCGAATAATTGCCCGGATGATGTTAAAGAAGGAAAAGCTGTGATGTCCCAATTACCATCCATGATTTCATCCATCAAAGATGAAACAGGTAAAGATCTCCTGGAAGAAAAGATAGTTCAAATCCGCAGAAGAAAGCACAAGTTGTATGTCTCCGAACCCAAGGCACAGGCTAAGAAAAGGCAGAGACATGCCGATGTCTCTGACAAGGAGGTCAAGATATCAGGACGGATATCTAAAAGGAAGGCTGACAAACATTTTAGGAAGGACAAAGATGCTGTGCCTACAAAACGTGGTAAGCAGTCGTCGTCACCAGCTGAATCTTTGCTGGTGGATTCAAGCATAAAGGCTACAAAAAGCGTGGAAGATGAAAAAAGCCACGTCTTGCCCACAAAGGATGTGGCAGCTTCGCATTGTAAAAAATCTCCTGTTCGTACTCGACGCAGATTACTCCGGATTGACGATGATGAAGTTGATGAAGAAGCACAGAGAACGCCCATTCATAGAAAGTCACGAGATAAATCAATAGCAACAGTTTCAAATGAGCCACTTGCAGACAGTGATTCTCAGGCTCAAGCTAAGAACCCCAATGCCCACATGTTGAGTACTGGAGATATGAGGTCAGACAGGATAGTTTTGGCGAAATTGGACAACAGATGTACTGCAGATGGTACATCATCTAGAAAGTTTGAAAATGATTCTCCATGCCAAAATCCATGTCAAACTGAGGAAATAAAGCCTGAAAAGCATCTGGAAAAATATGAGAATCAAAAGTCATCCTCTCTGGATGATAACAGTACACATCTGGCTTCCAATTTACACAGTGGGACCAAAAATTCTGATGGGATGGTTGAACATAAAACACCCAAGCCAGAAGTTAAGACATCTACCTCCGGTTCTGCAAGGACTAAGGATATTGTCTCTAAACGTTCAAGTGTAACCTCATCTAATTTAGCCACGAGACAAAAGTTGAAGCCATCTTCATCAGATAATGAGAAGCAGAAGGAAAATTTGCAGATGAAGGACCGTTTATCAACCAAACGGTATGGTGTAAGTTATTTCCGCAGTTTATTTTGTTCTTTATTTGCTCTTGTCATCTCACAATAATTCCCATCTGACATGCAGATTTGATCCTATTCGTGACAGTGCAAGCGTGTCTGTGACTAAGTCTAAATTTGTAGACTCTGTTACATCTATGAAAGATCTTATTGCAGTTGCACAGGCCAAGAGAAAAGAGACTCATTCTCTAAGTCTTTTTCATGACTACGTCAGTGTCACTTCAGTGCCCTCCCAAACTGTCATACGAGAGAGAAGCCCTAGTCCCCTTCTCACTTCCACAACTATCCCTGCTGTAAACGATACTCAGAACGATTGCAAGGAAGCTTATACGTCGACATCTTTTCCCTCTCCAGATAACACGGGAGCAAACAATTCTTTGTTGAATCCTGTGGTATCTGAGAAGCATGAGCAGGTTATTTTTACTGGAGGTCAGCCACCTGGGTTCACCAGTAGTGATGGTACTGAGGCTGCTACTGCTCGTGATGCTTTTGAAGGAATGATAGAAACATTATCTAGAACAAAAGAGAGTATTGGGCGTGCAACGCATCAAGCTATTGAGTGTGCCAAGCTTAACATGGCCAGTGAGGTGGGTGATACTTACTTCTAGGAATTTTTCACTATTTTCTTTGATAGTACTCAGATCTCCGCAAGGTGGTTTCATTTTCCCAGTTCCATTGGGTCCTCATCGTTTGGATATCTGTCACATATGGCATTGTTCATCAATAGTGGAATGAGAATGCACTTTTACTGGAAGAAAATTTTCGACATAATTTTGCATCTTGAATTATTGTTACATTTTCCCCTTTTTTACAACATGGCCTTGCGTGTATCATTTTGGTTTTTGGCTGACTTTCCTATCTTTTGTTTCATTTTTTTAGCATGCAGCTATCAGCCCTCCAATTTCTTTATGTTTATGCAGTTTGTGATTATGTACTTAGTGACCTCCACTGCCATAGTTCCAGTTATTCATTGATGTAAATTGATATAGTAAGCTTACTTTGGAAATATGCCACAGATAAATGACCATCATTGTAATCAACGTCTTCCTGATTAATCTTGTGCGTATAGGGTTTGATGTTGTACATGTGTTTATGTAGCAAGTAGTATTAGGTTGGTTGATTTTCATGTTCTATGCTCTCTTTTCCTTTAATGTTCCCATAAAAAAGAGATTCCAGTGCCTCGTCATGAATACCTTATTGAAGCTTAAAATTTATATACTTTTTATTTTGTAGTTTTTTCTTACAAAAATCTTCACACCTACTTATTTTGAATAAGTGCAGGTTGTCGACCTTCTGATTCGGAAATTGGAAAGCGAAATCAGCTTTCGTCGTAGGGTTGACCTATTTTTTCTGGTAGATTCTATTACCCAGTGCTCACACAGTCGGAAAGGTATGCTGATGCATGAATCATCGTAACTATTTTATCTTGTATCCTTCAGACATTGAAAACAACGAATATATTTTCCTGCATTTAGTTTATCCTGTTTTATAAATATGAAAAATTGTTTGATATGGTGGCAAAAACTACATGGATATTCTTCTTTGCATAATGTTGGTTTGATGACACTGTTTTTATGCACAATTAATATTCGAAACTAGTGTTTATGTTTCTCAATTATCATCTTATTCCTCTATAGGCATTGCAGGAGCATCTTATATTCCTTCTGTGCAAGCAGCTCTGTCACGTCTTTTAAGCGCTGCTGCTCCACCTGGAGCTGGTGCTTGTGAAAACCGGCACCAATGTTTAAAGGTACATGTACCTGATGGCTTAATCTTCTGTAGCCAGGATAGCATTTATGTACTAATTCTAATGATTAATGTCAGGTTCTGAGACTTTGGCTTGAGAGGAAGATCTTCCCTGAATCTGTTCTTCGTCCTATCATGGATGGTATAGAAGTTCCCAAGGATGATCCGAGTTCTGTGCTATATCTTAGACGCCGATCGCGTGTGGAACGCTCTATAGACGATCCCATTAGGGAAATGGAGGGAATGCTTGTTGATGAATACGGGAGGTAGTATAATGACTCTTAATACTTTAGATTGTTGATAATATTTTGGCCTTTAATGATTTGTCTAGTTCTCGGTTAGCAGAGCGGTTTGGTGATAGCATTGTCCATGCACCAAAAGTTGGTTTGATATATTTTTATATACAACACACTGTTTTTATCTTGAGCTGGTTAACAATATCTTGACAATTATAGAGTACACATGCATTTATTGTAGTACTATATTGCTTGTTCTCATGGCATTACTTAGGATATGATTTGAATCCACCAGAGTGTAGAGATTTTATTTTTATCTTCGATAACGATGATGTACCTTTCATGTTTAATTAAAAACATGAATTCATTTGATGCCAAGGATGTACCTCCATTTCGTGTAGCTACCATGAATTTAATCGTGTTTGGAGGATGTCTACACCTTGGGCTTTGTTGTCCCAGCATGCCAAGGGACAGTTCTTGTACTCTGCTTACCTTCTCCGATATATCTTAAATATTATATATTTCGAAAAACAATATTTATTCCGTTGTGGTCTATTTTAGACAGTTTGTTGACAACCTTGTCTACCATGCATTTTTCCTTCGGTTATTCCATCTGTTAAAGTTTCGTTCTCTGATTGTGTACTGGTTTGGTTTATTGTCTTGACTTAAAATAAATAACGATTGATAGATATATCTAGAAGGTTATTTATGTTTTTGCCATGGTTTTCTATTTCTGCTTGTGCTAATGCGATACGTCATAAAAGGGATGAAAAATTGAGATACACCATAAAAGCAAGTATATTATTTCTTGATTCAATGTATGTAGAGCTCTGAACATATTCTATACCATTGAGAAAAAGGGACTATGTTTCACGTACCTACGCTGCTGCCTGTATCAAAAATATCAGAGATAATTTTCAGAATTCTTATGTGACACTACCGATAATGTGGTATGTTTGTTATGCGTTTTCATCATGTGATAAATCTGAGCAAGTTATAACGGCAGATTCTGCATATTTCCTCTCTTTGAAGAGTTTGAAGTTATTTAGGCATTCCATCATTATTTTTACTTTTAGCAGTTTTTTGACATTTTTGAGCTAGTTATCTTCAGGTTCTAACATTTTCCTTGTCTAATCTTCCTCCTCCCAGCAATGTTGCGTTTCAGTTGCCTGGCTTATTATCCATCCATGATTCTGAAGATGAAGAGGACCTTCCTCATGATTTAGGCGAGGATGCTATCAATGAGTCAGGTGTGGACGTTGGCAATCCTCTGGATGAACTAAATGCCGTTTTGGACAGTCCAAGTAAGAGACAACACCATGTTCTAGAAGATGTGGATGGTGTACTGGAAATGGAAGAGGTTTCTGCATCATCCAAAGATGTCCGAGATTCCTGCAAGTTGGAGAACAGAGTACCAGTTTCTGAAAAAAATAAGTTAGTCGGTGAAGCTGACGCCCTTGCTTTATCAAATTGTTCTCCCCACTTACCTTTACAGCCTTCTCCTCCACCTCTACCTTCCTACCCTCCTCCATCGCCTCCACCTCCACCTCCATCGTCACCTTTCCCCTTGCCTCCGCCACCACCCCCACCTCAACCATCGTTTGTGCCTCCACTTCCTCCACCACCATCTGTTCCGTATGCTTCTCCACACTTGGCATATCTTTCTTCCATGAATCAAGATCATTTTAGGTCCCCCAATGTAAGTATCCTGTTTTTATCAATTTTAGTTGATGAAAGAATATGATATGGTTCATTTTCATATGCTTTCTTTGCCCGGAAATTAATTCGTCGATTAACTGCTTCGTGTGTCACTGTGTAGGGCCATAATGCTTCGTTGACGACCGACACAGTTGCACAACCGATTCCTAATTTTGTGATGGCTGGTGTACGCAGCGGCCAAGTTGCGCCTGCCAATGCCAGGTCATGTGAATTTGGGCAGAAGGACATGCACTTAGCTCCCCGAGGTTGTCATATGTCAATGCAGTTTCAGCCAGCTGTCCAATCTTTTAGTCATATGTCCTTTGCTGCTGCCCCAGCTGGTCAGACTCCACCAAGTCTTCCTGTTGTTCCCGCACAACCGCCCTTGCATCACGCCAACCTTACTTCTCAACCACCACCAAATAATTTTTCATTTTCAAAACCTGTGGTTCAGCACCATTCTCAAGGACATAATCCTTCTTTTTTGCCACCCCGTCCTAATGTTGAGAGGCCATACATCGCTGAAGGGCAGTGGGGGACATATCCGAGCAATATTAATTCAGATGGCCAGCACAACTCTTGGGTGCCTGGATGGAGGCCAGGAACATCTTCTGGAGCACCTCTTGTCCAAGATGGTAGGCGATTCTTTACGTTTTTAATGTAAACTGACCGGGAGACGTGATATTCAGTTGCTTTTGTTTCTTTCTTTGTATCGCCCATGCTGTCTATCTTACAGATCTTATCCTGTCGACTATGTCCAATGCCTATGCAATCCCATCGACACTCCTCGCACCTGATCTGATTCTTTCCCCAACCTTTATTAATGACTCATATTGGGGCTAAGTCAAGGTAAATTCTTGAGGGGCCATCATCATCAGCATCATCATAACTTGGGATTGGCTTGCATTCTGTTGCATGTGATCACACTGGGGGTGTTCTCGTATGATTACATCACAACCTTTTTGAATCAACGGAACCTTGGAACTGGTTGTGGAATCTGTCTGGAAAATTGATCTCATTCTTGGTCCCTAGTGTCTTGTCCTGATGTCAATTCTTACATCAGTTACTGGTTGGTCCTGATATGACCTATCTAATTCCTAATTCACATCTGATCGGCACTTGATCCTGTTGCGAACTACTAAGAAACTGTAGTTTCTTTCTATCTAATGGAGGACATGCTCATCCAGGCAAAGTAACGAGGCAACGAACTGCTATACAAGTATCGTTTTTCTGAGGTTTTGAATCTGGGTGGGATTCACGATATGATTGACGCCTAGCGTTTTCTATAACAGCTATAATGGACACAAACAGAGATCTAGAAAGTTTTTGGATTTTCGGATGTTGCTGACATGTTTATGTGTCGGTGCTTTTGTTCATCTTAGCCCACCAAAATGATTTAAACCTGAACTGCTGTGAAAAACTGATATGGGAAGGGTTTTCTGTGAGAGAGTTATCTCTCATGACGGTAAATATTCATCTCGGTTTCTTTCTCAGTTCATGAACAAGGTAGGGAAAAGAAGATGAACCAAAGAGAACAGAGAAACATCTGCTCTCTCTCTCTCTCTCTCTAATGTGATCTGATTCATGAAAGTCACTTCGTATCTTATAATGTCACTAGTACACTCGTGGTAGTAGTTAGTACATTCCTCCTACCTCTATTTTATGCGGCCCACAGGTGCATCTTCCTCGAGTCGCAGCTGATGTGGATGTTGTCTTGTGAAGCCAATGCTGCTTATGTGCTCCCTTGTTTTTGGTCTATGTTCTCTGCTGAATTTGAAAGATCTGTCTTAATACCCTTGGTCATCTTGGCTGACATGGATTTGAATCCGAATCCCGTATCCCTGAATCTCGTTGCCCCTTTCTGTACATGGAGGTCAGTCATTGACAACCCAGTAGTCAATTGTGCATGCTTGCCGACATCTTGGTTGGAATTTTTACGAGTGAAAGCATTTCTGTGAGACAGACGGGCCAAATGTAGTCATGGAAAATCCCACTCTCACATTCCAAGGCATGTGTGATGCATAGGATTTGTTCAGCGCATATATATATACATTATTGGATAGTTAGATTTACTCAGTTTTTAATGATTAATAGATTGCGCTTATTTGTTTTTACAGGACGTTTTAGTTCAAATTTAGAAAGGCCACCCCATGGTTTTCAGCCTCCTGTAGCTTCAATGGCACCTGTTGCAGGTAACCTCTGCATACAATGGAGAAGGTTTTGATTCCTGTGAAGCTATTTTCAGTTTAGCTGACATTTAAGATGTATCGTTTCTGGCTTTTCAGTTCCCCCGGCTCACGGTGGCCCCCAGGTTTTCCCCTACAGACAAGATGCACCTGCTCTTAACTGTTGGAGGCCATCCTGAATCGCATTCCAGTGCCCGTTTGCATTGGGCTTCTTGTAAATGTTTCCACCTCCTGACAGCTCTCCATTCAGCTGTATGTTGTTGTGAGCTATCTTTGGTTCCAAAGGCTTGAAAACCATGGAAGATATGACTTCTTGTATGTTCTTTTCAGCTATCTTGGTTGATAGGCCGAAGCTAAAAGGGTGCCCTGCCATATGCTGTTTAGAAAGCCATCCTATCTTCACTCTTTCGTGGGTCATTTCTTTCATTAAGGAGTGGGATTTCTGGTGGTCTGTTGGCAGGACGCTGGATATTGTACTATTATTTCTGCTTGTACATTCACTGACTTAAAGCTTCCAAGTGTAAGCCAATTTTTTTACATCATCGATGGTACTTACTTGTCATGACTCACTAATATTTTTATCCAATTGATCACAGGAAAATTTATTTTTTTCAAAATCTTCTTTTTTTCCATTTGTACATCTTGTTTCAACAAAGTTGATTCTCGGTGGCTCGGAATGTATCCCAGTTATATATTGTGTTTGGAGACGATTATAATGGGGGATGAATGATTTGGAATGCTAGGGCAATGAGGTTCTTCGAGTTAAACGCGCATTGGTCTTTTGCCAAATGGAGAAAAACATGTGCTCTTTTGCCCAATTCTGGCTAGAAGATTCGTGGTCTTCCTGGGCAAAAGAAAAAATTCTCATTTTCTTTGAGTTGTTCGTCTGATCCGATGCCAGGGAAAAAAATTGTGCGCATCATCTTTCGAATGTATATTATCTTCTGTTGCATTTTTTGGCTGCTCAATGATCGAGATATCTGAGACCAAATGCCCTGATTAATGATCCTGTTTTGCTACGCTACCTGTCTATTGTTGCATATCATGTAATGATCGTCATGAAGTCCTATTATTTATTGCATGACTCTGTTACAGACCTGTCTATGATGCGATTAGCATCCATAATCCCTAGCCTCTTTCTCCTACCATTTTGAACTTGATTTGGTAAGTTTTTTAACATTGATCTATGACATGTCTCTTGATTACATACTGCCCAAAAATAGCTGCGAGTTTTTGTTTTATTTGTCTTTTCCTAATTCTTAAATGATTATCACCCAAATGACTTATGCAGTCTGGTCATTTGCTTGATCAACCTGTTGCTCACATCCTTGATCCCAGTTTGTTCATTGAGATGAAGGGTATGAGGAATTATCTCACTCCCATGTTACGTCATTTGCTGTTTTATCTCTTCTAGACTTGATTTTGAGGTCATAACAACATCATTGAAAACTTAATCAATCGAAGTTGTTCATTTTTTTGAAAAAAAAATGAGATATTGGAAACAAAAAAATAATAATAATTTATCAGATTGTATGCAAATTGAGAATGAGATAATTTTTTGGTTTTCATGACATGTATCCTGATCATGCTATCTCATTGAAATTATATTCTAGAGAAGTAAAATTGCTAGATTTGCATCTGGTAATCTCGCAATTTATTTTCCTCATATTACTGATCATCCGATAACCATATTCTAGGAACGAAGCACGCTTGTTGCCAATTTCTGGACCACTCTCTAGCAGTAGATAGAACACGATTGTGTTTCTCTGCCATGGTAAATTTCTCAGAGAACAGAGTCCTTGTCTTGAGCACAATCTTTGATTAGTATCCTCTAATTACAGCATCTTTCCTTAGCTTCGATTATTTAAATTTTTTTCTTGGTAAACATTGATGCTTAATATACCTGCAACATAACCTGTACACCCCTCTGGTGAGGGGCTCAAGACCCTACTACCCTATTGACATTTTCTCTCTCTCTCTCTCTCTTTCTTTCTTTCTTCTTCGTGGTTGCCTACAGCGTGAGATTTTGGACGGCCTTGTGGCTCATGGGAGGCGGAAATGTGGTACAGACCAAGTGTCTTGCTCTCATGGTACTCTCTAAACCATCTAATCTTCTCAGGACATATGGCTACATGAAGAAAGGAAAACTCTGTTTAAAATGCCTGCATTGATGGTGGTCATGATTTATTGATTTTCTCGATCAATCTAGTGAGGAAAATAGGAAAATTTCCAAAAGTGGGTATGGAGGATGGCCCTGCGCCACAAGCTCGTTGCCCCTGTCAATATGTATGAGCATACTTGGGCATTTAATTAATGGACGGTGCTGGAAAGTTGCTTCATCGTTGGGTGGGCATGCATGCTCATCATTCTTGATTCGAAGTTGCATCCTTTTTTGAATGCTTTTAGTAATTATGTACACACACACACACACACACACACACACACACACACAAATATATATATATATATATATATATATATATATATATAAAGATATATGTATGCATGTGTTTTCAAGGCCAGTGAGGCAAGCAGAGCACTTTAGACATTGAATCAAAAGATGGAGCTGGGAAAAATGCCTCTTTGGGATGTATTTGCTCACCTTTCATGCTCAGAAACTGCCCCACGAGCTCGGTCATGACAAATTTGGGAATGGAATCAAAAGATGGAGCTGGAAAAAAATGCCTCTTTGGGATGTATTTACTCACCTTTCATGTTCAGAAACTTCCCCACGAGCTCGTTCATGAACAATTTGGGAATGGAATCGAAAAGAGGGAGCTGGAAAAAAATGCCACTTTGGGATGTGTTTGCCCACCCAATCCGGTGGCAGCGAATTCATTGCGGCCAATGAATTTAGCTGGTGACAGTCTCTCCGAGGCATCTCCTGGGGAAACGAGGTCTGTTTTAGGTACTTGGGGGAGCCTCACCGTTGAGCAGCTTTATTCCTCGTGAATGCCATATTTGGAAACTAATTTTAGCCGCAAATCCCCCACCAGCAAGCTCCGACTTCAACAGTTGACCGAAAATAGGCTGAACCCATCGCCCTATCCCGGAGGTCAATGGCCGATTTTGGTTATACCTGAAGACTTGCTAAGCTGGGTTGGTCTTGATGCCCAACCGAGTCTCATAGTGGCATTGAGGGTATTTCCCTCCCGAGTGGAAGGATATATTAAACAATCATGAAGTCAACGTCAATTTGGTTAAACGTCATCACGTGAGAATCGTGACGTAAATACGACTCATACTTCGTCACGTGGGAATCGTGACGTAAATTGTTGGATGCCCCTGCTTTGTCCTTTTCCTTTCTCTTTTGTCGGTGACGTGGCGTGGTTGCGCAAAAGAACCCACCACCCTGATTTAGGACAAGTCAACTGTGGCTTCTGCTGATGTGACGGCGGAGGAGTATATTGCAGATGGACAGCTGAACAGAACCAGAAAAGTTTATACTGGAAGCGGGATAACCATTTAGTCAACGGTCCGATCGGCGGTTATGTTAGGTCGGCGCCAGATCATTCTGCGCTAAAACCCGAGGTCAACGCGAATCCACCATTAGTTTCTGTTGACGGGTAGATGAGCGATCTCTGTCGCTCTTAGTCAGAAGCCTATTTCTGCACGTCACAATGTAGGATTCTCTCCCACTCGAGAAATGTGTGCGCGCGAGAGAGAGAGAGAATTCAAATATTCGATAAAATTCTGTTAAATTTTATGAAAATAGGTACAGTGGTGCTAAACACGCCGGTACGTGTGTATATGTAAATTATTAGAGAGGTAAGATAAATAAATAAATAAATATATAAATAAATAGCGAGAGAGAGAGAGAGATATGGAGAGTATCGGTGAAAATGTAGCTGTCCTCTTGACTGGAGATAAACGATTCACAGATACAACAACGAGCATTCAAGTCAACAAGACCCCACCCTGTGCCCATTTGCACGCCGGAGAGACCCATGTTTCCCAGGGCCGGAGCCACCACCTCAAAATTGGAAGCTTCCAGCCCCCCCCCCCCAAACCCCCGTAGAGACCAAGGGATTCTGGCTCTCTCTCTCTCTCTCTCTCTCTCTCTCTATCCATCTCCTTCCTACAGACAGGGAGTATGTGTGTGTGTATATATGTATATATATACATATATATAAATATTGGTAGATAGTCATATGGTGTTATAAGGTATGAATGGTGGGTATTGAATGCTCTGAACAGGGGGGAAGAGTTTAGTAGTACCTCACCCGGGGAGGGATAGGCGGCGGCGGCAGGGGCTAATCCAGAGCTGCTTTGTTCCTCCATACTGCCATCGGCGGCCGTGAAAGCCCGTCGAGGCTTGGCTTTGCTCTGCCGTCGGGTCTCTGCGACCACCTCGACGGCGGCCACCGGGCGGCGCTGCCACTGCTGCCGTCCGGATCCTGAAGATTGGAAGCACTGGAGGACTTCCTCACCGACAATTGCCCCCAACTAGGGGCTGTGCCGGCGGCAGAGAAGTCAAAGTCCGGCCGCCCGCCGGCCTTCTGCCTCAAGGCCAGGCCTTTGCCGGTCCTCCCACCAGGTAAGGCCCCCGCGGAGTCCTCCTTCAGCAGCAGCTCCGGCGCCGCCACCTCGTTCTTCTGTCGCCTCCTCACAGCTTCCAGGGTTTGCCCCTCCCCTCCATTTTCCATCGAGAAGCCGTTGACCAGGCTCCTTGACTTCCGGTGGCTGCCGCGGACTGGCGGCGCCTCCTCCTCCTCTTCTCCCCAGTTGAGGAACCTTCCGGGGGTGTTGACCACGCACATCTCTGTCTCTCTCCCGGTAGCCGGATGGGCCCGCCGGGGCGGGGTGAGGCCGTAGAAGCCCTGCAAGGTCCTCATGGCGGGGCTGACTCTTCGCTGTGGAGGCCTCGCACTGAGCGTCTGAAAAGATTTGAGCAGGTCCCTGTGCCGCTGTTGCTGTGGGGTCTGCTCCCTGTTAGCAACATTATTCAAAGGAGAGGAGGAATCAGTGAAGACGCTCGGAGATGGATCTCACGCGCTTTCCATTTTTGAACGCTAAAGAGAAGACGAAAAAAGAAAAAACAAAGCTTCATAACCCGTCAGCTTGATCGAAGGGAGGAGGAACCATGCTAATATTACAGTATGAAGAGAACTGATGCTCCTCGGCGAAGGAGAAGAAATGGTATGGAGGTGGGGGGAGGGGGGAGCAGGAGGCCTACCAGAAAAGAATGATAAAAGCAACAGCCTTGACATTGGCGTGTTTCTTTAGGGGTGATATATATGATATAAGAATATCAAGCAGATATATATGATATAAGAAGGAAAAAAAAAAACTCACGGTGGTGTTCACCCAAAAGAACCATCACTCATTTTCCTGATATATCATATATACAAGCAGATATATATGATATAAGAATATCATTTTCTTCTGAACTGGATGGTCAAAGACCATCAAGATCTCAAATAATGTGCACAAACCCATGAGTTCCTAGGCAATTAAGTTTCTCAAAAAGTTTCACTGCGTCCATGTTTTCGTGTTATGTAAAGCAAAACTAATAGCCAGGCTTCTCGACCTCATCAGGTTTGTGATGTTCAACAGATTACTTCCCAAATATACGGAGATGAGGCAGAATCACTCCACGGTAGTAACGACTGCTCCTTGGATATCATTCCTCCACACAAATAAACATGATGGTTCATCATGTGACGGACTATTTCCCTAAGCTAAAAGTATAAAGCCACGGGTTAGCATTGCGGGTTTTAGCAGGGAACTCGGGACAGAATACATGGGTTCTTTCTTAGAACAACATTCATTCTTTCCTTCTTTATTAGAATGGTTCTTTCTTCCTTTCTTTGATGAGCATGACTTGCATCTCTCCTGCTGACGAATGAAACCAAGCACACTATATAGTTTCACAATGATAGGACAATAGAGGAAAGTCACGATTTGGGACCTGGAGGGGCTATCCAGTAGTTCATATTTCATTAGGGGATGCTCTAGAACAAAAACGTTAAACTGCATAGAAGACCAGAAGAATACCCGTTACAGGAAGAACCGTTTGAGACGATGGGAGATGGCGGGTGTCTTCCCGGTAGAGGAATGTGTAGTGATCTGTGAGCGAACATCTGAATATCTGTTACCAGCCCATTCATCCTCTTAATATCTGCAACCTGAAAGGAAAAGCGTTACCCAGATGAACACTCGCGGAAATATATATATATATATATATATATATATATATTTGAAGATCTGCACAAAGTAGAATTGGAAATGACTCAGGGGGTAGAATGATATCAAGAGAAATCGTGAGTCAGAGACTATCCAGTCAACACCCGCCAATAGAAACTGTAAGAGGGAGTCTGGGTATATAACTACGGCCGAGACCCCGCACAGGACAAGAAGAAAGAACAGGAAGCAGCATCGACCGCGATAGATCCAATAAACATGACCCCGACGTAGATCCCGCCGTACAGCAAGATGGATTTCATGTTTCGATGGGTTGCGGGGTATAAACCGCTTGGTATAATTGGGGATTTCGGCGTTAGAATAATTAAAAATGAAACTGATACTTCCAACCGAGAACTCTCAGGAAACCGTTTGGACTCCTCAAATACTCAGAATCCATCGCGCTAATTCAACACTGAGGAAGGGTCTAAATTACCTCGACTCCGTACTTTATTGCGACGCCGGCGAGGGTGTCCATCTTCGACACCCGGTGCTCTATGAAGTTGAGACCCGACGCTGACGAAATGGAAGAGGAAGAGGAAAACGACGATGTCGAGGAAGCAGAGGGGGAGGCCAAACCGTCGCCCTCCCTCGTCGGCATCGTCCCTCCATCCACCACCCTGTCCGGCGACGACAGAAGGGAACTCCCGTTCCCGGTGCTTCTATCGATCCCCATCTCTCATTGCACGTCCCCGCCACGGAATGAGTTTTCCAGGTAAATCCAAAATCTGCAGCACCTTCGGAACCGATCGGGACACAGAATCAACCGAAATCGGCTGGGATCAGAAGATGACACGCAATAGAAATCCTGGAACGTAACCCCCGGGGAACTCGACGATCCAATCTAAGACCAGACTGGGAGCGGCTTCGATGCCTCCGATCGGAAGACGATGCGTGATAGAACTCCTGGAACGCAACCCCCGGGGAACTCGACGATCCAATCTAAGACCAGACTGGGAGCGGCTTCGATGCGTCCGATCGGAAGACGATGCGTGATAGAACTCCTGGAACGCAACCCCCGGCAACTCGACGATCCAATCACGGACAGATTGGTAGTGACTTCGATGCGTCCGATCGGAAGACGATGCGCGATAGAACTCCTGGAACGCAACCCCCGCCAACTTGACGACCCAATCTACGGCAAGATTGGTAGAGGCTTCAATGCGTCCGATCGGAAGACGTTGCACGATAGAACTCCTGGAACGCAGCCCTCACCAACTCGACGACCCAATCTATGACCAGATTGGTAGCGGCTTCGATGCGTCCGATCGGAAGACGACGCACGACAGAAATCCTGGAACGCAACCCCCCGGCAACTCGAGGATCCAGTCTACGACCAGATTGGGAGCGGCTTCAATCTCCCCTGCCTGGATCGACTGGACGAACGAACCCTACTCCTCAAGGAAGGTCTCACACGGCGACTAGGCCTCGCGGAGTTTCTCAGCTACAGAACCATCCAAGGGACCACCGGCCGAGTAATTAAGAGACGACTTTCTGACAATATCAAGTCGAATACTTTTAATTAATCGCAAAAAAGTCCTTCAATAGTTTTTAATTACTCGTAAGCACGGTCTCCCCACCGGCCGACTCGTAGAGAATTTTCTTCGGTGCGTAGCGCTTCGTTCGTGCTTTCCGGACGTCGCGAGTTCGAGATCGGACCAGGTTGAAATCTTCTAGACAGAAGACACGTGGCAATCCGATAATAGAAGAACGTCATCCCGTCAGACCTGGAAAGTCAAACAGGTGATAAACGTACAGGAGGGGGAGCCCATAAACTAATTGTGAATTAATATAGGGTTCAATTCAAATTGTACCAAGTTGTGACGACCATCAACAGATCCTCTCTTTCTGTGGATCTATTTACTGATCGTATCTAGACCGTCCGATGGGTACGCTCTTTTCACTCGAAATCCTGCCCGAGGCTTCCTCAAAATTTGTTTTTTATAATAATGTACGTTATTTTAAAGAATTATAATAATCATCTTATAGAATAAAAAATTAGCAAACTACGTTTGAGTCAGCATTTGGGATTCTTTCGCAAAAACCAACGTGTACAAATCATGGGTACGTGTAACGTATGTCCGGACTCTGTACGCGTCGACGAAGAGGGAGAACTCCGGAGTTACAGATGCCGACGACAAGTGAGCGCACAGAACTTCAGACAGCAACTCGGCAGCTTGCAGCGTTCCTATGCGCAGCGAAATGTATGGGTAAAGATAAAGCTTATGACGTCAATTATGTCATGCTGCACATGCCCAATGGTCTATCTCTCTCCCTCCCTCACTCACTAATTATCCTTTTTTAGAATATTTCCGGGTCACGGTTGCTCCTCTGCTGGGTAAGGGAAAGGCCGAGAGAGTCTGGAGCAACAGTGCGGTTGTGAGGTGTGATCCCGCGAGAGAAGGAGAAGCTAAGGGAAGAGCAGGAGGAAGGAAAGGAGATCGGTGGAGGGAGAACCGCCGCGCTTCTCACTTCTACAGGTAGTCACACTCTCTGGCCGTTTCGCTCTCTAATGCTTCCACTTCGCTTGCTGGAATTTGGCGCGGCTTATTCGAGGAGCCCTAATTCGAAACGGTTCGAACCACTTTCCTTCAGATTTTTAACTCTTTAACGTACAAATTTTGTGCCGCATTTTGAATATGTTACTGAATAGCGTGATACGGTTGTAATCTGGCTTCCTTTTTATAATCCTTGTTTTTTGTAATCGCTGTTGCTTCCGATGACACAGTGGCTAAGCACGTATTTAAAGGATTTTCGTACGCAGGAATGTTCACGCATGTCTTTTTGGATAGCTTCCTTCTTAGTTAGGTCCCTGGAATTCATCTTCGGCCGGAGTTAAGCTTGGCATGGTGCATGAAATAGCGCTTTTTCAATTTTTATGATATATGAAGTTACTTCTTGTAATGTAATCAATTTATACCTTAAGCGGAAGTTTCCTCGGATGTTCCGCTGGATCACTGGACTCAATCTTCTTTATTGTGCTTTATGTCCACGCCAAGAATGTACTCGGGACACGCATTGATAAGTTCGAAGATTTTAGGTCATACTTTTTTAACAAAGATATTCTACGGCGGTTTATGTAGATGAATGGATTTACTATAATGTCTTGGTTGTTATCTAATTTTTGAAAGCTTTGGTTGGTATTTAATTGCTTTCCTTGTTATGTAGTTGTTATGCTATGTGCTAAATTTTGTACAATCCCCAAATCACTTCGTTTCCATTGGCAGGCAGGAAACATAATGGCATGTTCTCACAGAAAAAATGCCATCGTTGCCGAGGACATTGCAGAGGGAGGCAAGTGTGCTTGGTCGAGAAGTTCCTCTGAACCAAATGGTCACGAGGTCTGTTCAAAGGCCATTCTCCTCTTTACCTCAAAAGTTCGCTAGCTTATCTGAATTCCCTCCTTTAAGTCTAACGAATATTAGTTTCCAATTCCTGTTTGAAGTTGACAATATGTTCTTCAGGAAAGCGCAAGAACTGCTCTTGTCTTGACGGGTTCCCAAGAGAGGTATAACTATATCATTTCTGACATTAAATGTCTTCCTGAAAGATAAATATTTCTTCCTGAAGAGAATCCTGAAGTCTTTACTTAAGAAAATCAGGGAGGGGAAGGTTTGTGGTTCAAGTGCAGACAACGTTTTGTTTCCATAGGATCTGGAAGTCACGAACTCTGGTGAGCAACCCCAGGGTTGAACACAGCAAAAGTAGGGGGCACCGATGCCTGAAATGTGTCATTTTTCTGATGCTCGACCGATGAAATAAACAGATGTCATTATTTGGAGACATAAATTTAAAAAGCGCAAAATAAATCACCTCATCTCCGATTTGTTGTAGACTATCGGCCGGTGCATAATCTGTGAGAGTGCTAACTTTTTTTATATCCTAAACGTTCATAGATCGCCTGCAGAAGAGAAACTGAAATGGCATCACTGCTATCGACTTCATTTGTGAGACCTATGATTTAAAGATAGAGAAATTTCATGAAAAATATGAAGTAATGGAGGTCCAATGCCAGTCGTCTGTTGGTAGCTTTCTCACAGCATACGAGAGGAACGCTTAGGGGTACAGATTCTGCCTATATTCATTGTTCACTAGATTATGTCGTCCTATTATTAAGAACCTACGTGTGATAATAACTATTTCTCTGTTTTGGATGAATTTGGAGAATATCATAACTTTGTATGTGAGATGCATACTTTACCTCATGATTCAAAGTTTAAATATACTTGCTCAGAAGTGGATGGAGTTAAGTACACTTTTGACTGTACCTCACTCTTTAGATCGCCTGCTACAATTGGGAAGGTGCTCTAAAATAGGAGATCAACTTGAAAGACGTCTTGAATTTGTCATCCCTCTTCAATGACCATAAAATATCAATCTATCAGTTGGGAGGTTTTTTATGTGCTTTTCCATAGAGAGGAACATTAATTTTCTTCATCTACAGATTGTGGATTTTCTTAAGTTTTTTTTCTTTCCAGTTCAGCATTTTCCCTGCTTATTACCGCCCAGCCGTTCTTTTCCATTTTTAGAGTGATCTCTGTTTTAAAAATGCGATCTCTTGAAGTAAATAAGTGTCATGGCCTCCTGAACTTTCTGTGCACTAATCAAGTGATAAACCCCAAGTGTTATGACGAAGGATTTGGAGGTTATTTTCCTGCTATGATGCAGATGCTTCCTTTTGAGTTATTTCCACGTTAACTTCTTGGGCTGCTGACATATTAGACGAAGAAGATTGATGGAGTTCAAAAAAGGTTTAGGTTTCTTTCTTACCTTCCCTTTAATGATGATGAGAAAACCTGTCAGTTTTGGTGCCTTTTTTTTCCATTAAGCAGGCAAATTTTATTTCAATGATTTTTAACTTCTTCCCTTTTCCAGTTTTGGCATACTTTCTCATTATGTTTCTCTCAACCCCCCTTCTCCTTTGTTCCAGGTTCATCGTTTTCCAGGTGCTCACTCTTGGAGCTGGTGCTTGCCGAAAGCTTCTACTACCTCCTCTGCCTGTGGATGAGAATGATGGGAGAAGACGTGTGGGGAATGGAGATCGTGGAGGCTTGGATAGACAAGTTCAAGATTCTCCAACAACATCCGTACTTTATAAGGTTGACCTGCAGAAGAAATGGATGATCCAGATGCTTGAAGAAGTGATTTCTCCAAAGGGTTTTATAACCAGGTCTCTTCTCTGGGAAGATGCAACCAGCCATTGCCACTGGGCGAACAACAGTAGTAAACGAAGGAAGAACATTTTGGGTTCCTGTCTCCAGAACAGTCTACTACCCGTGGTTTCTCTGGGTTTGACTTCTGATAGCGGTAATCTCCCAACATCTGAGCCCAAGAGCAGAAAGTCAACGAGGAAGACAAGAAAGAAAGGCAAGCAAAATGGGTGGCCTCTGTACTACCGAGACCACAGTGACAGTGTAGAAAGCTCTTCTATTCCTGGCAATTTTCCTCCCGAAGTCTCCATCTGCACCCAACCAGCTATAGATAGATGTTCCATCAGATTATGTGATATCTCAAGGGCAGAAAAGAATCCAGAGACAGCTATTTCTACTTCTAGCAGGAGTATCTCTACTCGGGCCGTAATGGTGGATCAAGTTCTGGACCATTGTAACATAGGTAACGCTGCCTGCAGTGGAGTCAACGATGAAACTGGAAGTGTATACAGCCGTGGGGAGGATGAGGCAGCTTACACCTTCCAGAAGAGCACAGCACCGCAATGTGCTTCCCGTTTTGTTGGTGCGACCAACAGATCACAAGTCAGCTCCAAATCCTGTAGCAGCGGTGCAGCAAATGCTTCCCCTTCTGTTAAGAGAGACAGATGCAGTAGAAAGACAGCTGCGAGTTCCAGTGGAGCTCTCAGGCCTTCTAGAGGAGGCGAATACTGGCGGACGAGAAAGGAAGTCAACCATGCTGTCTGGAAGAGAGTTCAGAGAAATAACCCAGATGAGGAAACCACAGATGAGTGTAAGTACGCCGATTCCGATTGCATGGGGAAAGGAGAAGTGGCTAGCGATTCCGCGACAAGTGTTGCTGACCTGGCCAGAATTCCTAGCAAATTTGGTGGAAAATTGATGAGCATAATCCCCGATAAGTCAACCCCAGGGCAGGGCCACAAGCACTCATCCGGGAATGGCTCTCGAAAAGGAAACACGGAAAAGTCAACCCATCCTCCCTCAAAGAGTAACAGCATCTATGAGGTTGGCTGTTTCTCTGCTCCTGAATCATATCCTCAGATATCAGATGATATTAGTTCCTCGGAGTCATCCGTTGTTCAGGTGGGAGAAAGAACATCAGCCGAGGAGACGCACCTTCCTAATAAGGAAACTTCTGGATGGCGGCCTGGAGCTGCTAGGGGTTCCCAGTGGTTCCCTGTCGGCCAAGGAGACGACGACCCTTCAAAAGCAAGACTCACAGATTCGCTGACTTTTGATAGGTCAACCACCGAGAACGACGAAGTTGGAAGCTCAGTGGCCGCAGGAGATCGGGGGAAGTCAAGCAGTGAGACGGATCTGGACGAGATAATCCGCGCCGTTGAAGAAGGGTGGAGACTTGAGACTGCACCAGAAGCGCTTCATCGAATGGCCGGGCGCCCGCTGACCGAATTCGAGCGATTCCTTCATTCCGCCACCCCAGACCTTGGTCAACTCTCAGATGTCAACGTACTCGAGCCGGGGAACGAGATATTGGGTCAACGCCCAATTCCCAACATCCCACTGCGGAGGCTCTGGGAATGGTACCAGAGACCCGGGAACTACGGGTTGGAGGTGAAGGTCGATGGCCGTCCGATGACCCCAACAAGATCGGACGGTGATCGATCCAACTTCCGCGCCTACTTCGTTCCGTACCTCTCAGCGGTGCAGTTAATCGGACGGTCCTCCGGTGGCGGATCTCCCCAGGTGGGCCATTCCCCCATCTTCTCAGTTCTTCTGCCCTCTCCCCGTAAAAAAGCGACCGATCCAGCCGTTGACTCCTGCAACGTCTTATTCGAATACTTCGAGTCTGACCCACCCCAGCTACGGCCGCCGCTTTACCAAAAGTAAGAAAAATCTTCATTTTTACCTTGACATAAATATATATAAATTATTTTTCACGCGATTGTTCACCATCTGATTCTAACTAGGATAAAGGAGCTGCTGGGCGGCGGCGGCGCATCTTCAGACCCCCGGATGTCCGGGGACCCCTCGAAGCTAGAGCGTCTGAATCTGCACGACCTTCACAGCGGGTCATGGTCGGTTGACTTGACCCACGCCCTTTGACTTCCAACCCCATCGATTTCCTTCCCCTGGTTCGGCGCTGACCCCGGTTCTTGCAGGTTTTCCGTGGCGTGGTACCCCATTTACCGGATACCTGACGGCGCCCTCCGCGCCGCGTTCCTCACCTTTCACTCTCTTGGAGTCTTCGCTAGTGGAACATCCAGCCGCGTAGTAATCTCCCCTGTGGTCGGCTTGCTGAGCTACAATGCAAAGGTACACGCGCAGAATCTCACTCACATTCTTCTTCTTCTTCATTCTCCACGTAAATGGGAGGGAGGTAATAGAGAGACAGAGACAGAGACACAGAGAGAGGTAAGCGTCGTCGAAGCCTCTCCCTCTCTCTCTGCCTAACAAGTTTAACCCCGCAGGGGGAAGGCTGGTTTAGAGGGGTGGCGGAGGAGAGGCTGAGGGTGCTGGAGAGGACGGCGTCGTTGATAGCGAGGTCAACGGTGCCCGCCACCAGCGGCGGCAACAGACACCACCCCGACTACGAGTTCTTCACCCACCGGCGATGAGGAGCTCCTTCACCCGTCGTATCTTCCTCAGACACTCCTCCGCCCTCGCCAGCGCCGCCTGCGCCCCGCCGCCGGCGGCCCTCCACCGCCTCGGCGGCGGCGTCCCCGGCGCTGCCTTCCTCTTCCGGTTGGACGACTCTGCGGTCCATGAAGTGGGTCACCGAGGCGATAAATAGAAGAAGAAATAACGGGCGGCGCATTCACCTTGGGTGGCGACGGGGGCGGCGGAGGGAGGGGAGGAACCGGCGATGAAGGCCATGAGCTCGAGCTTGATGCAGCCGAAGCGGTGCGGGTGGTGATCCTCCAGAGCCCGCAGCTCCTCCGCCGCCCGTTCCACCATCCACGCCGCCGACGTCACTTCTCCGGCGGCCAGCTCCGGCGTCGACGGCGGCGCCATCGCCGTGAAATGCAGTCGGTGTTATTCTACTACGTGGTGCGACTCGCGCGAAGGGGTATGATCGCCGTTGTTCTTTTTTATATATATATAACAGAGCCGTTAGAGGAGGAGCTGATCTGAGTGAAGCGACTCGACGGTGAGGCGGGAGGATCGAGGGCGGCGCGATAGATGGCCCCCGCCGCCGCTTCTGATTGCGCACATCGTAACCTCCCCCGCCCCCCCGCCCCCAAACTTGCAATATTATCCGTATGCTGTTTATAATTGTTTTTTGCCCAAAAACAGAGATGACTACTTGCATAAGTGTCCTCCAAATGCGCATCGAAACCAGCCCCCCCGCCAGTTGCAATATTATCCACATACGTTCCATAATTGCTTTCTTACCCATACTCAGGGAATATTTTGCATAAATGCCATCCATATGCACATCGAAACCTGGCTTCCCCTGCCACTTGCAATATTATCCACAACGTTTTATAATTTATTTTTACCCAAAATCAGAGATGATTACTTTCTTGCATGATCCACATTTGGCGGCTTCATTACCCCCACGTAAAACTCCCATGCAGTGCGCAGTATGACGGTAATGGGCTCGTTGTTTGGCCCATTAAATCCAACCTGAGAACATTCGTCAAGATTTGACGAGAATCTTCTTCGATTCCGGATTTATCATGAGAAAAAGGAAAAATCCGGGTATTTTTTTATCTAAATTCCCGGTCTCAAGAATCGACCAGTCCATGGCGGAGGGAGCTCACTGTGGTGCCTCCTCCTCCGCCAGCCGGATCTCCTGCTCTGCTGCCTCTTCAAACCCCTCGAAATCGAAATCCGGGTCCTCCTCGAGAATGGCGATGGCGCGACCGCCGGTGACGCGAAGCGCCAACCTCCAGAGGTCTTGGTCCGGATTGTCGGTGGGGAGCTCGTACCGGCACACGGGGCAAGAGTTGTGGAGGTCGAGCCAGGGGAGGAGGCAGCCGGCGTGGTACGCGTGCCCGCACGGCATCTCCTTCGCGGTCTCCCCGGCCTCGAGCGTCTCCTTGCAGACAGCGCACGGCGCCTCCGCCGCGACCTCCACGTCCGGCAGCGCCTCCACGGCCGATCTCGCCGCCGGTGGCGCCGTCAAATCATCAGTATGTGGCCGGCGAAACAGATCCAAGACCGTGGTGGGGAAGTCGGGGGCGGGGGGGGGGGCTGGGACGGGGGGGCCGGCGGGGCGGGCCGGCCGGGGGGGGATCACGACGATCCGGAGCCAGATGCGGATTTCTCCGTCACGCGGTGGCAGGCTGGAATCAGCTTCGGGCTCAGAGTCAGGTTCAGGCTCGGGATGAGGTTGGGGTTCGGCCTCGAACTCGGGATTACCTGGCTGTTCCTCCTCCAAGAATCCGCCGAAGCAGAGAGGGCAGACGACGTCGTACGACGGCGGCGGCGGCGTCTGGAGCACCGGCCGCTCGCACTGGTGGCAGTAGTACTGCTGGGAAACGTAGTAATCGACGTCAGCATCACACCAGGGACAGCCGGTCCCTCTGGCGGTCGCCATCCGCAGGAGACCTCAAGAACTCTACGAATCTCCTCCTCCTTTCCCTCCTTCCCTAACCAACAGAGGAACGGCGAGGAAGACAAAGACAAGATCGAGCAGAAGGAGCAGCCCAACCTCTTCTGCTTCCATCCGCGGTTTTTTATACTCACTCTGGCAGTAAACTTACCTCCGTCCCCAAGAAACCCCGTGTTGGTTGACTGCGGAGCACGTAGAGCGGGAACATCCCCGCTGCGAACGCGACGCCAAGCTATTTCTTTTTACTTATTAATATTAACATAACTTATTAATATTACTTATTTATCCTCTAAAATATGAAATATTTAATTACTGAATGTAAATTATAAATATTTAGGTTTTTTCTCTCTTAAAGGAAATAATAAAACCCGAGTCCAAGTGGGTCCCAAGAGCTCTGGAAGGTTTGGTCCCAATATCAAGCCTACTGATTTTAATTGACCAAAATAAGGTGAGGTTGACCATGTAGACTCTCTCTCTCTCTCTCTCTCTCTCTCTCTCTCTCTCTCTCTCTCTCTCTCTCCTCTATTGTCCATTCATCGTCTCTAGTTGCTCCTTTCTACCGGACTAGGGTAATCCTACACGGAGAAGGTTGGTTCAGAGTGCCAGATGGATCACCCTCTGGGTGATGGATGAGAGCTACTAGGTGCTAGAGATGAAGTTTCCATTAATAGTAAAGTCAATGATGCCTCGTGGCGGCTGATGGCGGTGGCCACGTATCTTTCAACAAACTCCATGACTACGAGTTCTTCCTCTGGCATCAACAAACATGTGTGATAGTGTTGGCGCAAGACAAGCAGTGCATTACCCTGAGTGGCAACAAGGCTAATGAGCTGACGACAAAGGCCCTTAGCTCGAGTATGATACAACCGACTTGGTGTAGGTTTAGAACCTCTAGAGCTCGTGGTTGATAGCTATTTTAGATCTAGTATTGAATTATGAAGAAAATATAATATAAATAATATAGGGTAATTAGGAGGCATGCATCCACACCACTGACAGAAATAACTTTTTATATCTGTGAATTATGAGATGCTCTCGAAGTGACTAAATCTCGACACGTGTGATGTGAGGACGATTACTTCTCAAATAGTCAAGAGATTATTAGTATTTAAGTCATAGTTAGTGTATAATGACATATATCCCACATAATTTCTAAATATTTAGTTCTCAACTAATCACTTCACTTATAAATTAAATTTAATAAAAATTTAGAACATATATTCGATATATATTTCTATATATTTGATGACCTCACACTTTGAAACTTGGCCCCTACGTCAATTAATATTATTCAAATACTTTTTTAAATTACTTTATTGTCTATAATCCTCAATAATTTTTTGCTTAAATATCCACCAAATACACATTTTCAAACTCGGCCCTTATCACTTGTAATATTGCTCATATATTTCTTATAATCGCTTTCTCTCCCAGTAACCTCCACAATGTTTTGCATCAATGACCGCCCACTTGCAAAATTAGCCATATATACTTTTTTATAATTACTTTACTGCCCATAATCGTGATAAATGTAGTTACATAAAGGTCCACTAGACGCACATCGACAACGTGGCCTCTACATCTTGTAAGATATTCCTATATTTTTTATAATTACTTAGTTACCCACTATCCTCGATACGTTTTAGCATACATGTCCACACACTACGAAGACGACGGGGCAAGGAGTATTTTGGTGCAATGGAGAATCTTCCTCGAATTTTCGGAGCGAAAAATATAAAAGGAAAAAAGAAAAAGCCAATTATTATTATTTTTTATCTAAATCTTGGCCCCAACGAATTAGACTCAATGGCGGAGAGAGCTCACTCTGGTGCGCCGTCGTTGTTCTCCTCCTGCCGGATCTCCTGCCCTGAATCTTCTTGATTCCGCGCGGGATAGTAATTTGTGTCCTCATCCCGGCGGAGGTGGCGGCGGTAGGCGGGATCCATCCGCCTCAAGATCTCATTGAAAAAATCGTCGTCTCGATCATCGGTGGGGAGCTCGTACCGGCAGGTAGGGCAGGTGTTGTGGAGGTCGAGCCAGGGGAGGAGGCAGCCGGCATGGTAAGCGTGTCCGCATGGCATCTCCTTCGCGGTGTCCCCGGCCTCGAGCGTCTCCTTGCAGATAGCGCACGGCGCCGCCGCCGCGACCTCCACGTCCGGCAGCGCCTCCACGGCCGATCTCGCCGCCGGCGGCGCCACCCAGTCGCCGCTATCTCGCCGGTGAAACACTTCCCGGAGCCTTGAGATGGCGGGGGCGCGGGGGCCGAGGCGGTTCACGAGGATCCGGAACCAGATGAGTATTTCCCTGCCCGTCTGTGGCCAGAAAGGATCAGACTCGGGATACGGATCACCTGGCTCATGCTCCTCCAAGAATCCGCTGTAGCAGAGCGGGCAGGCGACGTCGGACAACGGCGGCGGCCTCGGCTGGAGCACCGGCCGCTCACACTCGTGGCAGTAGTACTGCTGGTAAGCGCCAAAACCACCACCACCACCGGGACCGCCGGTCCCCTCGGCGGCCGACATTTCCGATGGAGACCACAGTAACTACGAACCTCCTCCTCCTCCTCTTCCTTCTTTCCCTTCCTTTCCTTTCCAAGAGGAGCAGTGAGGAAGAAGAAGACGGATCATGGAACCCTTCTTGCTTCTTCTCCCTTCTTCCGCATTTTTATACTTCCTCCGGGGGGTAAAATTAACTCCCCGTGCACGAAAGCCATCTGCGGAGAGCGTCGTAGAACGGGAACGTCCCCGCTGTTAACGTGGTTCTTATCATTCCCTCGCGTACATCGTAAAGCCACGCCGAGCTATTTTACAGTTATTAATATTAATATCTACATTTTAAAAAAAGATAATATCTAAAATAGGGGAGGTTTAATGGGTAGATCATAAATTATAAATATTTTTGTTTTTATAAGTCAAAGTGGGTCATACTTTTTTCGAGCTTTGGCTAATATCAAGCCCATTAATTTAAATTGGCCCATAATACTACTCTCTCTCTCGGTGTTTAGGAACAAGTGGGGCCCGCCACTAGGGATTGGGTCATTGGGCCTAGGATGGTCCCGAAGTTTTTTTTCTTGATGTGGGCTGAATCGAGCCCAGAAAGTGGGCCCATTTTCGGCCATTTAAATATTGAGGTTGAAAAAGCGAGGTATTGAGTTGGGGGAGGGTAATTTGTTTCCTTTTCTCTCGGGGAGCAGGGAAGAGGAAGGCCGCTGCAGTTGCTGCCTTGTGCAGGGGAGATGGCGTTGAGAGGCGCGGCGGGGAGCCCCGTCCCCGTGGAGAAGATGAGCTTGGAGCAGCTGAAGGTCATCAAGGAGCAGTCGGATCTGGAGGTCAATCTGCTGCAGGACAGCCTCAACAAGATCAGGACGGCTGCCACTCGGCTCGAGATTGCCTCCAACGCCCTTCAGGACCTCTCCCTTCGTCCACAAGGCATCTGCTCGTCTCTCTGTTTCTCTCTGTGAATCTGTCTCGATCTCTTCATCGCCCTCCAATGTCTGCTCGACGGATTATTATTTCCGTCTAACTCATCGGGGGGTGTTGTTTTCCTGTTCTTTGCGTGTGCAGGGAAGAAGATGCTTGTGCCGCTCACGGCTTCACTCTACGTCCCTGGCACGCTTGACGACGCGAACAAGGTCCTGGTCGACGTCGGCACCGGCTACTTCATAGAGGTTTCTTTTCATTCTCTTCAGTCTATGTCCTCGGCATGTCAGGCCTCCTTCGATTGGATCCACACTTGACGGGTAGAGCATGGTGGCTCTGCTAGTCGCTGTCGCGTTGTTGCATTCTTATCACGGTGCCTAGTCATTCTATGATTTGACGACCGATTTCACGGGTATGCAGAATACTGCGCACCCGAATCTTATTTTAGGGGTGCTGGCGAGGGTCAGGGTGTGTTGTTGGTAGGTTTTTTTGTACTCTGTAATTGACACAATGACTAAGCATACTTCGCCTAATTGAACCATTACCTGAAAATTCGTCTATGACCAGGCTTCTGAATTAGTTCATGTAGGAAGCATGTTTTGGGAGAATTTTAGGTCGTTACAATCATTTTCATTGCTGTTACTGTTTATATTACCGTTATTCTCTACGAATATTGACATATCAAATATTAATCGGCACTAATGGTAATTAACTACGTTCCCTCAGGTAATAAGGCAGAGTTGCCTTATTCTCGATTATATATAGTTCCGTAATTCGTTCAGAGTTGGTTTATTCGCTTGTCTATCAGCCGCATCACGGTGCTATAGTTTTCTTCAAAGCCGAGTCATTCTCATACACTGCGTAGGAAATTCCAGAATAACTAAAGAAAACGGCATTTGTTCTCAACAGGTCTGTGTCCCATGGTTCCCGTTTATGGTCTCCTGAACAAAATTATATAGTCGTGCTGTGCATATTTTGGGACTCTGGACATAACTCATTTGTGCTAGCAGATGTCTTAAGATGTGCAGTGCAGGGACAGAGAAGGGCTGGCATTCAATATATATATGTGCTTTCTTTTTTCTTCTTTCTTGGGGAAATGTGACAGGAAAGCATCACGATTGGTATGCTAAATGCACTAACATGGCTCCTACGATGAAGAGAGTAGGTTTTGTGCTTGAGTATTAGCCACCACAGAAGTGAGTCAAATTTGGACCTGTTCTATCCCACACAATGAACTCAAGAAAAGCTAAAGAAAATGGAATCAATACTTTCTTCAATGTATAACTTTTGTTTTCATTTCTAGTTTTGTGGAACGTTGAAGAGTTTTGATGCTTGGACGATTTCATCAATTCATATTTTACATGCTTATCAGATGTTATGCTGTTTTGAAATGTGCACTTGTGGACTTTATTTGTGGAAGAAGAACAACCTTGTTGAGAAGAAAATACTTTCATTATAAAGAAAATATGTAAAATATTTCATCATTTCTCATCTCTTAGTTTTTCTATAATCTTGATATTAGTTATCGATTCTGTTTCCTCAATCATTTCGTGGAGCAGAAAACAATGGCTGAAGGCAAAGATTACTGTGAACGGAAAATCAACCTGCTAAAGTCAAATTATGATGAACTTGTAGAGGTATGTATCCAAGCACGAGACCATATTATGCTTTCAGTTTCCTTTCTCTGATACCGTAGCTTTCCTTGAGATTGAATAATCTGTATATTCCTCTCTCTGGAGGAACTAATATTGCAAGATATCGTGCTTCTGTGTATGGACAAGTAACTAAATGCGTCAATTTATTTTGTCACAAGCATCGAAGCTTGGTTTTGCCTTGAACATGGTGCAATGGCCAAGTACCTGAGCCCCATATGTAGCTACTGATGCTAGTGGGCCCATTTTATGATATATCTACTCGGCATCGCAGCATTCACTTCATGAATTATGTGAAAATTAGAGAGAGAGAGAGAGAGAGAGAGAGAGAGAGAGAGAGAGAGACACACACACACACACACACACACACACACAGAGACAGAGAGAGAGAGATCAACATGGTTGACTCTCGTATGATCCCCTTTTCATTCCACATCAACATAATTCAGGTTTGGTGGCAGCTCCTTTCTGCCGGGTGGGCAAGAACTAACCAAGAAGGGCAATAATTTTTAGCCTTCGTCAAGGACCAGGCCCTCCATTTTTGCAGGAACGCTGTTCACTTCGCTCTCATTCCCTTTCATTTATCTAATGTTCTTCTGGTTCGCATACATTCTCCTCTCCCTCAACGGCTTCGCGTTCTTCGCAGGTGGCTTCCAAGAAGAAGGCCGTGGCCGATGAAGTCGGGGCACTGCTGCAAGCGAGGTTCAGGCAAGCGTCCACACCACCCTGACCAGTAGGTCCCCGCCTCTGTACTCTACTAGGTTTTATTCGCATCCTCCTTGATATTTAATCTGACTTTGCTCTCGATCAGCTTTCTGATTCTCGCTCTGACTTTGCCCCTTTCTGTACATTTCGATTATATATGGGAGCAATGCTACCTCTAAGTTACTTCGTCAATATCATTTAAATACCATATATTTATCTCTTTATTATATTCTCGTATAAATACTGCAAGTAAATAAAAATATCATGGATTCTGATGCGCTATGTGATTCATTTACCTGTGATTACTGCGAGTAATTATTGCCCAGATGGGTTGGCTCCATATATTATCCACCAAACCATGTTAAAATGATATCGTAAAATGGTAATTATTCCAAATGGGGTCAAAATCTAAGGTCCATAGAGGATGAGTTGACTTTTGCTTTAGTCTCTGCAAAGGATCCATAGATCGGGGAAGGAGATCACGCGGTTCTCCGACTTTCCGGGAGGAGGAAACTCGATTCGGTGGTGATGAGACGAGGCGAGGGAGAAGAGGATGGATGAGGAGGAGGTTTCCCAGAAAAGGCGGGAAAGTAATTAAAACTGTAGGAAATAATAATATTTTTTAACACCATAATTTAAATAATATATCTATTATTGCTCCCTACAGGACAGATATTAGTTTAAAATATATGTTTTATATCCTTTTCAAGCTTTTCACTATATAATTCGATAGTCTATGTATTTTAGAATAATTTGATTTTCAGAGGAATTTATTTCCAAAAGAACAATAGCACATGTGTCAAATTAAATACATGTAAGGGGTTTTACAAAAAAAATATTTAACTTTAAAAAGCTTGGCGGTCGATTAACACGAGGGGGAAGGTGGCTTGCCACGTGGAAAGCACCGTCTGCCTACTAACGTGGCGCGGTTGAATCGAATCCCACGGTTGAGCCACGTCATTGTTTCCAACGGCCGCAGCCGTCGTGGGACGCGTCTTCATGCCCCACATTCTAGAATATTCCATCAGCGGCATTCTGGGATTCCCAAGACGGCGGAGAAGCAAGAGCACGGAGGAGGGAGGAAGAAGATATCATTGGCCTCCTGCCTTCCTCGTCCTTCCTTCTTCCCATTAATCCCCTCTTCCCTTCCGCTACCTCCCTCCAACTGTTTCCATTGATCGGGGAAGGGGGGAGAGGAAGAGGAGGGCCGCGTGCCGGGACGAGCCGTTCAATTTCGGGAATTCTTTCTGTCGCGAATGGGTCAGATTTCGAGTTTTTCTCTGATGTGCTCTCGAGGTGAGATTGCTGTTCTTTCTGAATGCACAACGCCTTCGGTTTCCCACTAAGCGGTGAGTTTGGGCTCTGCCTACGCCTATGGTCTGTGGACGGTGAGTTTGGGCCCCTGAGGGAACGAGAGGGGAATCTGATTTCTCCAGAAGTCAATTCCCACTAAGCGGGAGATCCAAGGTTTATAAAGTTGCAACGGACGATGCACTTGGTCGCTTGATTCCGCTGGAAAAATCCTTTGTGGCGCTAGGCTTCATGTATTTCATGTAATTCTGGATTCGTGATTTCTCCCGTATTACTCTGCACATTACTATTTTCTTCCCTTTTCGATCGTTCTAAGAGCAGATTTGGTTCTATTTTTTTACCACCGAATAAGATTTTCTGTCGATCGTGCATCATTAGAGGAAAAGAGAAAATAGAAAGGAAAATCTCACCCAATTTTTGTCAAAACTTCGAATCTTCCATGCTCACTAACTCTGATAAATTTGTTTTGTATATCCCCGTCATTTTCCTTGCAGCTCATTCGTGAAAAAGCGGCAGCATCTTGAAGGCGTCCTGAGGACGAGGTTCCATCCCGAAAGAAGGTCATAGACCCCTACTGAAGCTATTATTCTAGTCAAGGGAGCTCTAACTGATGTTCATCTCAGCTTCCCTCCCTACTCCGAGTTTATCTCATAGAATTCCCAATTTAGTCTACGTGAGCCTTAAGAGAGACAGAAACAGAGACAGAGACAGACAGACCGACGGATTGGATGTGGAATATTGTTCATCCCTTGCTGCCTCAAGCGACCGATACTGATCTTAAATATATTTTGCTTGTTCTGTGTAACAGGTCTTGGCCCATTTCTTCTCACAACCAAAGAGTGATCAGCTTTGTGTTCCTCTTCGACCCGAGTGAGGATGGCTTCCCTCTCTGGAATCCTCCATCGCCCATTATCAGCAGCAACTGCTGTTGTTGTAGCTGCTGTGTCCTCGGATCTCTCTGACATATTCTCCCACCCGAAGTCCACAGACTCGGCCTTCTTTCACCCACTGCCCAAGGAGTCGAGTTCTGGTTCTGCAGAGAGCTTGGATTCGTCGTGGGTTCCCCGTATCTCCTTCTCTAACCTCTCGTTCATGTCCAGTACTCAGAATCCAGTTCGTGAATTTACAGATCCCCCGTCAAGTCTGAGCTCAGTTGTCAGACCCAAGTCTCTTTTCACCTCATCTTCCTGGCCATCTGCTTCTCCCCACCCTCTTCCTAACCTTCATCAATACACCAATTTATCCAGGACACAGGCCATCAGAATCATCTCCACGAACCCTTCTTCTCCTTCTTCTTCTTCCTCGGAGGAAGTCTCCTACCGCTGGCACCTCCCAGACCCTGGTAATCAAGGAGAATCCGGACGTCTCGATTGCCCCACAATCCGATCGCAGACGGTGGTCGTTCTGCTGGGTTGGTTGGGGGCCAAGCAAAAGCATCTCAAGAAATATGCAGATTGGTACACTTCGAGGGGGTTCCATGTGGTCACCTTCACCCTTCCAATGGCGGATATCCTGAGCTACAAGGTCGGGGAGAAAGCTGAACGAGATATTGCCATGCTTGCGAGGCATCTCACTGATTGTGTGGGGGAGGATCATGGGAAGAACCTGATCTTTCACACGTTTAGCAATACGGGCTGGATGATGTGAGAACTGCCTGCAGTTTCCCCTTAGCTCCTGAGAATTCTGATTTAAGTGTTCCGAGATCAGGGTGCCCCTGGTTTTTGTTGCAGGTATGGGGTCATCCTCGAGAATTTTCAGAAACAGGATCCCTCGTTGATGGAGAAGATCAAGTGTTGCGTCGTGGATTCGGCCCCCGTTGCGGCTCCCGATCCTCAGGTAAACCTCGATCATCCGCTTGAGAATCTTCTCATTCGATCGCCTCCTCTCAGGTCCTTCATCTCCCCTCAGGTCTGGGCCTCCGGTTTCTCCGCTGCGATCTTGAAGAAGCAGAGCTCCTCCTCGAAAGCCACGGCGGCGCCCGGGAAGAGCGGCTCATCGCCGGAGCCGTCCGTCGACGATCCTCCGTTCCTGGCCGAAGTCGTTCTGCTGGAGATCTTGGAGAGGGTCTTCAAGGTCGTTCTGAATCTTCCTCCCGTGAACAGGTAAACAGGCCTCCGATGACCTTCTTCCGATCGAATTCTTCGTATTTTTTTTGAAGGGTGGGGGGAAATCTCAAGAAAATAATCGATCTTGTTCTTGGATCAGGAGGCTGGCCGACGTGTTCGAGGTGCTGTCGTCGAGGCAGCCGAGATGCCCGCAGCTGTACGTGTACAGCTCCTCAGACAGGGTCATCCCAGCGAGTTCGGTGGAGTCGTTTATGGAGGCGCAGAAGAAGGCCGGACACGAGGTGAGGGCCCACAACTTCGTCTCCTCCCCCCACGTTGACCACTTCAGGACCCACCCTTCTCTCTACACCTCTCACCTCACCGCCTTCCTCGATGACTGTGTCCTCACCTCTGCCGTACCGTCTTCATAACATGCATGGGAGACTTTCTTTTTAATCCCTTACCTCTCCAAAGTATATATATACATAAAGAGAGAGAGAGCTAGGTCGAGCAGGTTTCTATTTTCTATTGATTTTTATGTTTTTTAGAGCTGTAATTAATAAATAATGAAACGGCAGGGGTGCGCTAGAGAAGTTCGAGGAGCATGCTTATTTTTTTTAAAAATAAAATATAAATATCCTCCATGTAAATCGATATATATATCTAGAGAGAGAGAGAGAGAGAGAGAAGGGGGGAAGGTAGGATCAACTTTTTTCTATTTTTGTTTGATTTTGAGACAAGGTTTTGATATTTGCAAGGCTCCTATGCTGGATTAAGGTGGTTATAATGTCGTACATTTAGGTGTATTTTTCAGTCATTTAGAGAGAGAGAGAGTATTATTTCTCAGTTATAGATTATCGAAGTTATTTCCTTTTTGCGATATTATTTGAGTCTTGGAGTTCGATAAAATAAATTCATAATATAAAGTGTTTTATAGTTTAAGTTGTATTTTCTGTGCCCTAAAAATATTCCGATATCAGATATTAGTGGGGTTTTAAAGAAACATAAATACGAAAAAGTTAAATTTATAATTATAAAAAATATTTTGTGAGGATTTATCATCAATTCGAAGAATAAAATGAGTTAATAAAAAATATTAAAAAATCCGAAAAAGGTTGAGAATAATAAATATGATATATATACAGTAACGGGCACGAATTATATTCTTTATTATAATGAAGCATATGGGAGTTAAAAATTAGAGGGGGTATTAATTTATGAGCTTCGGGAGTTGCTGCGGTCAGTGGAGCTCCCTGGATTCCCGTCGAGGCCGCAACCCGAGGACGGGCCGCCACGGCCGGCAAGGGCAACCCTAGCGACCTCCGAGCTGGACCGCAGAAGGTTCCCTGGTTCTTGGAGGTGCTGGTGAGCCGTCACTCGCCTTTTCCAGTGTTGTCCGGCGAAGGCGGCAGCAGCAGCTTCCCCCATTGGGAAGCAGGCCAACGGCGCAGGGCTCCGCCTCTCTCTGTGTGGTGGTGACGAGCTTTGGGAGCTCCGAGAGGACTGCCAGAGGCGGAGAAGCGATAATCCATCGCCGTACCTGGTTTATTTTTTCTCCGTCTCTCTTTCCCACTCTCTCCCCGGTCGGCATCGACTTGCAATGCACGTTGGGGTCGGGGACGGCGATCGGTGGACCTCTGCCGACTTTGTTTTGCCCACGGCCGTCGGCTTTTGAAGGCTCGAGTGGAGGAGTTGAATGTGGAGAAGTTTCTCTCAGACTGAAGTCGATCCTCTCTCTTCAGTTTTCTCTGCTCAGTGGGGTTGCAATTGGTGCACAGATGTTTTGAGGCCAGCAGTGCGCAAGTAGGCAAGCTGAGTAAAACCAACTCAGGGGGCGAAAGGCAAATGAGCGAAGAGGGAGCTGCATATGAGAAAGAGTGAAGAGGGTCAGAGAAGTTTTAGCTTACCTAAAAAATAGGGTTTGAAAGAGTCGCCTGAGTGACGAGAGCAGTAGTTTTGAGATTTAGTCTGCCCAAAGTTCCCCTCTGTGTACCTTAGAGATGCAGCCAGGGAACCCTGGCTTCGGTGGCAACGGATACGTCCACGAGCCGGTTGTCTTCGGTAAGCCGGAGAAGTCCCGGTACCGCCGAGGAAGAGGATTGGGTCGCCACCCATTTAGGGCCAGTTCCTCTTCACCTTCTTATTTACAGCAGCAATATGAAGAGAAGGCAGTTCCCCGCTGTACAGAGTTCGACATGGCCTACTTCCAGTCATATTCCCATGTTGGCATCCACGAGGAGATGATAAAGGTAATCTTCATTTTATTCTCCCTTCTTTTCTCATAAATAAGCCGTCTTCTTTTTTTCTGTTCGAAAATTCGCTGTCTCGATTCACTAATCGGATTAAATGATTAATTTGTATTCTCTGGCGTAAGAATATTAGTCCGAATCAGTCTGTGTTGACGTTTAAATTAGTTTGTAGTACATTCCTCGTGGATTGTATATTGAATTCTCGTTCTGATAGTTTATATTAAAAATGTTGGAATGTAGTTACACTGCATAAGGTCATTTGAGCGACACAGTTCTTCCTTCAGAAAATATTTTGTAGGCGTTTATGAAACAGTAAGGCTAAGCAGACCATTTCAACACCAGTACATCTTGAATATGCCAAATATTCTACGGTTTTTTTATAAATAGAAGTAATGTTCCTTATTCAATATAGGCAAACTTGTAATTGGGTCAGAGATTTCTTAGAACTTACTCTGAGTTGTTCGGAAAAATCAACAGTCACAGTCTTTCAAAATCTCTGGTACGATCTAGTAGGACTTGCCCTTCTTCATACATTAATGGATGCACATTTATCTATAGTTCTCCTGGTTCTTTGCTTTCCAAATATTCATCTTAGGCAACTCATGGTTATAGTGGTGTTCGATACTTGGATTCTATATAACGAAAATCTTAAGTTAAGATACATGGATTCTTCTTTCGAAGTTTTATTGCATCTTTATCCACGTCACTTTTAATGTAGCGGTATTATTGTGGTAAAGATTCAATCAATACTGTAACAGTGCCTTGTTTTACCATACGAAGATTATTATCACAATAGAAATGCTGTTAGGAGCAAATGATTGCCGTTTCATGCATTAGACTGGGACATGATTTTCTGATGTTAATGGTCCTTTTTTGTGTTTTATGGAGTGTCTTTTTTATGTTATATAAATACATATTTTGGTTAATGATGTTCTAAAATAAAAAAATGGACTTAAAACGGAAAACAGTCTTAGCTGTCCTAGTAACTTTGAAATGTGTGTTGATTAGGGTTTAAGAAGTAGCTCGGTATCTGTTCCTTAAAAGCTTTGTCTCGATTAAAGTTATTTATAGCCAGTAAGCACTCTACTGTAGATAATATGATTTTTTTTTTTCTCCCCTTAATGTAGAAGGTGGAGTAGTGGAGTATGAGGACGTCTTTCTGACCAACTTTCATGGCTTTAGGAAGGGGAGAGGAAGTCAAGTTTTTAGAATACGATACGACCCCCAGTTTGCCACATCTGCTGATTCAAGTGGATAATATGTGTGTTGCTTGAGTGTCTCCCTGTCGTGTGGGTGTCTGGTCCTTTCTGGAATACGTTGGACTTTATATTCTAATGGGGATTGGAAGTGGACTGGAAGGGGTAGTGGATGATCTTCAGGAGACGTTGCCAACAATATCAGCAGTACAGTGGACTTCCTGTTTTGTGATTGGTTGGGTAGAGGGAACTTGAAATTTTACATGAATGTATAGGGGATACCCCAGTAATAGGAAATTCTCAGGTGGCACATAGTAGAGAAGTTGAAGTTGTGAGAATATTAGGCTTGTGTGCATCAACTATTGAGTATCTTTGATTCACCGGGAGTTTGCCCCTCTCTCTCTCTCCCTCCACTTTTCATTCGTGTTTGTTTGCATGTCATGAGAAGACATGGCTTTGTGAATGACATTTCTCCTGTTTGGAACAAAAGATATAGTTGACTCTTTGTTTATTATTGCAGGATAATGTGAGAACTGAAACTTATAGGGCTGCTATCATGAGACATCAAAACTATATCGCAGGCAAGGTACTACGTCTCTTTTATATTCTGCTGCTTTCGTGTACATATTATTTAATATCTGAAAGATACTCTTTGCATCTTACTCGGCCTTACATGTAGTTTAATATGTATCTGTAGGTTGTTGTTGATGTTGGTTGCGGGACAGGCATTCTTTCTATTTTCTGTGCACTTGCTGGTGCGAAGCGGGTAAGAGGGAAAACAAGTTACAGCATTATATATGAGCGTTTTACGATTTTCAAGAATCATCTGTTGCATCTATTTCTGTGGCTGCCCCTGCGTAGGTGGATTTTTTATCTTAACAATGAGTTGTTTGAGATTTATATATCCACTGTGCCATAGTTTCGTCGGTACTTCTGTTCGTTATCAACCCATGAATATTGGAAACGTCTGTGAGAACTATGCTAGATATTTTATGATTTAACCGTTGAAGTAAAGATTGGGATTGGTATTTGGCTCGTTGTCTTTTAATGATTAAATAGCTTGAATGCTAGCCAGTGCTGGGGAATCCACTTTAGGTAGAATTTATAAAGTAGGTATGGAGCTGCTTTTAGGAAACTAGCTATGCTGTCCTTTTGGAACTGACACCGAGAGTCATATGAATCCTAACACATAATCATAATCACTGTGGGAATCTTTTGAATGGTGCCCCCGTTTAGAAGCACACTGCTGAAATCACTTCCTCGATTCAGTTACTAGTGCCAAAGTCACTTCGTATTGTTAGAAAGGCCTGCTATGATGAACATACTTTTCTATCAAGCAGTATAACCCTTGTAAGGAATACAGTGAATCTATGAGTGCACTCTTTTCAAATCATGTAGGAATGCTGAGGAATCAAAATTTTTGGTAAACAAAACCTGCGTTTGGTTTCAATTTACTTCTGATATCATTGATGCACTCTTGAGATTGATCTGACCACTTTGCCGCTTTAGCTTGTACCTTAATGTTTATAGTGACACATCAAGATAGTGATTACATGTAAATCTTGTTGTCATTTGGTAATAGTGAATAAAAAATGAACTTTTCCTGTCTCCACGCTTTTGGCACTACAGAATGGGGCACTTAGAATAGAGGATTTGGTGCTACTTCAACCTTATTCTTATAGACATGAAATTGGTCTGCAGGTTTACGCAGTAGATGCAAGTGAGATTGCTGTTCAGGTAATTATGCTTTGCATCCGAAATACTATGATCTAGAAGCTTTCAGAGTGGGACACGCCACTTTAAAGCTATTTCTTTTTTGGTATTTTCTGTTGATCTGGGTTTGATTGTTTCTGTTGATTATTCTGTGTGATTTGCGGTTGTGTATTTTTTGTTCCTATACGTAGATGATTTCATTCAAGATAATTTACTATACTTCGTGGTAGTGTTTTCTTTGATTGCTCAATTCCGGTTCCAACCTGTCCACAAGAGTGCAAATCTCATAACAATAAGCCTATCTCTTAATTCTGTTTATAACGATTATTGACTTACTTAAATTTCTATAAGTATTGATCGTTTCTAACTTCATTTTTTACTTGATTAGTTTCTTCTGCATGATTGTCTTGGTATCTTCTTTTATTTTTTGTAGGTCTTGTCCACATTTTCGATTTTTTTCCGTTTCTGAGCGACCACTTTTCCAGGACACATTTAAGTGCTCGTCTTTTTTTTTTTTCTTTTTTTAATGGAGGGAAGAGCTATTGGTGCTTGATTTTGTTTAGTATCTACTTATGTGGCGATGCTGAAATACACTTTTCCGCGTTTGAAGAAATGTCTACTCTGCTAATAAATTTACTCGCCCTTCTCTCATATCTGCCTCCTGTAAATCATGCCATATCCATTCCGGAAGCCCTCAAAAATACCTGCTGGCTATTTTCTTTAAATGTTTACAAAATTAAAGATAAGTACAGAACGCCTCGCACTCTCTCCTTGGTCAGTTCTTTCCCTTTCCTCATTCCATCCGAGCTTTTTATGATCAATACAATTATTACACGAGAATACTGCTGAATGCAAGTATTCCAGACAATTTCCACTCTATTGCCTGATGGTTATGGATTCGATTTCAGTGTCTACAGTTAAATATTTGTCATATGGAAGCGACATTTTGACTTTCATCTCCTTTGTCGTTATTCAAAGGAACAATTTAAGAGCTTGCTGAGATATTTTTTCTTGGAAAAGGAAAATGCCTAGTAATTCACCTATCAAATCGGAACTTTTTTATACAATTTCGTTGTTGTCCATGGGAAGATTTGATATTGCAAATAAAATACTAACTTTCAAGCGTTGTTTCTGAGATGTTTTTGATAGGCCAGTGAAGTCGTAAAGGCAAATAATCTAACTGACAAGGTCATTGTTTTGCATGGCCGGGTAGAGGTAAATCATTTGACCGCTTTTTTCCATGAGTTTATCCTGTTTTTAGCATTTATCATTACTTTCTGTTGCTTTTTGCCTAAGTTTCGATTTTTAGAATTTGTTAATCAGTTCCAAAAGTTTTTTGCTGTAAAACGGAAAAACATTTAAAATAGTGCTTACGACATTGACTTTGGAATCTCAAGTGAGGTCAGGATTTATAAAATTGACTTTGGGCATGTCTTTTGCCAACTTATTTTTCATGTTGTCCAATTTTGCTGATCGCTTTAGACGAAAGCAAGGGGTGATAATTCGTGACAATACTGTGGGATATTGACGTGCAGCTTGCTGTTGTGCTTGCTTTCATGAATCACCTCTTTTAGTTGGTGTAATGGTCCCAAAAAGGAAGTTAAGGAGGTGGTCATTCCTTGAACACCAACTTGCTTAGGCGTGCTAGGTACACGATTCTAGCTGCAATTGCCAATCCTATGGCATGGGAAACCACAGCCAAACAGTTGCCATTTATATTTGCACGTATTCTAGATACAAACGTCCCTGTCAATGTGGATGTGTTCATTCGTTCGTGAATATGTGTCACATATTGCAATCGTGTTGAATGTTGACTCCATATCACGTGCTATTCATGGTATCCATGTGCACTTCCCTGGTAGTCCATGGTAAGTGGTCACTGGATTTCCATCTAGTGGTTGCTGCTAATGTGTGGCATGCTGCATGAAAATGCGTAGCCTCTCTCTCCCTCCCTCCCTCTCTCTCTCATTATATGTACTTTTTTGTCTATATATTAACATATGGATACCCACTCTACATCAACATACATTAAGAATGTTAAGATGGTGCAATTTATTAATATTGCTATGCACATAATTTCTAAATGTTGCTTCCCTTTATTTATCGGACATGAATGCTTTTCATTTCGTAACATGATTTGAATCTCTGATGAATTCAGGATGTTAACATAGAGGAAGAAGTTGATGTCATAATTTCTGAATGGATGGGGTACATGCTTTTATATGAGGTGAATACATTCTCTTTCTTCTTTTATGATTCTTTTTATCCAAAAAGATTATTAAGCCAGAAATCGATGAGACTCTTCTTTAATCGGTCTACTTATTTCCCACGGTGTTTCCTTTGTTTTGGCTACAGAGTATGCTTGGTAGTGTAATTACTGCAAGGGATCGCTGGCTCAAAGCAGGAGGGCTTATTCTTCCGTCACATGCCACAGTAAAGATTCTCATCCTGTTAATATTTTTGTGCATTTACATACAACAAAGATGGACAGGGCAACACTTCTACGCGTTACAACTGTTAATATTAAAAAAGGCAGGATCCAACCCTCTACGCATGCATGATTATGGTATGCGGTGGAAATTTCACTGTGGAATTCCTAAACAGACACAATTAGATAAGTGCTTCATTTCACTTTGGAATCCCTGTTAAGTTTTATTCACGAACTGCTTAAGCAGGTTTTTGGTCATTAATTGAGCTTGGTGGGCAGAATATGTTCTGCATTCTGATGTTGGTTAACCTAATGCTTCCATAAAGGATTCCCTAACGTATGATGTTGTTGTTTTTACATCTGAGCGTCACGATTAACAAATTACTGATAATATTTTTATACTTCTGCAACCACCAATTGGTAAGAGTTTCTTCATGGAAAGGTTTTTATTGTCTCAACTGTTATAAATGTTTATCCCATGACTTATAAGGAGGATTTGGATTTGAGAGTTGAACTGCGATTCTGAATCTTTCACAACAATATGCTTCTTTAATATGGCCAATGAAGTCTTGTGCCAATCTTCCAAGGAATCATGTCATGATTCTCTTTGTAGTTCACTCATTTGAAATGTTGATGACTGGTGAGCTTTCTACGTTCATACTTCATATTCAAATCTTAAGTAGTGGTTAATGACCGCTCTGCTGTTGCAGTTGTACATGGCACCAGTTACCCATCCAGACAGATACCGTGAAAGCATTGACTTCTGGCGCAACGTTTATGGCATTGATAGTAAGTAATCAACCAATATTTTGACGCTTTAACTGTGAATGAGTGAGCATATGCTACATTATCGCCATGACATGAATTCTGACATGAATGAGTCAGCGTTGCGAAGGAAAGAGGCCCATTGATCACAAATTACTGTCTCCTTGTAAAAGAGATTCATAACCAGTAAGCTGCTAACAAAATACGTGCTATCTCATGGCAAGTTCTGAACTGAAGGCTGCAGAAAACAGAGTATTGAGGATCAGCAGTACCCAGTCTTTTTGTTTCTTCCTTTGCCAGATGGTGATGTTGTGGTCAGGGGGGCAGTGTTAGCCTGCCCAGAATTAAGATGTCAGAGTTAGCCTGGAATCACCTGATTCTTTTTTCGGGCAGAGAACACTACTTCCTACTAATTGACAAGTGAACTTTTAAAAAAAAAAAAAAAAGATAGGAAAAAAAGCGATATTCTTGTATGTTTGGGGAAAACTGCGAGAGACCTTTCTGATATATATTTCCTTGGTTATATTTCCCTGAATTGACACGTGTTTTCCAAATACTGAGTTGACTTGAATTGGTGATCGTCCTTGGTTGGTTTCAGTGTCTGCTATGTTACCACTCGCAAAACAGTGCGCATTCGAAGAGCCGTGCGTTGAGACAATAACGGGCGAGAATGTTCTCACTTGGCCTTTTGTGGTGAGTCCCTTGATTCTTTGCATGATGCTTCCAACATGAGACTCTCAATTTAAATGTCATATTATAATTATTATTATTAATTTACTCTCATATGTTATGAAATGAGTACTGAGCAGAATGCAAGACTTTTTCTGGCATCATCTGGCCATTGCATGCCCAGTGGATTACAGAAATAGATGATCTCTTCTTTGAAAGGAACCCTAACAGTTGTTGACTTTTAAATTACTGAAACGAAGAGAAGCAAATATAGAACCAAATGTAGAAGATGAAGGGAGGAATTATTGCGGATAATAACATAGACAGAAAAATAGTGAAATTGTTTGAATCTCATTCGAAAAAAATCATCCTTAGCAGATTTACATGTTCTTCTATCTGCCTAATGTCTTCCACAATTTTTCACTATGCTTTCTAAAGTGAAAGTTATAATTTCGATTCATGAGCAGGTGAAGTACGTGGATTGCTACACTGTCACAATAAAAGAGTTGGAGTCTGTTACATCCAAGTACAGATTTGAGTCCATGATGCGAGGTATGGGCCTGTTCATCGTCTTATAGTTTATGTACCCGCACCCTTGTGTTAAAGCTTGATGTTTGACCTTTGCTGCAATGGGAGCTATATTGCTTAATGTGCATGTTAGAACTGATAAAGGGTAGCTCTAGTTTTTTCGGAATCTCGAGGATGACCGGGGCTTATTATCACCTGTCATTTAGTCCTAATTAGGAACTTGACGATAGCTCCCTTTTTACAAAGGTTCTTCATTACTTCTGGCCGATTTTCCCTCTCCGAGGTGACTTTCTTTGTAAACCATACCTTGTGATGCCCATTGCAAAACCACATAGGGTGAGATTGTTTCAAAACCCATATGGTAAAATTGAAAGCCCAATGTTACCCATATGCGCTCTCTCGCTCTCTCTCATCATGAAATCTTCCTGAGTATAAACTATATTATGGTTTATGTTCATGCGGTCAGCCTTGGCTGGACTTGGCTCTTTAGAGCTTCTAGTTTTTTTGTGATGCCACCGGTGACTGAGGAAGCATCATCGGTTTCCATGCTCTTGTGTTTCTTCTCCCAGCTCCTCTTCACGGGTTTGCTTTCTGGTTCGACGTGGAATTCAATGGCCCGGCCATTTTCGCGAGCAACCACTTGCCATACCCCTCTCAAAGCTCCTCCGCCGACCCCAACCTCAACGGCTCGGATCAGAGGAAGAAGAGAGCGAAGTCCGACGAGGCGTTGATCCTGTCCACGGCTCCCGAGGATGCCCCCACACACTGGCAACAGGTACGCCCCCTCCGTTTCTCCTCCTACCGATTCTCTATTGCTCTCTAATCACGGCGGCCCCCGCTCCCCGCATTGCTCCAGACCTTGATCTATTTCTACGACCCGATTGAGGTCCAGCAAGATCAGATCATAGAAGGCTCCATAACCATCTCCCAGAGCAAAGAGAACTCGAGGTTCTTGAACATTCACCTCGAGTACGCGTGAGTATTCGATTATCCCCAAGCACCATTCCAGTCTTCTTTCCTGTTTTCTGTCTGAGAAGTGATGGGGGATCCCCGTGGTGTGCTGGGTTTCTTCTATGACTTGCTGTCGCAGATCTGGCGGGCGATCCTACGTGAAGGAGTCCGTCATGAGGTGATTCCTGGCTTGCCCCCGCCGGCGGAATTCAAACGAGAAGCTTACAGGCGGCGGATTGCAGAGATGGCAGGCTCGCAGGCTCCGGTCAATGCCTCAATAACTCTGGTTAATTAATCTGTAGAACCAACAGCCTTACCCAGGAGGGCGTTGATACCTTGATGATTCTGAGGCCCACCTGTGATTTTTCCATTCATGGCTGGCCGATGATCTTACCTTCTGGGCTGGTGAGATATAAAGTAGGTAGGCTCCTTCTGAGCAGCAAGGCAGTCACAGGCCCCTCCCCACTGATGCTTTATATCTTTCCTGCTGCTGCTAACCATGGGTGAGATTCGGGGACCTGCTGCTACGATCCCTGCCGCCATGGGAAGAACTGCGCGCCCCCCAAGGCGGGTGTTGGGCGAGTCTTCTTGACGGGGAAACTCGAGATGCTGGATCTGATTCTTTCTTCGTTGTTGTGGTATCCCCATCCATTCGTCTCACTGAAAACTGAGCACAACCGGGCCTCCTGCATCTTTGCAAAACCCTAGAAAGTGTGTTCATCAGAGGCTTCACAGGGAGGAAGGGGAGTGGGGCCAGAATTCTCCCCCACTCCACTCATCCTCACCCAAAAATAATAACAATCCCCTCCCCCCCCCCCCCCCAACATTTACAGAGGCTTTTTTAATAAATTAAATACAGTAAAATGGGGGTGCCGTTGACCTCCCTCCACAAAAAGGGAAGAAAGGGGGGGGGACCGAATTATGTACAGTCTGGCGAAGCCTAAACCCTGAAGAGGTATTGTAGGTCTTCGACGGTGAGGCGAGTCGAGCGACCGACGGTCTGGTCTTCTCCAAAGGCCGAAGAGACCATCTCCCTCTTCTTCTCCTGCAGATGAGGATGGCGGCGTTGCATGGGTTAAACAGGGTATCCGAGAGGATCCCCTAAGATATTGCCTGGAAGAAATCATTCCAAAGATGCTTGCCTGAAGAATATTGCCCTCTGATGATCTGATGGCCAAAAACTTTATGTCTATATATATACCCAAGTAAAGAACTCCTAGGGCTGGTATCAAAGTATTGAGTTGTGAGGTACGGGTTAGTTCCAGGAATCCATATGCTTACTTGAATGAAACATATCTATGCGGGAGAAGAGATCGCATGGTTCAAACAACAGCTCAGAAAATGGGCTCATGGGTTGGATCCCAAACAAGTATGCGATCACAACAGGAACATCCTCTGCATGGTTCGTCCTTGGCATGGTTTCGGCGGAAATTTTCCCAAGATAGAACCATTTATATGTGGGTTTATTTTAGAAAAATGGGAGGAAAAAAAATAAAAAATCAGTGGGGGAGAAACTTGGGGTTTCTTTATGAGGAGCATTCTCAGCAAGAAGATTGGTTTCATGGCAAAAAAGGAGTAAAAGATGGACGATGACGATGAGTAAAATAATCGGTTTTATTTCCTTCCGCGGAGGCCAGCCGCTAAGAACAGGGGAAGAGGGATTATGGAGAAGTGAGCATATCATCTTCTAGATATAGAATAAAATGGACATAGTGGGTTAGATATTGATTTCCCTCTCCTGACAATAACGGAAACCCATGCGACTGATAGAGACAAACACAGAGAAAAGTCAACGTTGAGGGGCGGATAATTACCTGAAGAGCCAGTATGCGATCCTCCACTGTATCACAGACAGTCAGCCGGGAAACTGTCACAGGGCGAACCTGTCCGATCCTATGAGCCCTGTCAATTGCTTGGTCTTCAGTGGTGGGATTCCACCAGGGATCCAGAAGAATGACGTGGCAAGCGGCGACCATGTTGAGGCCAAGGTTTCCCGCTTTCAGGGACATAATCATGACAGAAACCTGCAACAAGACAAGATTCAATCACAAATTGCTCTTCGCTGATGAAATGAAAATAATAATAATAATAATAATAATTATTATTATTAAAAAAACCAAATAAAGAAGAATTGGATCCTTGAGTGTCAGTGGTTGCTATAGGGTCTGATCGAGAAGGCCCGAGCCCATTTTTCTCGACATATGGTTGCCCCACAAACTACTCCACCCTCCCCTTTCACTCTCTCTCTCTAGGATTAAGAGCTTACAGAAAGGGAGGGGAGGGCCAGACCCCATTTTGAGGGGGAGGCAGAGTAGATTGGACGTTAGACAAAAATGAAAGCAGTAATCTTCGAGGATATAGTCAAACCTCAGGGTCCGTGTTAAAATCTTTCACAGCTCTTTCTCTTGATGCCAGAGACATGCTTCCATCCAACCTTCTGTACTGAAGAAGGGAATGATTCAAAGAAACCTCTAGAAAGTCCAGCATGCCTGTCCACTGGGAGAAAACTATGGCCTTCACTGGAGGTTCAGATTCAGAGGCCTTAGTGTGGTCTTCACGTGGAGGGACGCTTTCATAATGCTGCTCTCCAGCGGGCTCCGGGCATTGAATCTTACATATTGACCTCAGGATATCCATTGCTGCGTCGATTTTACATGAACTGTGGAAAGTTCCCTCTGGGCGGTCGGCAACTCCAGAGGAACCTTCCACCGATTCACCAGACAAGCAGTTTCTCAAGGTCGATCCAGAAAATACAGAATCGGCACCAATGATGTCTTTGCAGCCAGCTGCAGGGCATGAACTGACGTCCCCAGTTAGATAACCGGATATGCATTGATAGCAGAACACATGGCCACACATGGTGACCACAGCCTCCTCTGGTGGATCCTGAAACAGGGGCCGTTCCCAGTGAATAAATTTGTCTTAACAGCATTATTTTGGATACTTGAGCAACAAAAACCACACGGTAAGATTTCTTTAAAATGCAAAACAATAAAATCGTGTGGGTTTTGAAGGTTAAAGATGTCTGCTTGAACGGTTAACAGGGAATGTAGACAAGCAACGAATCCAAGATTGTGCAATGTCGTTTCATTTCCTGAGTGAAGTGTTGATCTCAGAGGCAATGGTTAGCGTCTGCCCATTGTCAGGACCGAAGCATGAACAAGGATTTCAGGCGTTCTGGATCTCACGAATGTTCTGTTAGTATATTTAATTCCTCCACTAACCATGTGGCGAGTGAGGATTTGTTCTATCCAAGATGAATCAACCACACATAAAACAGTGTGACAGAAGATGGGATGGGATGGGATGGGATGGGATGGGGTGGGATGGGATGAAATAGAAGAAGGATTAGATGGATGAAAGGAGAAGAGCCAGAAGACCACATGTGAAATGAATTGTTGAAAATTATCTCCCTTTACTGTATGGATTTTCCTGTCATCACTCTTTCATATTGATGCCCTTGATACTAACTGAATTGACAAAAACATGATCCGTACATGTTAAGACGCTGATATGATACAAATCAATGCACCGAGGGATGCCGTGCCTCACAAAAAACAAGAACAAGCCAGAGAAAGAGAGAACATACGCTGCAGACACCACAAATTGCCAGCGAAGCTTCCAAACGATTCAGTAGATAGATCAGCACCTCTCTAGGAAGCCGTTGTGCCATCTTCGAAGATGATTTTGCAGCAGGGCATGAATGATGCTCTTTCACAAGAAGAGGATGATCACATGCTTGGCGGAGACGCAAAAGTAATAACAGTATGCTTGCATAGTTTTGATTCACGGTGCCAGCAGCAGCGAAGGCCTGAAACATGAAGCCTCACTGTGATGCGACGTGTAAATACTTGCTTATGTGAACATCTGCCAACAGATAAAACCATCTCAGAAGACGTCGTGCATTTATATGGACGATAGATGCTCGCATTTCGTTGTCAAACAGAGGAGACGTGGAACTATCTAAGTTTGAACTCATATGATGGTAGGCATTTGAGTAACCAAAAGCATACCTCATCTTCGTGGACTCTCCATGCGCATCTGGTAGAATTTGCTCTACATGATTTCAAAAAGAAGGATCGCATCTACCCATCCCCCAGACAATCTCGCAACCAATAAGCGATCCGTGTCCAAGATATATCTCGTTTAAGACTTGGTCTAGCAGTCTTTACCACAACACATCCATCATCACAATTGAAAAAAAGACTCCTTGCGATATCATATTCATGTAGAAGATAAGTCTTGAACCCCTCCATGGGAAATTCTTCACGCCACCCTCAAAACTCTCTACCACTCTCGCGGTGCTCATCTGCCTCATTTCCACCATCAGTCGGTTCAGCATTAAGACCCCCCCACATAATGAAAGCTCCACTAGGAGATGATCGAGTCTTGCTCATCATTCAGAAACTTCATCCAGGCATCTCATGCTCTTTCTTCTCATGCAAGGCAAAGGAGGATTATTCCAGGTTATCTTTTCATCTGGGTGTCTGAATGCATCCACAAACTTCTCTGTGTTTTTGACAGCCCTGGAAGATGTCGACTGCAGAGGATTGTATTTCCTCCACTCCACCTCCCACAACACCTATACCCATCATACGAATTGAAATCCTTTATCCGACTCCATCTGCCCATTATGATCACCATCATTGACACTAACACACTATTTGGATCGACAATTATCGACATATCTATTACACCCGAAAATTTTTCTTTAAATTTCCCCGTTACAGTTTTTTGCATATAAATGATAATCTTGCAACTTTTTTTCTCCCAATGCTAGTTTTATATATATAAGCCTATAACTGACTCAAATGAGTAAATGTGATAGAAGCTTTTAACATAAAACCGGGGACAAATCTTTCACTCACGGAGAAGAGAAAACCGGAGACTACAATGTCCCAAAGACAGACGTATGTCTGACGGGAAGTGGTGACACTTTAAAATGTTGTTGATTTAACATTTAGGTTACAAAATCTTGCATAGTCTTTCCGCACATAGGTGTAGAAGTGTACATTGAGCTATTAGTGACGATTCTACTATGGTGCCACAAATTCGCAAACTGATAGTAAATACTTACACCTATGACCCAGGCATAAGATTCCACTAAGATACTACTTCAATTGTGTTTCTACCACTCTATTTAGCGATGTAACTGAAAAAAGATAAGAAATTTGTAGTCTCCCAGAAGTCTTCTCCACCAGCAAGATAACTGCAATTTATCTTCGGTTTTAATAAAATTTACTTGATGAAAAATTAACATAAATTGAAGTTATAAATAGTTCCATCACCTGAAGATTTTATTGATGGCAATGATATAATATTTCATACTAAAAAAATGCCCTCAGAACTCATAAGTAGAATTGTCAACAATTTGGCATTGAAGTAAGCTGATAACACTTCTAATAATGGAAGTGAAGATCAACCACAAGGGATAGATAACATTCATTAATGAACTAGTAGCCAAATCTCAAGATAAACACCTTTTTAATGACTGAAAAATAATTTCAAGAATTATGAGCATTACCTTGAATTTTTGCCGTGAGTCAGCTTCTAGGCTAGAATAAAATTCTCGTTCTTCTGGAGAGAAGTATATCTTCTTCAAATTTATCAGTTTAGGAGGCAATTTAATGATAGCCTCTCCATCAATCAATGTTCCTAACCAAATAAAAGTACAATAGGCCAGAAAAGTTAAACTATAACCGATGCTTTTAATAATCAACGAGAGGAAAAAGCTCCATAAGAACCTATAAAATATAATTTTACTCAGCTGCTGATTAAAAGACCTCCGAAAAATTAATTAGAAGGAATAATCTTCTCAATGCATTTTATTCCAAAATACTAAAACTACCAAATGACAGTTTTTGGCTATAGAATAACCTTCAAGAATTTCCTATAGTGCGCATCACAAATCCAGGAGTACATGATGATAACGGCACATATCCTTTGTATGGAAGTACCCATTCTCATCTTTGCCTGAGTCCATTACAATAATGTTGAAGTGGCGCTAAAGTAATAACTCGAAGACGAGACAAAAGAATAAAAAATAATAGTATAGACTTGATGATGGGAATGTTGATGATCTAAAATATACTACTTCCAAGTCACATAACTGAAATCACTTCCCAATACTAAAAATCAGGTTAGAGTTAGCTAATTTAGAGTCCGACTCATCATAGAATTGGATGGCACAAGGCAGTCCATCTGGCCCAAATGACAGGTAGAACAGGATTTAAGAAGACTCAGCCAACTTGGCGAACCAAGTCATAATCCAGTCGCATATAGACACACCACTCAACCTCTCCCTCAAGTTCGAGGATAACATTATCTAGTATTTTACCAAGTAAGAGAACATGCCTGAATGAAATTTACAAAGTACGTAGTTTTGCACATGTAGAGCCTCAAACATTAGAAAAGGCAGCAACGGATGGAGATTTGATGAAGGCTATGAATGAAGAAATTGATGTTATTGAATAACCAATCATAATCTGGACAATAGATTTACAATTGTACACTCAGAATAATTGATCCCTAACAACAGAACCAAAAAACCATTGACACGGACACTGTGCCCTTCAACATCTGCCTAATTAGCAGGATCCTATCAATTGCGAAGTGGCCCAGAAGCTCAACAGTTAATAGGCACACAAGCCAGACGGGATTGGTGACCTGGCAGGACATCAGAGGAGCCGAGATGTTTCAAGGGATTCTTACAGATACGATCTTTCAGGCTGCAGCGTGAGTCTGAGGATGCATGGCATCCGCATACGGAAGGCAGCTAAGCAATGGCGCATGCCCTGGGTAATACAGGCAGATGTGAAGGGGTGACAGTATGTCAACAGCACAGAAACATTACAATTTTTTAGCGTGAATCAATTTAAGTTTGATGATTCCAAAATCTTCTCAAACCCACTTTAAAATTTCTTCGAAACTCTCTAACAAGTCTCAATCCTGGTCTGAACTAATGGCCTGACAAATTCATGCTTGTACCCCATACGTATGGAGTGTGCATTAAGTTTCGAATTTATATGTTCTATGGATGGTAGGGTCGAGTGATATTACAGTCAAAAAGTTTCCAGCCAAGGAAACAGCCAAGCTTCGCATAGATGATATCAACATAGTAATGATTGATAATAGCCTAAATATCAATACTACCACATCTGTCATCGTTGATGAGAGGCGAAAGACGAAACAGTTGATTCCTATACGAAGCACCCAGGGCAAAAGTATCACGATGCCAAAGAGAATAACACGACATTTAGCATTCATCAGTATGCGGCAAACAATAAGAACAGATAACTATCAATAGGGCAACTGACCTTTCGTACGACGAAGCATTATAGTCCGCAGGATTGCTTGGAGTTTCTTATACCCTGCGGTCGGATTAGTAGCAATGGGGTTCTTTATCGAGGAGCAGAAAGAACTATAAACCGCGTAAGGATCGTACTTCAGAAATCTAAAGTAACTATACAAGTCATCCAGTGAATTCTGTAAAGGTGTTCCTGATAAGCACCATCTTCTTTTGGCCCGAAGTCCACAACAGGCTTTAGAAACTTGAGTTCTAAAATTTTTTATAGTTTGAGCCTCATCTAACACTACCCTAAACCAACGCACCCTCGCAAGTGGACCGCTATCATGATCAAAGCCAGAATCACAAGCCCTCTTCCTTTTACCCTTTCCTCCTCTTTCTTCATCTGAGGTTCTTTTCTTCTTCTTCTTAAGGGAAAATTCCGAGGATAATGCATAGTTTTCCGTAGTCCTCTGTTCCCCATCATCATCAACACGCTGTTTTGGTACTTCATTGGAAACAATAGAATATGTCGTCAGAACCACATCATATTTTGCAAGATAACTCGGATCTTTTGACCTTGTACTTCCATGGTAGATCAAAACAGATAGTTTCTTACTCTCTGGAACTTTCTCCTCAATCTCATGAGCCCATTGTCGAAGAATACTCGCTGGACAGACAACCAGCGTGCCACCTGCTGGCCTTCCCTTATACATTGTACACTTAGCGCTATCCTTATTTGATGAATTACATTCGCCAGAATCATCAGCCTTTTTAATTTCAGGGAAAGAAGGATCAGGCTTCACTGAACATGAAATTTCATATTTAATACCTTGTGTTTTTGAATGTTCTTCGAAATCCGTAACCAATTCACGATTTTCATCATCAATTTCCACGAAATCCTGAAGCTTAGATGTGGGACCACAAGAATGATCAGACGAAAGTGTAGACTTTTGCGGTCCTCCTCTCAAATATTCTTCAGAGCACTTTGGTTTTTTATCTTCAGGAAGCGCATTATCAGCCTCATCTAGGTTCAGAGCATCAGATTTAATGTAACCAGAAACACCAGACGAAAACTCAACTTGGTGTGGTCTCTCCATTTGGATAAGAGCAATGATTGATATGGTTTTACCAAGGCCCTGCGAAAAACAGCATGATTTAGAAAACGACAGTTGGGATGACTTCAGAACAGCACACAGAGATGTAAGTTCAAAAAGACCACTGAAGAAACAGAAGACCTGATCATCCGCAAGAATTCCACCCGAACAATACAAACTCTTCTCCTTCTTCAGCATCCATGCCAAGGCTATTCTCTGAAGGACGTGATAAAATTCATGCAAGGTTGTTCTATGCAGAAACAAATATACCCATTAAAGTTACAAGCCAAGTGAAAACCATACCTGGTGCCTCATGAGAGAAATAGACAATAGATCAGCAGGTAAATCCCCTTCATATTTCGGCTGATTAAGATCCTGGAGAAAAATTTGAAAAAATGTTTCTTAGTATACATGTCATAGAAATGGCAAAATCTCACATATGTTTCAATTTATGCTAATGTGTATATCACGGAAAAGAAAAAAACGAAGATGCACCTTCTTTGTGTACCTGCAGTGCTGCTTGAAAAATCAATCTTTCATCTTCGTCTATTGTCTTCTCTCCCATACCTAAATGATTTCCAGAACTTTTTGGATAAGTTGACAAAGAACTGTGAGAAGAACTAACAGCCAGTTGTCCAGCAGCCGACCCTACACTCATCCATGGGGGCAGATGCCTTCGATGTTCTGCACTTTTGTAAAATCCATTATTATTCGCATCCATATTATCTTTAATATTATACTGAGGAATATTGACATCCACTCCAGCGAAGCTATCCAATTTCCCATGAGAATCCAGAATTTGGATATCCTCATCATTCAATAAAGATGAATTGAGAACATTTTTATAGACGGTTGGCCGAAGAGGAGGAAGAATTTTCTTTTGCATGTTAGCCATGAAAGGTTTTGCCTTGCTCTCCCAAGTGCCAGAGACACCATTACCATATTGTGAGTCAGAGTGAACAGACAAGGTATGTTGAGCATCTATGGCAGCATAATTTTTCGAAGTTCCTCCCTCACCCTGCCATGTATTACTACTGCTCTCGTTAGCTTTCAGATGAAAGGCATCTTTAGGGTGCACCATCGGCAGAATTGGAGGAAAAATCCTTGTGAATATGTGTTCTTTCAATGTCTTCGTGTCACTCCTCGACACATTATTTGTGGTATCACCATCATTTTTCATAGAACCATTGTCAGGGCGCACAATTTGCTCAAAAGGTAGATCATCTCTCTTGCCATTTTTTTCTGTCAAAGGTTCCAGAGCACTGTTTACCCTGTCTTTTCCAGCATCCTCAATTATTTTTTCAAAACGACCACCAGGGTACACAAGTTGCTCAAAAGATGTGGCATCATTGTTATAAACTTCTTCTGTTGAGGTTGGACCTAGCTGTGTTGGATCAGATTCTTTTAAAGGTGAAGGTGAAGGTGTATCTGTAGATTCTGTTGAAGGTGTTACATCGTCCTCTCCAATAGCATTCCCAGTATCCTGAAGATGAAGCTCAGAGCCACCAAGAGGATATTCTGCATTATTCTCCCATATGTAATCTTCGGTATCTGAGGAACTGATATCAATAACCTCCATATCCAAGGATATAAATACAAAACTTCTCTGCAATAAATTTTAAAAATTCTTGTTTACTTTCACACAACCTACAATGAAATAACATCAGAAAATAAGCATGCATGCTGTATAGTATACATGTGGATTTCCACAGGGTGTTCCAGTCGTATAAAATAGAAAAGAGTAGTCTGACGGCAGTGACAAAGATGATCTTGACAACAATACATTCTTCTAAAGCCAAACATATCTTGACACTATTGTGTGTAATGTCCGTAGTACATATAGTCAAACATATATAGAAGATGTACCTTGGTAAGAAAGAAAGAAAAGGAATGAGAAAGCCCATACGCAATAATGCAGCCTCTAGCTTGATAAGGGTTCTGTCACTTGCACTATAAGAGATTTTTGTGATGCTATCGTTCTGCGTTGCAATTAAAGATCAGGAAAGCAACAGGACAAGTCCACCTGAAAATGGATTTTTTTCTGATACTTCAATGTCTCTTCGATCATAGCACTTTCTAAAAATTTTCAGCCTTCATCTTAAATAAATAGTCCACTATAACACAAAAAAAGTAATAATTGTGAGAAATATCATTAAATTTGTGTAATATACCATTAAAGATTAAAATTATAGGTATTGTATTATGATTCTATGAGCTTTAAACCTGGAATTTGACATGGATGTTGCATAACCTCGGTTTCAGAGGCTTCTTCATTCACCAATTCTTTTGAGAATACACCTGTTCACAACAGGCGCCCATTCTTAAAATTTCTCGCCTAATTCAGCTGATGCCTGAGAGGAGGAAGCCAAGCATCATGTCAGTAGGGCATCCCCATCTCTTCATGACAGAGGTACACGTAAATTTGCAAAAAACAAAATCCATCACCTTCAACTGAATGATTTATGGGTGTGAATTTTGGTAAAAATTGAACAACTGATAGGCATTAAAAAAAAAACTGGGTTCTAGATGAACAGATAGTCAGAATATGAACCGACCACAACATGACGCGTTTTAAACGACTTGTACACGCTAACGTGACACAAGGAGTGCACCAGTGAGGGATAGAAATATATTTTAACGGATATTTCACCAGAAACGACACAAAAAGCAATGCTGCAGACACCCAGAGCACCGAAACAAAATTTGGTGCGGCGGGGATCAAATTACTCGGGTTGATTGCAGCAGGCGATGAGTCTTCTCGAGACTGGAAGAAACAATACCTAGAAAGAACAAAATGCACGTAACGGGGAACAATTCAACACATTTGAACCCAGCTTTTCTCCAAGCAAATTATAGGAAAAGCCGAAGCGACTAACTCTTCTCCCCATTCTTCTTCTTCTTCTAAGGATCATAATCTCCCCCAAGGAGAGCTGGTTGTGGTGGAAGAGCCGATCTCGCCTTCCAGGGGTCTCGAGGGTTTCGAATCGTCGCCCACGGCGGCGAAGAGGGGAGGATGAGTAGCCAAGGGGGCCGTCCAAAGACCCGAAGTCTCGACACCGCTTCGGAGATCGGTACAGTTACCTCCCCGTCACGTCGACAAAGAGTTGACCGGTGAACCGAAGACAAATACCCACTGTGGTTCAGTTGATGGCAGTGGAAGGGGTCGAAGAGAAGAAATTGAGGATGAAAGGTGGGAGATTGATGGTTGGTGTTTAAATGCTAATTAACGACGTATGGACGCCCTCTTTTAACACGCATCCATCCCCATGGATCTCCTCAATGATAGAGAGAGAGACAGCGAGAGAGAGAGAGAGAGAGAGAGAGAGAGAGATAATGAGATGGTCCATAGTCTCTTTCTACGACCTCGTTGATTTTAAAAGCCTAGAGAAGACGAATGATCTTCTCCGAGGTTATGCAAGTGACTTGATGTGTAGATGCCCGGTCTGACGCCCTCGTGCTCTCTCTCTCTCCCTCTCTCTCTCTCTCTTTCTATCTATCTATATCTCTCAAATGAAGGTTAAATTGTAATACCTCACAACTCCACAAAGACCAACATTTGCTAATTCTTTCAGCGAGGAAACTGATAATCTGAGCAGAACAGATCATTTATTATAATAAAACCGAACTAGGGCTGATATATTCCAAGGGGATATTCAAGGTGAATCCATTATGAGTCGCAGAATCTGATCCATATGAACTGCCCTTGAGAGCTTACTTCTCCCAGTCCAAACGACTGGGCAATAGCTTCCAATAATAGCTGCTGAGACCATTCATGAGAACTTGGATCGGATGGTGCAAGTCGGTCAATCTGCTTTCCCAATTCAAATCTTCAACAGCGAGTTTCTAATAAAATAATCGAAATCAAGGCGCGATAATCTATTTACCCTGGATTTTTCACCTTAATTTAAAACGATGTACTGATAATTGATTTTCATTTCCTACTTTAAAAAATGTCTAGAAAATTTAAATTATAAAATTAGACGTCACTTCAAAACAGCTTGATCAAAGTTGCACCAAAAGAATGACTTCTCTATAGAAAGATGCATGTAGAAATCTTTAGATCCTGCATTATGTCCAATAATCAGACAAATTTACGCTAGAGTGTCTGTCAGATGTCAGAATATCTGATGAAGATGAGAAAATACCGAATTTTCAATTGGCTTTAAAACACTGGATAGTCTGGCAGAAGTCAGAATATATAAAACACTTAAATTTCAATTGGCAAAGAAAACGATTTCTTACAACTGAGGGTTCTCATCCAAAGGTTGATAACCTTCCGACTCTCATGGCATTCAACGGTCAGTGATTCAATCCTCAGCGGGTGAAAAGCACAGGACAGGAAGGGGAAGGGATTCGCTCGATCAATGAGTATATAAAAATTGATCTCATTCAACATCCCACCAATCCCCGAACTTAAAGCTTGAAAATCAATCGGCGGCGGATGATTCTGATAAAATGTTAAGGCCTAATTATCACGTCCAATAGCTCATAGGTGTGCAAACAACCTAATCGATAGTGCACGATCCACGGAGCAAGGAAGAATGTAAAAGAAGAATCTACTTTCATCTCGATCTTGAAATGAATCCGCCAGTCCCTGCATATCTCGATGAAACTTTCCAGGACATATCAGTTGCAAGCCCCAATCGACACACAGAAAAGGGGTTGGGGATGACGGCTAGGCGTAGCTCATTTCGAATGTAATCGTTTAGATTCGCCGTGATGGAAAAAGCAGCAAAAATAACAGAGAGATGAGGCTGGATCCGAACTCAGAACTAGGCTCCTCGCTTGTGCTCGCCCTCCGGTGGCTCTCAATCGAAGCACCGCCGCCCATCGTCCAGTAGAGCGGCGGGAGAGGGGGATCTTTCCGAGGGAGGACCGATCGGAAATACCAGAGAAAGAGGAGGAGGACCGATCTCCCATTTCCCGCGCTTTCTTAAGTGGCACCAATTCGCCGCACAGATCAAGAGCCCCCACATCCAGCCGTTGATTTACCGAATGAATTAAACGGACGGTTCAGATTCTATAACGCAACCATTTGAAGATGGGTAAGGCTTGGGTCTTTTCCGAAACCCCCTTGGTATAAAATCATCGACAGAATACGTTAAGACTCTAATATATTTACTTTTATGTCGATAAATGGATCCGAATCGAGGCTCTGTCGCCACATAACGGGTCTATCTATTTACGGTAAGAAAGACGCTCCGCCCCTACTGTCTTGTCCGGAGGAGAGAAGACCAGAGAAGTCAACGCCGGAGGACCCTCCTCTCCCGCCACGTGATCTCCTGCGATCCCCCCATGGCTGTCGGGCAGAGACGAGGGGAAGGACCATTTGCAGCAGATCCCATGAGCAATATCTTAGCTGTTCCAGCAGAGCCCCAGCGAAGGGCGAGAGAGAGAGAAAGAGATAGAGAGAGAGAGCGAGAGAGACAGACAGACAGAGAGAGACAGAGAGAGATAGAGAGACAGAAACAGAAAGAACTGACGCAGGCTTAATTACACCGGCGGATGAGCAAACAAGAGGAGGGAGAAAAGTGCAGCATGTAGAAGGAGAGAAACCGGAATCTAGAATTCTAGAGAGAGAGAGGGAGAGAGGTAGGAGAAGCGAGGGTCAGCGGAAGAAGACGGAGTCGCCGTTGTCGAAGTTGAGGGAATAGCTGAAGGCGTCGTAGTGGGAGCTGAAGCGGCGCTTGCCGGAACAGCCATCGCTCACCTGCCGCCGTATCTCCGCCCGAACTCGCCGGAACAGCCTCTGGAGGCCCCTCTTCCCTTTATCTAGCACAGAACACGGCCGCCACCCCGCCAACCCCGCCACCACTGCCGGTGCCATCGCCCCCACGAAGACGATAACCAATGAGTGAGAAAGATGGAAGCCCGGAAGAGCTGCCCTGAGAGTATCGCTTTTTAGAGTGAGAAAGAGGAGGAAGTGGGGCGGAAGTTTTCAAGTGAAGATGGGTTTTGGTTCTCCCTGCAGGGCCGATCTATCGCATTCTCGGGGCTGACACTGGACGGGACGGTAGCAACATGCTCCCATCCTCTCTCTCTCTATCTCTCTCTACCTGTCTATCTATCTATCTCTATCTCCATTTCTATCTCTATCTACCGCAAGTGAGAGATTGATGCACTGCGCTGAACCAGCGGTGAATGGCTTCAGAGCCACAGGAAATGGGAGCAAGTGGTCACGTGGTAACTGTGGACGTGAGGACATTCGAAGTGACCAACGTTAACTGGAGAGACACGAGGGGATCAAAAGACCACTGTGAGAGAGTAGAGATAGATAGAAAGAGAGAGAGAGAGAGAGAGAGAGAGAGAGAGGGCCTCTGGGTGCCGTGCCGCCCTCCGCGGGACACGGCGGGGGAGAGCCGGTGTTGGGGGAGGAGCCAGGGGCGGAGCATGCGTGGTCGGACGGTCGGACAAGAAGGCAACTCCGGTTCTGGAGCTTATCTACAGTAAAAATATTTTATATTCATGCACGTGAAACCTTTTGCCTTTCTTGCCGCATTTAAATACTCAAAAAATGTCACAAGTTTGTATTGTTCATTTTTATTTTCTCAATCTCTTCTCTCTCTCTCTCTCTCTCTCTCTCTCTCTCTATCTATATATATATATATATATTCATACCTACAAGCTTATGACTATTTCACTCTCTTGTACAATTCCACACGAAGGGCTGGACATATCATCTTAGAACATAAATAATTGCTCCTACAGTTCATTCGATAACGAAATGAATTATAAAATAAAAAAATACATTCCCCGTGGGAAATAATAACTATCATGATATTATATAAAGAAATACTGGTGTACGAAGGAGTGGTTCAATCACAGCATCAATGAGTGGCCATTTTTCTCGCCTCTGGTATTTATTAAAACGAAAATTTGATGGAAATATAATGTAATTGTACGGACGAGACGGTTCGATCACACCGCCGATGTTTTAATAATTTAAATAATTTTTAAAATAATTTAATACTTTAATAAACACGTCGTTTTCCTCGCTGACATCTGCGCGGGCTGCCCACGAGATGGCCTGTGAAGAATTATATTCCAAAATTAATTAAAAAATAAAAATGCAATAGACCCAGGAAAACGCGTATTTTCAATAAATCATTATCAGCGTAGAAAATTTGTCATTTTATAATCACCTAATTTTAACTAAGACTATATAAAATGTTGAAAATAGAACTCTGATATTTTTATCACGGCCCTGATATTTTAAATATTTTAGGAAAACGTCATTTTCTGCGGCCGAAAGTTTTTATTTATAAATTATATTTAAACTTATACACTTTAATGATCGTAAATTTCTTATGCAGAACGTCTTATCCTGGTTTTTTTAATTTAATTGCCTTTATTGGAATATATTTATATACTTTTAGTAGGTCTGAGCCTACGGACAGCCACTGCGGGAATCTTCGTGTCGTCAAGCCGTCCCTTAAATGTCTGAGTTGACTGGATTGGGTAAAGAATTAGGTTGTCGGCTGATTGATTGGATCGATGGGGATCCAACGGCCGCGGCCTTTTTGTTAATTGACCGTTGACAGCGGCTTAGGCCACCCAGTGGGGCCATCCGGGAAGTTAAAGGCGGGGGTGGGGGGGTGGGTGCTAATTGGCGCGGTGGGCCGCTTCGATAACGGCCCGAAGTCGCAGGCCCAGGAGATGTGCGGAGGGGATCACGTGGGAGGCGCCGACCGCGAGCAGGGCCAATGGGAGCCCGCCACGTAGAAAACGTAAGCAAGACCCACCTCGGGTGACGTAGGCACTGGAGAACACGTGGCGAGCATAATGTAGCAGCTCTCGTGGCCGGCTCGGCTGCCGCTGGAGGAGGAAGCGCTTCCTGAAAAGCGAATGCAAACGGCTTTGAGGGGGGAAAAGGCGGCTCTGGGAATCCTCTGCGGGTTTCTTTCCCGCCGGCGGAGACGACGGCGTGGGGGAGGGGGGGGGTGGGGGTTGGGGGAGACAAGACCCCAGAAGCCGACAGATCCGCGGCGGTTATTCCCTCTCAGCCTGAGAGCTCGAAGCCTCCGTCGTGCTCCCCACCCATCTCTTCAAAAAGCTCCCTTTTGCCCGCCATTAGGTGGAGTCGCCATTACGGCCCCACTTCCATTCGCCATCCCCCAACCTTCTTTTCTATCATCGTCTTCGTCTTCGTCTTCTTCTTCTTCTTCTGAGACGGAGACGGATATTCGTAACTCCAACTTGAGGGCCAATTCGAGTTCTCTTGGGGCGGGCGAAGCTCCAATTTCCCCGCTGGGACAGATCTGTGGATCCCATTTCTTCCCGCCAGTGAGATATCAGGAAGTAAGTCCTCTCTCTCTCTCTCCCTCCCTCTCTCTCTATCGATGCCGCCATGTCTGTAACTCCGGAGATCAATACCTTCAGCATCGACTCGTCAGGTGTTCTTCCTCAAGAACTACGGCTCCCTTTCTTGGTGGAGGCCGCTTCCCCTCCACGTTAACCCCATCCGCCTGCCGTTTGATCGCTATCACTCTTCTTGTTCCGCCATTCTGCAGGGAATTTACTGCCTCCTGCTCCCGAAGGATCTGATCGTCGCTCCGGATCTGTTCACCCAGAAATCAACTTCTGAATCTGCCATGGGTTGCCTGGTATCGACCCCGGCTGACGCCGGAGCTCGCAGGAGAAGGCTAAAGAATATGGGGGAGGTGGCGGTGTTCTTCTCAGGGCTGCGCATCCCCAAGGGCGTTGACTTCTCACCCCTGCTTCAACATGGCGTCCCCAAGAGCTTGGTGGATCGCCTTTCCGATCTGCGAACTCGGGTCGCCGTCATGGTCGCACAGGAAGCTCCGGCCGCCATCAAGCCGAGCCGGAAAACTGCCACAAGACAAGGTTGCTTGCCGGGAAGAGTAAAAAGTTTCTTACAGACCACGACGGATAGGAGACGTGAAATCTGATACAAGAGCGAATTCTGAATGCAGGCGCTGGTTTTCCGCAGGCTGACATCCTCCAAGCTCTCGAGGAATATCTACCGGTTCTTCTGGGTTTAGCTAAAGATGGTGAGCTCCGATATTTCAGGACACGATCAATTATACCTTTTGTAGGTTTCTCAGCTCCTTTCTTTGATTCTCGATGGTCGCTTGAATTTTGTTCTTCTTACAGGAACCGAGATTGTGCACCAGGTGGAATTCTCGTGGGTCAACCAGGTTGATGATGCCGAGGTCATCCTGGTCAACCAAGCTGCGCTCCCCTCACCCCTCCACCCCCCCAAATCTCTCTCTCTCTCTCTCTCGCTCGCTCGCTCGCTTTATTCGTGGTGAATTTCTTCTCTGGGTTGACGCAAGCTATGAACTTTGCAGGAGACCGCCATGGCAAATGCCTGGTACGAAGTGCTATCAGTTCTCCATCTGATGGCCATGCTGTGCCTACTGGAGGCCAATCGGCTGCTTCTCCCTAGACCAGGCGCTGACCGCATCCAGCCAAAGATATTAGAAGGTGGGGATCATTTATCAGAATAACAATAATTTTAATTTTTGTAATAATATTAATAATTGTTGTTATTATTATTATTCTAGCCAAATACGTGGGGCCAATTCTCGCAGAAAACAGACGGACTTCCATTGATGTCTTCTTGAAGGCAGCTGGGTACCTGGATTTTGCTATCCAGCACGTCCTCCCTCGTCTACCTCTTCAACTCAGGTCAACCATCTACCCCTCCAAATAAGTTTATTTATTTATTTATTTTATGTCATGGAATTTCCGATTTCAATATTCTTACATTTTCTTAAATGCCAATTATTCAGGGGAGATCTTCCTCTTGATCTAGCAGAGGTGATGCTAAGAGCGCTCTGCCAACAGGCCCTGGGACAGGTACCCCGTTTCCCTCTGTCAATCAATTTACTGGACGATATGCAATGTGCTACCACGGGCTTTTCATCATTTTCTCTCTCTAACTCTATGAGATTACATCCCTTTTTCTCTCTCTAAAAGATGCATAAGACATGCTCACTAAAATAATTCGAATGAATGCACACAGATATTAAGAGCATGAATAAACAATTAATCATGAAAAATATTTCCCTCTCTTATTGACATGTTCAATTTTCCTGAAAGTTATTATCGTTAAAGAAGAAATGAAAAGCAGAAATCCGGCACTGGGTCAAGATGCAAATAGAAAAAAGTCCACCCTTCCCCTCTGAAACAGCAAGATGAACACTTTCCAGCCAGTCGTTGACTTTCCCTCTCCGATGATTCTTGATGAAGGGTGTTGACATCCAACTGGGAATGGCCATCGACAGCCCGAAGGCTACTCTGGCAGTGAAACGGAGGTTTGCATGCGAAATGGTGAAGTATTGGAATCAGGTATCATAGCTCACTAACTCCATATTTTCTTTATCCGCTCCTAATAATGGGCTTTAAATCCGATTTTACCAAGAAAAATGTCTCTCCCTTCACCTGAAATTATTTTATCACAGGCTCTTGATAGTGTGACGCAGATCCCATCTACTAATGGCTGGGGAGTAAAACAACGGCTGTATATCAGGTGGAAATATGTTGAGGCCAAGGTAGAACTTTCCACTCTCTATTTTTAGCATGCACTATCTTAATGAGGAAAAATATAAACGATCAAGCCATCTAATATCTATATATATATATATATATATATCTATATATATATATCCATATCTCATTCTACGTCATATGGAAACAAAAACTATCATCATCAAAGTCAACTCTAATTTGCATGAATCTTCGGAATCAAATAAAAGTCCTGGAAGCAAAAGAAGAAGAAGCAGAAGAAGAAGAAGAAGAAGAAGAAGAAGAAGAAGAAGAAGAAGCAATGAGAGTATAGAAATGATGGGAATATATATCTACTCACCAAACATGGCTTCTATCTGGCAGGCGGCCGCTTACTACTACCATGGTCTTATCCTCAACGAGGGGAGCGAAGTGAAGTCCCACGGATTAGCTGTGGCCGCCCTGCAGACAGCGGAGGGGTTCCTCAGAGAAAGCAAAAGGGCCTGTGAAGCATTCAACTCGGCACCTCCGATGTCAAGGTTACCTAAATAAGGAAGAGAAACCCAGATCATAAGCCGTCTTCATATGGTGGCCCCAGTATTCCCTCACATTTAGGGAAATAAATCTCGACGACCCAGCTAGCTAGCAAAGATTTCCCATTTTCATAAGTCAGACATTGATGTTCTTCTACATATCCTGGGAGGTAAGCATGCTATTGACCCTGCAGGACGCCTCCTTCGTTGCCATTTATGAAGCATTTAGCAGAGAAAATCACCGAGGATGCTTCCCGCGCGTTGCAGACTGCCGCCGGCCTCCGTGTTCTCCACAAGTAAGCCACATGAACTATGTACAACTCTTTCTAAAGCAGTACATATATATTCATATATATTGAATGCGTGCTCTAATGATGGGAGCGCAAGGAAATGAAGGGTTTGAGGAAGGAATACTCGGTCTTGGTGCTGGTTTCCTGTTATGGTTCTTCTGATTCCTGGAACCAAATTGTTTTGCCGAGCAATCGGTCTCCGATTACCCTCCTCTGTCGTCCCGGGTCCTGCGAAAGCCTCTGATGTGTTTCGCCGGCGCAGGTGTCCGGAGAAGGCGCCGCCGCTGCTGCCCGACTTCGTGCCGGCGCTGACGCCTGACGAATACCAGCTTCCGCCGCCGGACCCCGCCTGGGGGGAGGAGGGCGAGCATCGTCGACACAGATAACCGTGAGGATTCGGCGGGAGGAGGTTATTGTGGCCGAGAAGCTGGCCGTTTTTAAGCACCCGGTGGCGGAGTTTGTTCGGGGGAGGCGCTGTGCAGCGACCCTGTCTGGTGGTCAGAGTTCTTTCTGGGTGGGTTTCTCTCTCGTGGGTGGTTTACTTGTGCGCAGCGAAAGGTCGTTAGGGCTGTAAATATCTTCTTTTACCCTCCCCCCTCCCCCTCCTTTTCTGTGCCTCTCCTGCCCTCGCCCGCAGCTATAACCTAAGACACAGAGAGAGAGAATCTCTACGAGTATGCCATGGCAAGACGTCCCCGTCTCTTCGCCATACGATTTTCAATGGAGGATCGGGAGAGAAAGGCTCATGGTTTCCAGAATTGGATTTTGTTGAAGCCCGAAGCTGACCTGCTTCTTTTCAGGGTCTGACATCCATCACAAATTAATCTCTCACGGGAGAACTAAAGGTTCCGTATAATATCTACTAAGAACGGATTTATGATAACCAAATTCCCGCCGATTATCGATCGTATATGACGGTAGAAAACCAGAGAAACGCCCGAGAAAATTCCCGAAAATTATCGCCGTATATGATGCTAGAACAAAGCAGAACAGGAAATGGGTCTCCTGGAAGAATGTAGGCGGAGATAAATTTACAAAAATAAAAAAGAAAAAAAGAAAAAAAAGAGCTCAGAGGTGATATCTAAGTGATCAATCACATCCTGAACTTGAACCCGCATCTACTGGACCGGATGCTGATGTTGTTGGTGACGGACAGATTGTTTACCACGATGTCGCAGCTGACCAGGAATCTGACCTTCCACAGCTTCAGGGCGCCAAACTTTACCCTCACGGGGACGGAGCCTCGGAAGAGCAAGGGGATGGTGCCGGCCTGCCGCTGCGCCTCCAGGGATCTGATCATGTTGGTATCCACCGCTGTCTGCCCGGTCAGCGCCACCGTGAGGACGGTGGTGTTGCGGTGGCCCTGGTAGAACGCCGGCAGGCTGCCGGTGCAGAGGTTTGTGCCGTCGTACCAGACGCTAAGGTGGCTCTTCTCCTCGTAGAAGATGCCGATCTTCTTGTTGGGGTTGGTCGCCGTCACGACGACGCTGAAGGCAGCGCTGACGTCGAAGCTGCCGCTGGCGGAGTTGTTTACGTTGAACGACGAGATGCGGAGGCGGTCAACGGAGTACTTGGGGGCCTTGGGCTGGAAGACGAGGTAGAGGATGCCGGCGGTGGCGGCGACGAGGACGATGAAGAGCAAGAGCATGCAGAAGGTCCAGCAGAGGCAGCGGCAGCAGCGGGATCTCCTCTTCTTGGGGGGCTCGGAGTGGGCGACGGGGATGGCGCGGCGGCGGCGCGGGTACAAAGGAGGGCGAGTCGCCGGCGACGCCGCGTCGCCCTTCTCTGAGTGGACGGAGTCGCGGGAGACCAGCGGCGCCTCCTGGGAGCCGGTCTCCAGGTCCGCCGGGTGGATCTTCTGGTGCGCCGCCATGGACTGTCTCTGGTTTTACAGCTCTCCTATCCTCTTCCTGTTCCGAGTTCGGGGAGGATCCAAATCAGGGCTTCCCTGCGTGTGTTTATAGACTCCTGAGACGTCTTCTTCCTTCTTGCTTCCTTTCTCTTGTTTCAGTCAGTCTGAAGGGAAAGGCGGGGAGTCAGTCGTCGTCTTCTCCTCCACCGTCACCTACTCCTCATCTGCGCGCTGGTTCAGCGAAACACGCTTTCTTTCGGAAAGCTCCCGACGATATTTACGCCGCTGATGACGGGCAGGTCAACTCAAAAAAACACGCGGTTTTGAACCAGCTGATCCATTAATTCTTGATGAATATAGCCTCCCTGAAGCACCCTCGTTTAGTAATTAAACCCTTCAAAAATCACTGCTTGATGAGACTCCCCGGATGCAAACATTATAATAAAGACGAGGAGAAAACGATCAGGTTGAATATTTAGCTGCAGCGATAGCTGATAGAGAACCGAAGCGGGTTGCTCTGATGCGGACACTAAAAAGTCAAATGTGAAACGGGGGAAGAGAGAGAGGGAGGGGGTCAATGTCTTCTAGAAGTCATCATTCCCGATAATGCCGTAAAGAATATAATGGATATAATGGCTTCTGCGTCACAGAGTAGTATTATTTTGCCTTAATCTTTTAAAGAATGATAACTTTCCGAAACAGTGTAGCAGCCCCCGCCGGAGAATTATAAGAGTATGACGCCACATTTTGACTTTTTAGGGAACGCCGACTTCGATCTGCGACGGACGGCTGTGAGGGGATCGCTGGAGTCGGCGAGAGGGAATGCCTGTGTCGTGGACTTATTCTTTCGCGCGTGGGTTGCACTCGTGATGTCGTTCATCTCCGTCTTCATTGACCTCGTGGCGGACCACGGGGGCTCTTGAACGTGTCTCGCCAGCCACCGCGTTCGTTGCCCGGGGAGACGACTCCTCACGGGGCCCCGCCGTCATCAGATGTGGGGAGAGAGAGAGAGAGAGAGAGCTTCATCATATGACGACATCAGAGCATGCATGGAAACAAAAATTAGTCTAATATTAGGGGATCAGAGGGCTTGAAAGCCTGAAGGACGGGCGACGATGACAATACGTGGTAAACATGTCATGCATTAAGTAAGTTATTATTATCGCTTTTATTACGTTTTATTTATAAATAAATCAATTTCAAATTGAGCTTTGAATCTGTTTGAAAATACTGTTAAAAAATTGACCTGTCTTCCTAGAGAGAGCCCAACCAAAATTATCTTCTCTTTATTATTAGATTTAATCAACTCCTTGTAGATTCAAGTGAATTTTTTGATCTTTGTAGGGTAAAAGGTCAATCCAACATATCGTTGAGGAGTCAAAGATTGAAAGTTCTAAGTTACATGGATCCGTGGCCTGATTTTATTCATTGAAATTATGTTTCGTAGATTCTTTAAAGATAAATTCTTCTTCATGCGACTTCCACCACGTGAAGTTAGTGGGTAATAAAAAATGGAAACTATGTTGTGGAGGAACTCAATGGAGTGTAGACGTGGTGGGTACGCCACCGTGGCTGCCCATAGAGAGGACTCTGGGCTGCCCCACAAGGCTCCAGCGTAAACAACAGGAAAAATAGATAGACAAATCTATAAATGGATATAGATAGACAAATAGAGAGAGATAGGTAGATAGATAGGGAGCGAGAGAGAGAGAGAGATAGAGAGAGATAGATAGATAGATAGATAGATAGATAGATAGAGAGGTAGAGAGATAGATAGATAAATAGAGACATAGAGAGATAGATAGATAGATAGATAGAGACATAGAGAGATAGATAGATAGAGAGAGATAGAGAGTTGACTTTTATTTGATTGCCAATGGGCCGTCCAGTACCGGACTACTTTAAAAACAGTTGTTCCGGCCCGCTCCGTAAAAAAATAATAAATAATTATCGATATTCCGGTTCTGGACCAGGGGGCGGCTCTAGTCTGAGAGGAGGACGCGTGGAAGCTCCCGTCGGCAATGTGGCAACTCGACGGCGTGAGCCACCTCGACGCGGAGCACCTTAACCCGCGAGTCCCCGGATTCGACATCGGCGGCTCGTCGGAGATAAGCTCCGAGGGAGAAGAGCCACCTCCATCGACGTGCCACTCCTCTCAGCCCTCCCTCTCCCACGTGTCTGCTACCCCTTGCCACCTTCCCTATTTCAATCCCCTTCCCTTCCCCTCGCCGCCGCCGCCGCCGCCTCCGCCGTCGCCGTCGCCGTCGCTGGAGAAGGAAGAAGAAGAAGAAGAAGAGAGATCATTCACAGGAGCTGCAGCCATGCCGCCGCGAAGGTTCGCCATTGGAAGGACGGAGGACGCGGTCCACCCGGACACCATACGCGCCGCCCTGGCCGAGTTCATCGCCACCGCCATCTTCGTCTTCGCTGCCGAGGGCTCCGTCCTCTCCCTCGGTAAAAGCCTCACCAGCTTCCGTCAACTTCTCCGGCAGTTCGCCGGCGGGATAATGCATGGTTTTTGCCCCCTTTTGTTTTCATGCAGGGAAGATGTACAGGGACACGTCGACGGCGTCGGGGCTGGTGGCGGTGGCGGTGGCCCATGCGCTCGCGCTCTTCGCCGCCGTCTCCGTGTCGTATAACCTCTCCGGCGGGCACGTCAACCCCGCCGTCACCTTCGGAGCCCTCCTCGGCGGGCGGATCTCCCTCGTCCGCGCCGTCTTCTACTGGGTCGCTCAGCTCCTCGGCGCCGTCATCGCCTCCCTTCTCCTCCGCCTCGCCACCGGCGGAATGGTAAAACCTCCTCCTCCTTCAGCTTCTTCTTCCTCCTCCGTCGTCTTCTTCCTCCTGCTCCATCATCATCATCTTCTTCCTCCTCCGTCGTCTTCTTCCTCCTGCTCCATCATCATCATCTTCTTCCTCCTCCGTCGTCTTCTTCCTCCTGCTCCATTGTCGTCGTCTTCTTCCTACTGCTGCTCCTGTTGCATGCATGCTGATCTTGAGGGTTTTGCCGGCAGAGGCCGCTGGGCTTTGTGGTAGCGGCGGGAGAGGGGGTATGGCATGCGGTGCTGCTGGAGGCTGCAATGACCTTCGGGCTGGTGTACACGGTGTACGCGACGGCGATCGACCCGAAGAGGGGCCACTTAGGCACCATCGCGCCGCTGGCGATCGGCTTCATCCTCGGGGCCAACATGCTCGCCGGCGGGCCCTTCGACGGCGCCGCCATGAACCCGGCTCGGGCCTTCGGGCCAGCCCTCGTCGGCTGGCGGTGGAGGAACCACTGGGTCTACTGGCTCGGGCCCTTCGCCGGCGCCGCCGTTGCCGCCCTCATCTACGAGTTCCTCCTCATCCCCGCCGAGACCCCTCACGCCCACCAGCCCCTCGCGCCCGAGGACTACTAGCCCCTTCCCCCCTCCTTTGTCTTCCCCTCTTTCACGTGTGTGTGAGTTCATGCACGTGCGTATGCGTTTATTTCCCCCCGTTAAGTGAAGTAATAAAGGCTCTCTCTCTCTCTCTCTCTCTCTCTCTCTCTGTGTTCATTGCGCCGCAGAAACGGCGTACTTGTACAATTACAATGTTGGTCGGATGTCTTCGCTATAAAGGGATAAATTGTGGGTATTTGATTAAATAAGCATCAGGAATCACATGGATAAAATTTCTTATAACAACAATATAACATAGAATTACGTTCATGGCTCATCGCAATAATCACCGTTCATCGCGCCACAGAAATAGTGCACTTGTACAATTACAACATCATTTGGATGTATTCACTATAAATATAAATTATGGGTGTTTCATTAAATATGCATTAATATGACGACCAGAAAAAAATAAGATTACGTTCGTAGCTCATCGGAATAAAGGCTCTCTCACCACCGTTCATCGCGACACGGAAATAGTGCACCTATACAATTACAATCTCAGTCGGGCGTTTTGAGGTATAGAGGGATAAATTACGGATATTTTTTTAAATAGCCATTAATAATCTAACGGAGAAAAATTCACATGACAACCGAGAAATACAAAATTACGTTCGTGGGTCATCTTTCCATTTATATTTTTACACCTAAAATACCTTCGAAGGAGAAAATTGAACAAATTCACCACAGAATGCGTGAAATTTTACCTATGCCTTCAAAGTATTTAATTTTCTTTTGGAAAATGGATATATGAATAAATGTATGGCAATGAGAGTTTATTGCGCTATAGACATGTTTTGCAATAAGGGACCACGAGAAGAGGTAGAAAGGAGGAAAGGGTGTCTGACACTGCTGCCTTACACGTCAGGGGGGAGATAGTGTGGAGGAAGCCATGGTCGCTGCCCACCTAGTTCCTGGTTTATTGTCGACTCCATGGCCGGCAGCTGACCATGGCAGACGCCTGGATTGTGCGTTTTCTTCTCACCGGCCCCGATTTAGGGCTACGGTGAGGACCCCGGGATCATTCACTTGCGGCAGCACCCGCGGCGGCGGAGGCAGCGGTGAGGACCGGAGTAGGACGGCCGCCGTCACGCCGGAAACAGAAATGGTCAGTCCGGCAGTGGATTGCATAGGGACTGGGTCCAGCGTGGAGTGCCTGGTCTCCGACAGCTCCTCCGCAGCCGATGATCTGTTGAAGGCGAAGAACATCAAGGTTGTCGATGAAGAGAGCGGCACGGGAGCCGATTCGGCTTTGGCTCAGGGGATCGTCGAGTGGGCGGTGCTGGTGTCGCCGTTTTTTTTCTGGGGAACGGCGATGGTCGCCATGAAGGAAGTGATACTCAGGGCCGGCCCATTCTTCGTTTCTGCGTTCCGGCTGATACCGGCGGGGTTTATGCTCATCGGGTTTGCCGGAATCAGGGGGAGGAAACAGCCATCTGGGAACCTCGCATGGCTATCTATCCTTCTCTTCGGCGTGGTTGATGCCACGTGCTTTCAGGTATCCTGATCCATCACATTAGCATGCATCCGACCTTGCATTTGTTTCCATTTAATTTTTCATGAGATCATATTACTCGTATCTAAGTGGAGATTCTTCTTCTCTTTGTATGAAATCGCAGGGTTTTCTCGCAGAGGGTTTGCAGAAGACCTCGGCCGGATTGGGTAGCGTACGTTCATATCCTATAATCTGATGAATGCCTGGTTCATAACTCGTTTGAGCTCGAGCTCGTGCCGCCGTTGAATTAAGTTATGGAGAGCTTTCTTTCAGACCGACGAACTACGCGTTGAACCTGAATTTCTTTATTAAGGGAGAAATTTATCTATATTTGTTGGCGCATCATGACTCAGGAGCACATGTGAGTGAACCTACGAATGCATCTAATAATTAATTTAAATAGTCTCGTTTAACGCAGTGAAACCGTAGTTACAGGTTTGTTCTATATTTGGACAGTCGAGAGTAGTACTCTTGAGCCTCTTATTTAACTCTTTGAAATGACCTGATTATGTCTGCAATATTGAACCATCATCACACATTCTACAAATCAAGTTGGCCATTCTCTATTGGGTACTCCGAGGTAAAATGATACTTATTTAAATATATTTAATTAATTTCACCTGAGGAAGAGGAACCATAAATGGTTGTCCCTTGGACCATCCAGAGTGTCCTCTATTTCTTTGACCTAAGCTTTCCTTGGAATATATGTTTGATGTAAGTCAAAATTCCTCTTTTGAAAGATCTGCTTAATTGCCTCAGAAAAACACCCTTGCTAACGGTTCTTCAAAAACAAGATTTTAGTTCTGCAGGATGCGAGATGCAAATTAAATGATAATATCACCAGTAGAGCAGACTGCGACTTGTTGAGTTGCCAAGATCGTTTCGCTCCCCGTTAATTTCCATTTACGATCAATCTTTTTCTAGGTTGTCATTTCAGATCCTAATTTTGTCTTCTTACCTATTCTTTCCTTTACACTATAATTTAACAGCTTGAAGACAGTTCTCTCGTGCATAACAAGTGTCAAACTTTAATTATATTCGTTTAATTGTTTGGCTACCCCTCACGGCATTTCCTTTTTTTTTTATAATATATGTCTCTCTCACACAGTCTACCTGCGTTTTGGTTACTGCAATCTACTTACAATTGTATAAATAGGATTCCTAGATGTTCCTCGTGGAATTCTCCTTATATCATCCTAATGCTCTAGAATGGCAGCATATATGATACATAATAAAACTGGCAGGAACCAGGAAGGCCCAAAATATTTAGCCATGCGGCTTCTAGTTGATCCTTTATTGTGGCTAATGTTAGTATATTCCTCTTTTTTAGGATCTCCTTTTGTTTTAACAATTGCTATTAGTAGTTCTTTTGATGGGATCCAGCAAAAGCTCTTCTTTTTTAAAGATGAAGGAGCAGCGTAAGGGCATGCTTTTGTCCCCTGATTCATTTTTTCTCTCTTCATTTCACTGTGGGTTGAAGGTTCGATGACACTCTTTAGCTTCTCCTAGGTTATCATAAGTGTGGCAACATGATTGGTTGAGTTGATTATTTCTCAACCTTCATTTCACTCTATGATTTCACTCAATATACGATCCTTTGTGCTGAATCTGGGGTGATAAAACTGGATCTTCAATGAGCAAATTCATCTATGCCTTGTTTAGAAATTCTTTCAGCTTTAAGAGTATGAAAGATGTCAGGATATTGCCCGCTTTTCACTTCAACCTTTTTTTTCTTAATGTCCAGGTCATCATTGATTCTCAACCTTTGACGGTTGCAATACTTGCAGCATTGCTTTTTGGAGAATCTATTGGTCTAGTTGGAGCTGCTGGACTTGCACTTGGTCTTATCGGGCTCCTGCTTCTTGAGGTTAACCCTCAAAAAATTTCTTTGAATTTATTTGAATGTGTTCTGAAAATCTCGATTTGAGAAAATCTTGGATTGCAGGAGCTTAGGATCCAAAATCTGATCAAAGTGATAACTTCGGGATGGTATTCTACTAAAAATCTGGCCATTAGTTCGATTGTCATCATGAATAAGTGCTAGATTCCATAGGTATCTGAGAAGAACCAACCTGTGCCTATATGCAGGTCAACTTGCCATCTAAATAATTGAAAAATCAATTCAACACTAGGAACTTCTTTGGTTGGTCAATTAGGTCCACTATATTAATCACTTTGTTAGAATAAAAGGGAAATATTCAACTAGGTCTCATTGTGAAGTCTCCCCTCTCCTCTCTATATAAATATGTAAGGAGTGGGCCTACAAATTGGTGATCGGCCCCACCATACAGGATGATAATGAGACCTATTACATTTATATTTTTACATACTCTCTAACACCACTGAAGCTCTGGTTATGACAATTTTAGTATTGAATTATGCTTCACAGGTCCAGATATTTCAGGAAATTTTTGATCCCATATTCTTAATGACTCATTGATCCATGATGATTATGGGCCCGATTACATTCATGTTCTAGTGTATTCTCTGGCTCTACTGAAGGCCTGTTTATGATTATTTGAGAAATTCATTGGATTTCGCTCCACGGGTTCTAGCCTTGTGAGAAAAAAATTTGAGTTCATATTCTAAATGGCGCTCCAACACACGACTACATTCATGTTCTAGTTGACTCTTTGGGACCACGGAAGGCCAGTTTATGGGTATTTGTGGAAATTTTTGGATTTCGCTTCACAGGTTCCTGCGTTCCAAGAAAATGGCTTCACTATTTGGGGGAGTGGAGAGTGGTGGATGTTCCTTGCGGCGCAAAGCATGGCGGTTGGCACCGTCATGGTCCGGTGGGTGTCCAAGTACTCCGACCCCATCATGGCGACCGGATGGGTACGAGATCACATTTATTTATTTTTAATATAATTTTATTATTATTACGTGATCAATAGCTTCCTCCTCCGATTGATTTCCATCTCACCGCTATGGGGGGGTGGGTTCTTCTGATCTCAGCACATGGTCATCGGCGGTCTCCCTCTTTTGGCCGTCTCTGTACTTAACCATGATCCCGCTGTGAGCGGGGGTCTCAAGGAGCTCACTTCCAGTGATGTTGCAGCCCTCGTCTACACCTCAGTCTTCGGGAGCGCCGTCAGCTATGGGGTGTATTTTTATAACGCCACCAGAGGTCATTTTTTCTCCCCTTCTTCATTCTCTCACAGTGACTCACCATTCATTATAAGCTGCATTGATGCGATGTTAGAGTAGATGAGGATGCTTTGTGCCATTATCCTGGGGATTTCTTTCGTCAGCTAGCTTGTGATCATTCAGAACGTTGACTCTCTCTCTCTCTCTCTCTCTCTATCTCTCTCTCGCACAATGATTCACCATTGTAAGCTGCATTAATGCCATTTCGGAGTCCTCTATTTTTATCTTCTTTACAAAGTTTAGACGAGGATGCTCTGTGCCATTATTCTGGGGATTTCTTTGGTCAGCTAGCTTGTGACCATTCAGAACGCTGACTCTCTCTCTCTCTCTCTCTTTGAATGCAGGTAGTCTGACGAAGCTCAGTTCGCTCACGTTCCTAACTCCGATGTTTGCTTCGGTTTTTGGGTAAGTGTGATGCTCCCCCACGTAGTGTTGAAACGCTTAGAAGCGCCATGAATCGTTCAGAGTTTCGGTAAACGGGGGAAGATGGGTGGGACTTCCAGCTTCCGATCTCTCTGTTCTTGTTTTCTCTGAGCCCGGTGGTTTGTCCCCGCAGATTCATATACCTCGGCGAGACGTTCTCGCCACTACAGCTAGCCGGTGCCCTCGTGACGGTCGTCGGCATTTACCTGGTCAACTACAAGGAGGCCGGCGAGAAGACGTGAGAAGGGCTCCCGTAGCCCCACCTCTCTCTCTCTCTCTCTCTCTCTCTGTAAGGCTCGCGTAGCCCCGCCCGAAATTGTGGCTCTCTCTCTCTCTCTCTCTCTCACTCCGTATAAAGACGTCATGTCCAGGTCAGACGCAGGGTTCTCTCGAACTCACAGTTCCCTTCGATCATTTATTCAAGCGTCAACTGCGCACTCTAAAAGAGCTAATCTACCCCTCCAAATGCCCGACGTGAGGGTGGGAGAGAGAGAGAGAGAGAGAGAGAGAGAGAGAGAGAGAGAGAGAGAGAGAGAGAGAGGAAGAAGAAGAATTCGGGATGGTTGGCCCCGAGCTGGACCACAGATGGGACTGCGGCTCTGCATGTGAGGCCAACCGGCGGAAGCGACACAACGCCGCCGACCCGAGTCTTCCTCGTCTCCACCGATGTTTCATCTGGGCTATCAAGGATGCGTGCGGCGCATAGACATGATGAGAAGAGTATTCAACATCGGCGGGGTAGGTGAAGCGTAAGACTAAATGGCATTTGAGGTCGAGTGCCCATGTAATTGAGTGGATTATATCATTTATATTATGTCTGGCTGTCACAAGAGGAGCACGACTATTGGTGCGATAAGTGGTGTAGGTTTAGGATTTCTTTTAGGATCTCAAACAATAATTCAGGGTTACATACAAATCAGAGATGAATGTCATGCTCACCAGCACCTCTAAGTCGACACTAAGTTGTGGTAAGTGATCGAGATGACAAAATTAACTAGAGCTCTTATCACCATATATGATGAGTTCGTAGAAGAGTAGAAAGATTAATTCCTCCAAATGAATAATGATTAAATGGATAATGACCCATTTAATTGACTATATCAAAGTAGAATAATGTGAGTGTATGTGAAGCACTTTATTTTGCTGCTCTTAGACGCCAAAAATGTGTCTGAAGATTACAAGGTCTGTAATTTTATGCCAAGTCTCCAGATTTAATTAAAGAGACTACTCCATTGCCAAAATGTGAGAGACACTTAGTTGGCTATGATAACAACAAATGTATTGGTGGACTAGAAGGACGCCCTGAGATAGATGTAAGAGGTAAGCATCAAGATGGTGGTAAATTGGGCACTGAGACGGGAATTGAGGTAGCCATTATAGGAAGATACTTGAGAGGGTCAAGGTGGACCCAAGATTAGACCAGCTCAATGAAAAGAGTGAGTGGCAACATATTATCCCAAGAAGGGGTGCTTCATCTACAATGATACCTATTCCCTAAGAAAATATCTAGGAATGGGAGTAGGTGAACATTGATAACCTTTAGTAACACAAGAGGCATTAGTCACTACTACATTGAAACTGTATACAATGATTAAATGTGTTGTAATAATGTGCAGAGCCAATCAACTTAGTTGAGTAATGACTCATCTTCATGGAGTTAACCATTAATGTAAGGCACCCAGCATGGCGATGGCAAAAATGAAGGATTGAAAGGAGTAAAAGTATGATTCAAGGGGGGAGAAGTAAGGAGAGTACTGTCAAGAAGGGAGAATGAGAGTAGGAGAGGAAGCAAGAAGATGAGCGATTAACCTTAGCATGAGACTTTGAAGTGCCCCAATCTTTAGAGTTCTGAAATTCCCCCTCTGTTCTCTTCCCCAATCCAACTTTTATATATGACATAGACATTAGTGGGTCAAGCTTCTTATGAGTGTAAGTTAGGTCCAATGGCTTAACACTAACCCCCATTGCTTGTAACCCCAAGGTGTAGGCTAGGGAAAAGGTGTTGGATGTCTTGTACTAACCCCTAAGTAGCTTTGAATATAGGCAGGTCTTTCTAATGCACCAACACTTGTGAACCTTTAGAAGTGTGACATACACCGAGTACTTTCACTAGTTGAATTCCCAACGTCATGTTGGCATCTAATGTTGTCAAGAGGGTTTGACCTTGTTGACATGCTCTTAGTACTTTCTTGAGCTGTGAAACATGAAAAGTGTTATGAATTTTGGATGAAGAGCGTAGGTTGAGGTAGTAAGCCAGGGGGCCAATCTTTTCAATGATCTCATAGGGGCTGAAGAAGCGTGGGCTGAGCTTCTGATTGTGGCACCTAACTAGGGACTGAATGTGATATGACTCTAATTTTACATAAACTTGATCATTGAATGCATAATCTACCTCTCACCAGTGTTTGTCCACTTAGAGTCTTCATTCATGATTGTGTCTTTGAAAGTTGCTCCTTTTAATCATTCAAGCTATCATCTCATTCTAGCAATTACTATTAAATTGTTTACAACTTAGTTGGGTGAGATCTGAAGTACATAATGGGTGGCAGATATTTTTCATATAGGGCTGATAGGGGTGTTGTCTGTAAGGATTGATGAAATGAGGTGTTGTACCATAATTTAGACTGTATGATCTGTTGACTCCATTGATTTGGCATGCCAGAGGAAAAACATTAAAGGTAAGTTTTCATACACATGTTTACCTTTTATGTTCAACCATCTATTTTTGGGTACTATGTTTGAGATTTGTGCCATACAAGAAGTGAACTCACCAAAAGATTGAGGAAGACCTTATCACGATACAAAATAGTCTTGAATATTTGATGTACTTAGATCACCTTTTTGACAAAGATGTTAACAATTTATGAAGTTGAAAATGGATGTCACACTAAGATAAAATGGGCATATCTCATTAGTATGTCTACAACTATAATATATCATTTTTTTCTAGTATAGCTTGGCAGCCCTTCTACGAAATCTATGTTAACCTTATCCCAAACCTTGTCTGAAATAAGGGTTGCAATAAACCAACTAGAGCTAATGAGTCTACTTTGCATTGTTGATTGACATGACACTTGGTGATGAAATCATGAACTATCTTCTTCATTCCTTGCCAAAATACTTATATAAAAATTATCTTGTAGATGCAAAATAATCTATAGTGGCCTCACATCGCCCATACATGATACTCCTCAAGGAATTTTGAAATGAGGGTTGAACTTGGTGCCATGACAATTCTTTACTTGTAGTGCAACAACATGTTGAATATTAAATAATGGGGTGAAGTCTCCGCCCCCTTACTCAAGTTTGACATAATACTAGATAGTTTGGGGTTCAGCTAGATTTTGTTCTTAATTTGTTGTAAATCTAAGTAAGAAGAATGTGTTTCCATTATCACCTAGAGGTTTAAAGTAGGTGGTGGCCTTAAGAGATCATCTATTGCTACATTAGTTGACTGCTTCTAATATTTCAAAATCATGTGGAAGGAGATTCAAAACTCATTTTTGATAATGAGATGATGTTTGATTCTGCTCCAACAAAAACTTTAAGCTATAATGATTTGTGTAAATGAGGAATCATTAGTGAATTAAATAATGTTGTTATTTTTAGATTGTTGGTACTTTGCTATTATTTTTTTTCCATAGTTCGGTTTAGCATGATTTTCGGGAGCTCATACTTGATTGAAATAAGAATTTGGCTTCTTTTGATGCATTGATACTGCCCCAATACCCTGTTCAAAGGGATATGTCTCATGTTTAAAGAGTTGTGTGAAGTTAGGAAATGTTAATATGAGTGCTGAAATCATGATTGCGTTGAGGCATTAGAAATCATTATTAATTTTATTCATCAATAGAAATATATTTTTCTAGAGTAACTAATATATTAGAGGAGAAATGGTGGCATAATTAGTAATAAAATTACAATAATATCTTGTTAAACTCAAAAAGTTTGTGTAGAACTTTGATAAAGTTGGGTCTTGGTTATTCTCTCATAGTTATTCTTTGCTCTCATATGCCTCAAGTTCTTACTTTGATATCTAATGTATGAGGAATTCAATTCTTTGACTATTGAAATAACTTTTTTTGCAATCAGGTGGATCTAATTTTCTTACAACCATAAAAACTTTGTTTCAGGTAGAGTTGATGTTCTACTTCTATCATGTTATAAAAGATGTTGTAAAAAAGATAAATCAGAACAAACATACAGAGGTGAGGTTAAAGAATTTGATTCATGAGAGACTTAAATATTGTCAATGCATTATTAATCTAAAAAGTATCACTGTAAACTCATAGTGCCCTTCATGAGTTATGAATATCATCTTCATGAGCAACATCTCATGTGGATCTGATGGTATGCTGATTATAAATCTAACTTGAAGAAGATTGACATCTCTTGGAATTCATCTAAAAGCTCATTCATGGTTAAAATTGAGAATCAATATGAAATAGTTGCTTGATTCAATATATGATAATTTATAGATAGCTGTCAAGTTCTTTCTTTTCAACCAATAAAGTATGGCTAGAAAATGGGTTGGTTGAGGAATGGATGACTTCAGCCACATGCATCTCATTTATCAATTTATCTAAGACATTTTTTTTTGAGTGGGATAATAAAAATGACGGATGTTGTTAGATTATGCACCTAGTTTGAGGTGGATGAGGTGGTCAAAAATTCATTGTGATGATGTATCTTACAAAACCTTGAACACAATCATAAATTGTCTTATAATAAATAGTTTTAATATTTAATCTTGGCAATCCATCACATCACTATTCAGCTTATTGAGCTCGAGTGTAGATCCACCCTTGATTTTCATCTATTTCTCTTTAATGGTCATCATCTTCAATGAGATACTTGTACTCAACAACCCTTAGTTTTCTTGTAGAGTAACTATTTGATCACCCATTGAGAAGTGTATGACCAATACCTCCAATAAATTAGTGTAACCTAAGGTTTGGAATCATTTGATGTCAATTATTAAGTCTTGGTTGTACCTTTCTAATAAGAAGAAGCACTCTACTATCCTCAACCTTTATACTTTTACACTGACCTAGAGGCAAATGTCACTTTCGTGAAGTAATGAATTATTTCTTAGGATAATGATGTACTTTAAGGTCTTTGATAAATCTTCATTATCATAAATTATTAATTAATTAATAATATCTTTAAAGTATTAACTCATGATAAATAGATTTATATTTATATTAAATTATAAAAAAATACTTTTTAGTTGGTTAATGTGATTTTTTAATTAATTATGTGATTTTATGTGAATTTTTATAATCATATTTTTGAGATAAATAAATAAAAATAAAATAAAATAAAAACATATATAAAAAGAGGTAGACCCATTGACCAGCCAAGCCCACAAGCTAGTCAGAAGCATAGTCAGGCAAAGCCACAAACAATGGGCTTAAGTAGCTAAGGACCGATAGGAGACATGTGCGCATCATTGCCCTTCCACATCACTAGTAGCCAATGGAATGTGGGGCAAAGAGTGGTCGTACACACACGAGAGAGAAGCTTATGATGGTAAAATCTTTTGTTATTATATATACATGAGAGAGGCTTCCCAAAGGTTTTTAATTATTTTAATACCTAAAATACTCTTCATTTATAAGAATGAGATACCCTTATAACATCACTTTATAAAAGTATCCGTGTATTTATTTCACTCTCTATCATACATGCAGGCGACCAATGAGGGTTCGAATCCTACCAAAGCTAAAACTTATATTCTTATCTAATTAAATCATAATTTTTCTATCGATTGTCAGTGAACGATTAAGCTACCATAATTACTCAATCATTGACAAAAATCTCGTTAACACGATTAATAGAGTATTATTAATAAAGTTGTCTAATGATTCTAAATAAAAGGATCATAAATTCATTGAGAAAGTCATCTCCGATTGATCAACGAATAAGTTATCATTGGGGAGAGGACGATATGTCGTGAGATGAGTCACCCCCTCATAAGAGCGTACTAGATGCAATAGAGAGTCTTCTCCTGTTATGTGGACTTGAGGATGAAGCTCCTTAAGATGCGCCCACCTCCATCGAATTTATTTCCATCGGGTGATAGCCATTGAAGATCTAAAAGTCATAATTTTTTTTACTCCACGGGACGACAGTTGTCGGTGATGATTCGACAACTCATTTCATTGATTTTTAGACTTCACAAAAAGATCTAGAGATTGCCCACATCATCTATGTCCAAGAAGAGCTTTCAAGGCTGTAAACATTGCATGATAATCATCTCGAACACACAGAATTTTAGTGATCACTGTCGCGAAGTTAAAACTGTCTTTCTTACTTTTAACTTAATTTTTACTTCATTTAGTGATACTTTATGTGATTTCAAGTTTTGTAACTATTTTTAATTGAATTATGATTCTTCTAACTTTTACAAATCTTAATTTGACTAATTAAATCGTATGTAATCGTTTACGTAAGAATCACTAGTTGAAACTTTATTTTTACTTGATTCATGTTCATTAAGCATTGATGTCATCCTAAAGTCCTCACCCTTATTTCTCTTTGTCGTGAATTTTTAAATATATTCTATATTCATCGTTTAGTCTAAAAATTATTAAAATTATTATATATTTTACGTGAATTTTTACTTGATTCATGTTCATTAAGCATTGATGTCATCCTAAAGTCCTCACCCTTATTTCTCTTTGTCGTGAATTTTTAAATATATTCTATATTCATCGTTTAGTCTAAAAATTATTAAAATTATTATATATTTTTTAAAAAAATTCTAAAACATTACCAAATATTATCTTACATCTTTGTAATTGACCAAAAAATATTCACTATTTTAAAAACTTTTATTAAATTATAATTGATATATTTGTTCAAAAATACTTCTAAAGATCTAAAAATTAGTATTTGATAGTTTTATGAATATTTAATTTTCATAATTTATTATACAACAACTAAGTCACATCAATCTCATGAAAAAAAATATAATTCACAAGTCACTTATAACATAAATAAATTATTTATATTTCCTTGACCTACTAATAGAGAAATTTATCAAGTGTGTATTATTAACTCTCATCTAAAGCACATTAGGAGAAAAGATGCCCAACTCGATTTTTAGAAGTTAGACCTCAACTTGTGATGGAGAAATCATTTAATTTTTTTTGAGTGACACTCTCATTGTTATGAATTTTTCACATGATTGGTCTAGCTTCTTTGCCCTATGGTTTTTAACAACTCTACATTAATGAGCTTTAATAATCTTTTGTTATTGCCCATGATCTATCCACCAATTATGTTATTAGTGAAAGGAGGGTGATCTTGGGGTAGGTATATGTGTTGGTGGCTGTCCACTTGACATTTAAGGGGTTGGTTAATTATACAATGTTCTCACCTAAGAGGTATAAGTTGGTCGTAAGGGAATTTAGTAAGTCTCATTGCCTAAGCTGACTATAGATGTATGAGTCAACACTCTATTATTTAGTTTAACTTCATTATCTCCTTTATTCCTATAACCTTGAATATTTTGATTTTTGTTGTTATCTTAAGCTTTAAGCCATAGAGCACAATTAAGGGTAGTCATGATAGAAATGTTGTAATTGCCTCAAACTCTAAGTGAATTTGACCATTGTGTCAAGTTATTGGGGTTGAATAATTGATGATAGAAATTGTTAGAGTAAGGGTCGTCAAAAATAATTCAATAGTTGGATGTAAAAATCTGACAAACCACTAAAGGGACATTTTTCGATAATCTAAATATATCATTTGAGAACATCAATTTTTATTTTCATAATTGTTACTTGAATTTTCTTCTCTTCTAGAACTTAGTTCACTATGAAGTAGAATTTCAGTTAATATAGTCATTGAGTTAATTCCTCATCAACAAAGGTGGGTACTTCCGTATGATTAAGAGGTGTAACATGTGTTGTGGTTGATTCCTTGATTGGGGGGCAAAAAGAGTCTCCTAGTTAAGGGGATGGTGATTGACGCTCAAGAAGATATAACAATTAAAATACTTGAGTAAGCATATGCTTTAAATTCTATTCAATTTGACCTACATTTTGGTGGAGACCCCCTAGATCCTAACAGACAATGGTGACATCATACCCTAGTTGCTTGAGTAAGTCATTTGGTGTTACAATAGCCATTCCTAACTCTACTACTAGATATAAGGTGCCCAACATAGTGATGTCAAAAATAGAGGATTTATAAGAGCAAAAGTATGATCAAAGGGAGAGAAATAAGGAGAGTACTATCAAGAAGGAAGAATGAGAGTAAGAGAGGAGGAGAGGATGGGAGAAGATAGGAAATTAACCTTAACATAGGACTTCGAGTGCCCCAACCTCCTAAGTTATTGGATACCTTGATGGGCTACTAGGAAGCCCGTCACATCCTCATAAGAAGAGAAACTGAGTGAACTCTAATAAGAGATGTAGATTAACCATCTCACATTGGCTGCACCAAAATTTGGGAGGTCTGGTGCCTTTCCCCCTTATCTCATGCTTCTCTATGTTAGAATCTTTTTATTATTTTCTTTCCAATTTTCATATGTTTTATTTTGTACTTGTCAACGTGGTCCATGTTTACAAGACTGAACTCAATAGACATATTGTATTTTGTAGATAATTCCCCTTCTTGTCTTAACTCCTTTGATGGGATCTCATCAACTGACCAACCACAGTCCATAGAAGGGGGACTCTATCAAATTAATATTAGAGCACCATTATGCCTCTGAAAATCAACGATACTTAGATCAAGCTTGTCGAAAAGTAATAGGAAAAACTCAACATAGACTTTCCTGCAGACCTAAAAGAGTTGTGTATCTCCTTGACAATGATAAGTCAAATCACATCAGCATGGCAGCCATCAAATAGCAACTATAATATATTACTCAAAGTTTTGACATACAATACCGTCCTTCTCAAAGACTAGAGGCTATGCCACGAACCAGCAATTATGCCCTTTCTCTATCCTATTAGGGATGGAGAGAAACCAGCCACATTCATGCGAATAATAATGATGTGAACTTTACGATTGGATAAACCCAACACTAGGTAGAATATCTCCACCTATGCGAGCATTCTGATTTCCACAAAATCAAAGGGAATGCTAGCATCACATACACAAACTAAAAATGCCTTTGTTCGATGAGCATGACTTAGAAGGCTGGGTGTTCTATGCAAAACTTTATATCAACATGTGCAAACTTTCCTCAAGAGATAAACTCTCCATGACATGTCTCAATCTCAAAGGGAGTGTATTTGTGTGGTTCAAGTGAATGAACATTTATGAGTCTTTCTACAAATATGAAGATTTTCACTAGTAATTTTTAGAGCATTTTAGCCCAATCACTATGGAGCTCTTAGCTAATACTTTATCAACATAAAATAATGGGGCATAGTCATGGGGTATTGAGTTGAAGGTGGTCATCCTTGATGATCTTCTAGAAAATATCTTAGAAAATACATTCCTCAAAGGCTTATGAAAGGATATTCGGGCTGACGTTTTCCTCCTTAAGCCCATGAGCATGAGGGGCATCTGATAAATATTTATTTATCACTAACAATTCATTAATTTTATCTTTGGATTTTACATTAATAAATCATAATAAGCATAAATTATTATATCTCATCATATTAGAGCAAAAGTCAAGAGATATATATAAATGACTTTAAACAACTATATTTGCATCATACAAGTTATAGATTTAATTACTAACATTTTCTAACCTTTTTCCAAAGTTTATCACCTTGAGAATGTGCCTAAATTTATCAGAAATAAGGATTTAAAATTTTGAAATTTTATTCTAAGGAGATGAATTTTCAAATTTATTGAAGTGAGAAGAATTAACATGGAATGTCAAGGCTCAAAGACTCTAAACATGAGAAAGAATAAATTGAGGAATAAAAAAAAATTAAACATAGCTCCCAAAAGATTGGACTCAATCAGACCAAGCAAAAGATGGAGAAAGAAGGCCTAAATGGGTGTGGGTATATAAACCTAAGAGAGGGCAAATGAAAATGGATTTTTTTTTTCACACTCAAACAAGAGGTGGCGGCTAGGTGAGATATATAACGGAGACCTCAAGGTTGCAAGAATGAGCTCTCCACCTTTTTCTCTCTTTACTTAACTCTTTAAACCCCCTTCTATTTTATAGATGACGAATATCATTTAATAGATGACATTTATTGAACTTCTAACGAGTTATTCTTTTCTATCCCTTCTCACGTCTTGATGGTGACACCAAGGCAAGAGAAGGGAAATCTGTATTGACTTGTGCAATTTCTTTTAGGTTTATAACTTTTCTCAAATATCTTACTTTCTTACGAATCCAATGAATATTTTATCTCTTCAAACAATCATATTTTGATGATTTGGTGACACAATTATCAAGCATATAGTCGAAAATCATTTTCTAGGTAGAAAATGATATTTATATTCAAACGTGTAGTTTCTCTTAGATTTATGATTTTTCTTGAATACCTTACTTCTTTATCAATCTAATAAATATTTTATCTCCTTGAACGATCATGTTTTGGTGATTTGGTGACAAAATCATCAATAAATTATCAAAAATTATTTTTTGGGTTTTGTATTTTGACCTTTCCTTGGATCGAATCTGATTTCACAAGTTTCACATAGAATTAAGTCAAGATATTTTGGAAAAACTTAGCATAATTAGTTTATTATCTTATGTAATTGTTTCAAAATTTTATCAAATGTATAATATAAGTTTTTAGATTTTACAAATATCATTTCCTAAAATTTCTATATTTTCCACCATTCTTTGAAACGAATTCGATTTCACAAGCGCCACATGGAATTAGGTTAATGTATTTGAGAAAACATAGCAAAGTTAATTTTTTTATCTTCTGTAATTTTTTTGTGATTTTAGAATAAGTTTAGGTTAGGTTTCCAGATTTTACCATTATTGATTTCTCTAATTTTCTTACTTGATTTCTAATTTTGACCTCTAATAATATTGTTGCTCAGAGAATGACATATTATTATGAGATAATTTTTAAACATATTAAATTAGAGTTAGTCATCTATATATTCTAAGATTTTCTTAACATTTAGAGTTAAATAATGCTATTTTCAACTTTCTAATTTTCCTAAGAATTGACCTAAAATCCCTATAGTTATAGAGAGCTTATTTGAGTTTTTAGTTATAAATATTAAGTTTAAGTACTTAAATTAACGACAACTCTGGGCGCATCAACATCATGTGCACTACCTAAAAGGTCGAAATGAAGCTATTGATCATGAGTGACTTCAAAAACTCTATGAAAGTTTTTGAGGCTGATCTACTAACAATTGTAGAGTTTGATCACATTGTAAGATGGAGAAAGAGGCCTCCGTTCAAGATTTATTCGATGCACCACCATTGCCTCAATACTAATGCATGTAGTTGACTATCTTGGAGATACAATGCAAATATGTTTAGAGTTTATGTTTCTCATGTAATAAGATGTACATCTCGATACCCTATTGTAGTTGAGAGCTCCAAATCATGATCATAGAAGAAGAAGAATAACCATCCAACAATGAAGTGACTTTGTTGGTTGACATAGTTACCAAACAAAAGCATTGACCAACTTGGATGTCTCTCTCTAGTCTCTTGATGACAATGGGTCAGCCAAAGCTCTAAAGTTCAAAATAATTATTTAGAATCAATAAATCTTCATCCTAATCAACATCAACACCATCCACAACTTTGTTTCCAAGAAGGCACTCGAACTAAACCTTCAAGTGACACAAACATGTTAGTTTAAGGTGATTTCCAACACCACCCCCTATCAAGCCACAACAATTGAGTTATAGATATTGACGATATAGGATGACCTCTTGATTCTTTCTTCCACTAGCCAATGTTGATGTAGATGCTAAGAGAAAAAGTGGTGGACTTCAACTAATACACAATTTTATTCATAGTTAAATCAAGAGTAACAATTCCTCCAAAGAGCTGTCCAAGATCTTTATAACCAATAATTTAGTCATTAAACTCTTTCAAATGGATCATCAACTAGAGGCAGCCACCGATGTAGGTTTCAAAAACTACATTTGACAAAAGTCTCCGACTATCTTTGACCTAGAAAATGAATTGCCTCTAGTCTATGAAGTTGATCATGTGATCTCACTAGAGAGCTCGATGTGGAATCCGTCAATAGTAGACCCTTCAAATACTCTCATTTTTAGAAAATAGAATTGAAGAAACTAAATCATAAAATACTCACCATCTAAATCATCCTACACTTGACTAGCACAAACCCATTCTAACTCTATTGATGAATAAGAAGAATAAATTATGACATTTTTACGTAGACTACTGACGTGACTCAGTCGTTGTATATTAAATCATGCAAATATAAAATTTATAAAACTAAAAAATATGATTTTTCAGATATTTAGAAGTATTTATGAACAAATATATCAATTATAATTCAATAAAACTTCCAAAAATAGCGATAATTTTCCAAGTCAATCACAGGGATGTAATATAATATCTGGTAATTATTCAGAATTTTCTTCTGAGAATACTATTTTATATGAAAAGGAAATGAAAAGGAAATATATTTAAAATTTGTGAAAAAAGAAAATAAGGGTGCAGACGTCAGGATGACGTCAGCGCCTGGCGAACGCGAATCTGTTCCACCCGACGATTTTTACGTAAACGATTATAGATGATTTAATTAATCAAATTAAGATCTGTAAAAGCCGGAAGAATCGTAATTGAACAAAGTATATTTTGGTAAATTAAAATCACACAAAGTATCACTAAATGAAGCATAAATTAAGTTGAAAGCAGGAAAACAGAGTTCCGGCATCGCGGCGACGATGCGTCGGTGATGCACCGGAATTCTGAGTGTTCGGGAGGATCATCGTGCAGTGTCCACGGCCTCGAAGGCTCTCCTTGGACAAGGACGATGTGGGCAATCTCTAGATCTTCTTGCGAAGTCTAGAGATTAATGAAATGGGTCGTCAAATCGTCTCCGGCGGTTGTCACCCGGCGGAGCGAAAAAATGGTGACTTTACGGCTCTCTGGTGGCTGTCACCCGATGGAGAGGAGCTGGATGGAGGTGGGGCGCGTGTCAAGGAGCTTCATCCTCATGTCCGCGCAGCAAGATGAGGCTCTTCATCGCATTTGGTACGCTCTCAAGAGGTGGCGACTCGTCTCCCGGCGGATCGTCCTCTTCCTGACGACGGCTTGTTCGTCGATCAATCGGAGATGATTTACTCGATAGATTCGCGATCTTTTTATCGCGAATCATTCAACAATTTTAGTAGCAATGCTCTGCAAATCGCGTTGATGAGATTTTCGCCAATGATCCAGTGATTCTCGTTGCTTAATCCTTCACCGGCGATTTGTAGGAAAGTCGTGATAATCAGATAAAAATATATGACTTTTGACTCTAGAAGGACTCGAACCCGCACCAGTTGTCCGCCCCTTCTGAGGAAGGTGTGACGCGAGTTTAGTCCCACATCGATTGTGCGTCGATTTTTTGGGCAAATATATAGTAATGTTACATTCCTGATCAAGCGCACGTGTACGACCACTCCTTGCCCCACAGCCGGCTGGCCATCGGTGACGTGGAAGGGGAGTGGCGCACACGTGCTCACATCATCGGTTCAAGCCGCTCAAGCCCTTGCTCGCGGCTACTCCCCGATTGCGCTTCCGACCCGCTTGCGGGCCCGGTTGGCCGGCGGGTCACCTCATTTTGCAATATTTTATTTCTTTTTCTTCATTTATCTCAAAAGTAAGACTGTAAAAATCATATAAATTCATATAAAATCACATAATTACCCAAAAAAATCACATTAATCAACTGGAAACCACTTTTCACACTTTAACACAAATATAAGTCTATTTATCACGAGTTAAGGCTAAAACTATATTATTTACTAATTATTAACTCATGATAATGAAGACTTATCAACTACCACACCCTCAATAGAGTAGCATGTCTTATAAGTTTTCTATATCCTTATTGAAAAAGGTTCTAGACAAACTTCATAGTACTATGACTTTCTCAAGTAGAACTTATGCTCGGGCTGCCACCATATAAATATTAAGAGTGAAGACATCCCCAAGATGACATTTTGCATATATAATGGTCATTGAGTTGTTGGTCATGTCGTTTGAGTTCTCTAATGCACCACCCACCTTTCAAACTTTAATTAACTAGACCTTCACCAGTTACCTTTGTAGTTTTGTTCTCATTCTATTCAATGATATCTTGATCTACCACTCAAGTCTAGAGGAATACAAAGAGCACATGAGGCATATGCTTGTAAATAATTCTTCCTTATCATGAGTTAATAATTTATTAATAATATATTTTAAGACTTAATTCATGATAAATATACTTATATTTATGTTAGATTGAGAAGAATGATTTTTAGTTAGTTAATATGAATTTTTGATTGATTGTGTGATTTTATTTCATTTTATATAATTTTTACACTCATGTTTTAAAATAAAGTAAAGAGAAATAAAATAGAATAAATACATATTAAAAAAGGAGGAACCCATTGGCTAACTAGACGTGCAACTAGGTCAGAAGCATTGTAGGACAAAGCCACGAGTAGGGGGCTCAAGTGGCTAAGAAATAGTAGATGGAACATGTGTGCGTCAATCTTATTCCACATCATCGATGATCAATCGTACATAGGGCAAAGAGTGGTCGTACACATGTGAAAGGACTATATTAACCATAGATATATTCATCTCAAAACTTGAAAAATAATTGATGTGGGACTAAACTCGTGTTATTACTCACTAATAGGTTTTCGATAATTTTAATATCTAAATTACCCTTATCATATAAGATGGAGATACTTTTATGACCTCATATGACAATGGTATTTGTGTACTTATTTAACTCTCTCTCATACAAATAAATGACCCGTGAGGGTTCAAATCCTAATATAGCTGAAATTTTTATTTTTATTTTATTAAATCATAATTTTTCCATAGAGCATTATTCAATATTAAGTTGTCAAAATTGCTCAATCATCAACGAAAATATTGTCAATGTGATTTGCAGAGTATCTAATTGTCAAATAATTATAGATAAAAAGATCATGAATCAATTGAAGTAATAATCTCTTATTGATCGATGAATGAGTCATTGTCAAAAAGAGAATGATATGTCAAAAAATGACTCATCACCTCCTAAGAGCATACTAGATGCGATGAAGACATTATCTTATTGTGCAAACTTAACGATGAAGCTCCTTAAGACGTACCTCACCTCCATCTAACTTATCTCTGTCGAGTGACAATTGTTTGATAAAACAAAATCAAAGGTCGTTGAAATGCTTTGAAATGAGTTGACCAGAAATATTTAGAATCCTGAATTTACGTAATTAAAATACTAAAACAAGTGAGTATTGTGGTAAGTTTGAGGTCAATCCATATGGAATGAGAATTGAGCAATAGTTAACTAGTATTCTATTTAATTAATCTATTAAAATGAGATGAAGGCTAAGAAGAAGAGGCAACGGTAAATAAGAAGAATATTTACCATAAAAAAAAGAGGGAAATAGAAATTTGACTATGCGGGTAAAGATTGAGAAGAGAAATACTCATGAAAGAATCATAATATGAAATCAAAAGTGTAACTCTATTTATTTCAAAGCTACGAATACCTAGATGGTTGTTCACACGCAAAACACATCACACTTGGAGAAACTTACCTTGGGCCTCTATATTTTGCCAAGGTCAAGTAGTTTCTTCTTTGAGTATGCTTCTCTGACAATGTAAGTTGTGAACCAACACTTAAATCAACCTAAAACACATCCAAATTGATGTAGAACCTTAATGATGTTTCATTCAAGCCAACTAAATGTTGGGGCATTCAAAGTTAGGTTTTCACCTCTAAATGGTGGCTTAAATGTGTAAGGGTTATACGAAGGTACGAGATTACACGTATAAGGCTGATATATGCCTTCTTGTGAGTTGGTTCATCTAAGATCATCTAATCTAGGGTTATGAGTGAGTGAGGGTCTTTTCATCTTTTTGGCCACAATAAGATGGGGTGAGTGTCGGTTTCCTCTTAGGCTGATCTTAAGCATTGGATTTTGAAGTCTTGTCATAGCCGTAACATTTTCCTTAATGTTGAGATCCGATGCACCCTTAGTAAGTATGCTCCATTTACTATCAATCATGTAGACACTCTCAATGGCCTATGATCTCCTCATTTGGTGATGACGCATGTCAGTGCCTCAGCCCTTAATTCTGTCGCATCATCTTCAGATCAAATCTTGTCTATATAAGCATATATCGACTTCCTAAAAATTATAAAAAGATATTTAAAATTACTAAAATTCTCTCATATTACTAAAAAAAATTCAATTATGATAGTAAAAAGAAGTAGAAAATTCCAAAAAAAACTCTAAAATATTAAAATTCATGAAACAAATTAATGAATAATAAATGTTTATTTTTTAATATGTAACATACTAGATCATAAAATTTAAGCTCTTGAATATAATAATTATTACACTTTTCACATGATAAACAACATGTTATCACCACTAGAGATCCAAAAGTTATTATTTTTCTACTACGTCAAGGTGATAGCTATCGAAGATGATTTGTCGACTCATTTCATTAATTTCTAGACTTCCCAATAAGATATAGAGATTGTCCACATTATTTATGTCCAAGGAGAGCTTTTGAAGTCATAAATATCACATGACAATCCTCTCAAACACATAAAAATTATGACGATAGCTGTCACAAAACCAAACTCTATTTTTCCAACTTTAAACTTATTTCTTACTTAATTTAGTGAAACTTTATATAATTTTAAATTTTAAAAACTTTATTCATTCAATGACGTCTTTTGACTTTTACATATTTTAATTTAGTCAATTAAATTATATTAATCATTTACAGAAGAATCACCAGGCTAACATAATCTTGACATCTGTAGTTGATTTTTTTTATTTTGTGAATTTTTAAATATAATTTATATTCATTATTTAGTCTAAAGATCATAAAAACTCATATTCTTTGAGAAAAAATCTGAAATATTACCAAATATTATCTAACATCCATGAGATTAATCTCAATTTTTTTACTATTTTAAAAAATATATCAAATTATAATTAATTTATTTGTCGTAAAATATTTCTAAAGATCTAAAAATGGGTCATTACTAGTTTTATAAATTTTAAATTTGTATGATTTATTATACAAAAATTAGGTCACGTCACTTGCCATCCTCCACATCAATATCTTGCACCTCAATCCAAAAAGAAGTGTTGATTCAAAAAAGCCCATATGACATATATGAGCCATGGGTTTCATTCGAGTGCGTCCATGTTGACCTTGACAAAGTCGAGACAATCATCTAGCAGCCTCTAATCATAATAATCCATCAGCTTTAGGGGTTCTTCTATCTAACAAGCTACTATAGGCAACTCATTCCGCATCATGACATGATAGCTTGGCCATTCACCTACATTTTAGTAGACTTGAAGAAAGATGCTTAGGTACTACATTCTAGTAGACACTATATTCTAATAGCTCAATGAGGCCCTCACAACCACTTAGGTACTCATTCTCCTCAATTTCTTCATTCCTTTTGCACTAGATGCTTCAAGTTGCGGCATCATGTCGGTTCTCATGCAACACCGGAGACCCAAGCTCTCTCACCTCCACACCAATTGAAGATGGTTTATGAGCGAGAACTCATAACTATTGTCTTACTTACTTACAAATGGAAGCATTACCTACTACCAAATGAGCCTTAAGTCTATTCTAGATTAGTGATAGATCCTTTCAAATTATTAGAAGTGGATCGTCAAAATCATTAGCTTACAATTTTAAGTTCATTACAATGTCAATGTCGAGAATAAGGTGGCAAACACCTTGTTCAAATGACCCGATGCCATTACATACAACAACTAGGATTTGCACTAATTGAAGTGGCTAGACACATCACTCGTCACCTAGTTAGAGAAGTGGCCTAAATACACCATACAAACATGGTTATCTCTTTCACTATGAATGGTTGATAATTACATAGAACTCTCAATTCATTCCTAAGCTACTTTATGAATTTCATGGCTCAACAATGGGAGTATACTTGGGGTTTCTATACACATACAAGCATATGAGTTAGAACATGGCTTGAGTCGAGATGAAGAAAGCAATCTATGATTACGTCGCCAACTATAAGACCTGTCAAATGAATAAGACAAGACGTTGTAGTCAGCATGCCTCTTACAATTGCTGCCCATTCATAGGTACTAATAAGTCTTCATTATCATGAGTTAATAATTAGTAAATAATATATTTTTAGCCTTAATTTATGATAAATAGACTTATATTTATGTTAAATTATGAAAAGTGGCTTTCAGTTGATTAACGTGAATTTTTAACTAATTATGTGATTTTCTACGAATTTATATGATTTTTATAGTCTTATTTTTGAGATAAATGAAGAAAAAGAAATAAAAAGAAAAATAGAGGGACTCGCCAGCCATCTAGGCCTGAGTCGAAGTCAATTCAAGCGGCTAAGGACTGATGGGGGCACATGTGCACCACTCCCCTTTCACGTCATTGGTGGTCAGCTAGTTGTGAGGCAAGGAGTGGTCGTACACGCGATGTGATATTACTATATATTCGTCTAAAACTTCGACGTATAAGCGATGTGTGACTAAACCCGCATCACACCTTCTCCCAAAAGGTTTTGAAGATTTGAATATCTAAACTATTCCTTCGTTATAACAAAGATATACCATGATGACTTCACTTGATAAGGACATTAAAATACTTATTTCAATATCTCTCATGCAAGTAGACAACCGATGCAGGTTCGAATCCTCCCAAAATCAAAACTCGTATTTTTATCTGATTATTGTGACTTTCCTGTAGATCATCGATAAAGGATTAAGTTGCTAGAATCGTTAAATCATTGACAAAAATCTCGTCAACACGATTCGTAGAGTATTGTTATTAAAATTATTGAACGATTCACGATAAAAGGATCGCGAATCCATCAAGTAAATCATATCCGATTGATTGATAAATAACCCATCGTTGGAAAGAGGACGATTCACCGGGAGATGAGTCACCACCTCCTAAGAGCGTATCAGATGCGATGAAGAGTCTTCTCTTACTGCACGGACATGAGGATAACGCTCCTTAACATGCGTATCATCTACATTCAGCTCCTCTCTATTGGGTGATAGCCGCCGGAGATTCGCAGAGTCATCATTTTTCCACTCCACTAGGTGACAGCTACCGGAGACGATTTGACGACCCATTTCATTGATCTCTAGACTTCACAAGGAGATCCAGAGATTATCCACATCATCCTTGTTCAAAGAGAGCCTTCGAGGCTATAGACACTGCACGACGATCCTCCATAACGCTCAGGATTCTAGTGCATCGCCGACGCACCACCGTCGCGACATTGGAACTTTGTTTTCTTACTTTTCAACTTAATTTCTACTTCATTTAGTGATAATTTGTGTGATTTAAATTTACAAAGCTATACTTCATTTAATTACTATTCTTCAAACTTTTACAGATCTTAATTTGATTAATTAAATCGTCTATAATCGCTTACATAAGAATCATAGAGTGGAACTCTATTTCTATCTGATTTGCATTCATCAAGCGCTGATGTCATCTTGACGTCCACACCCTTATTTCTTTTTTTTGTGAATTTTAAATATATTTTATTTTTCATTTTGTAGTATAAAATTCATAAAAAGTCATATTCTTTGAGAACAATTCTGAAAAATTACCCAATATTATATTACATCCTTGTGATCGACTTGGAAAATTACTACTATTTGTGAGATTTTTATTGAATTATAATTAATATATCTTTTCAAAAATACTTCTAAATATTTGAAAAATAGTATTTTCGAGTTTGATAATTTTAAAATTTACATGATTTACTATACAATGACTAAGTCACGTCAGATACATTTGAGAGTACATATCGTTAGACTTTATCAAAATATTTCTAAAGTTTTACACTATTTTGATGGCGAGCGGGATCCGTCTCCATCAACTCAAGAGACACCAGTAGTCCGAGTTCAGCTTGATCGACGCTCGAAGACGAAGGAGCCTGGCTTTTGCTACACGGCCTAGCCCTTCAGGACGACGACATTCCACCTCCGCGACGACGACGAGCTTGAGCTCACCCGTATCTTTCTTTGTACTTTCACGTTGACTTGTGGGGCCTCGCATTTGTGTGTTAGCGGGCCCAATTCTATGTGTGTGTCTCCCTTTCTTTAGGGTTTTATTGGGTCTCTCTTTTGAGGCCCAATTAAAACCCTAAGGGGGGGGGACCTATGTGTCTTTCCTTTGGGGCCTCTTTTGGGGCTTATTTGGGTCTTCATTTGAGGCCCACTTAAGCACCGTAAGAGGGCCCTCCTCTTTCTCCTTTTAGGGGAGCTTATTGGATCTCTCTTTAAGAGGCCCAATAAGCCCCTTTTGTAGCCTTTTGTGGCTTATGCGCTTGAGGGCCTCAAGTGGGCCCACCTCCCCTAAGCCCACTTGTGGGCCCCATATAAGGGGAGGTAGGACCCCTCCTCAAGAGAGCGCCGTATTTTTGAGAGAGATTATCGTTTTGTGAGTACCTTCTCCGTGATCTAGGATAGGGAGGGAAGGAGGAAGAGGAAGGCCGTCGATACCCCCTTCGAGGACTTCGTTCCTCGTGACGCTGCTGCCCGAGAAGTCCCGCCGCCGCCTGAGACCACTGCCGCCGCCGGCCATCTCAGTGCCGCCGGGGAGTTCGCCGCCGTCACCGGACGAAACGGTCGCGGTTGCCGCTGCAACCGCCGCCGCCTCTGCTGGAACCCCGTCACGCCATCGTGACGAAAGGGGCTCGCTTCGCCTCCCTACGAGCCGTCGCCGAGCACTCCACCGGAGTCTCTCGACTCCTGGTTCGTCTGCCACCTCTTCCTCCGGAACTCCACCATAAACTCGCCGGAGCCGCCCTCCGCCGCGCCGCCCAGTCGCTGGCCGTTCGCCGACGAACGCCGACCTGCCGCCGACGTCGGAAGAGACCCTGCTGCCGTGCCGACGAGCCAGATCCAATCCAAGCTCCGCACAGGCCCCCGCCGGAGTTTCCCGACGATCCGCCGCCGTCGCGCCGTTTCCGGCGCCGCCTAGACCAGGAGGGCTCCACCCTCCCTGGTATCGCCGGCCGGATCGTCTCCTTCCTCTGCTCCGCTTCCCGGCGCCGCCAGAGAAGGCCGACCTTTCCGGCGACGGTTGGGTCTCCGCCCAACCGCTGACGCTCGGCATTCCCGCCGAAGCGCCGCTGACGCTCGGCCTTCCCGCCGAACGTCGACGCTCGGCATTCCCCCCGAAGCGCCGCTGACGCTTGGCATTCCTGCCGAAGCGCCGCAGACGCTCGGCCTTCCCGCCGAAGCGCTGCCGCCGCGCGCGCCCCCGCGCGCCGGCTCTTGCGGCCCGCGCGCCCACCCGGCGCCACTGCCCGCGTGCCCTTCGGCCCACCAGCGGGCCCACGCCCGCTAGCGTGCCCTTTGGCCCACCTGCAGGCCCACGCCCACGTCGACTGTGCCACGCCCTAAGACGACGACTTCCGTGACTCTCGACTAGGACCGACCGTCAATGCTGAGCATCGCTCTTCACCGTCTCTGCCTTCGTCGAATCTCCGCTCCGTCACGACCCGCCGGGCTACGCAGCCCTGAAGGTTAGCTCCGTACCCCTTCCTCTTAAGTTTAATTATCTCTCAAAGGGTTTTCTTGGCTCGTCTCCTCCACCATCAGGATAGGACGGTTATCGGATCGTGACTTCCGACGCTGCCTTAGATTCGCCACCGTTCGTGAGCTTCAGCCCTAAGCTACCTCACAACGACCATTCTGCCGTCTATTCAGACATAGACCGAGAGGGCCTCACACTTACCATCGTTGAGTGTTTCCCCGGGTTGTTCTGAGTTGATCGCGCATATTGGTACGCCTGCCTATACTTAGGTTACGTGGTCAAACCTAGAGTCTAGGGTCCATACATTCTAATCGGATCGGTCTGACAACCCCATCTCGGGTCATGAGTTTCATTGATCAAGTACAGGGGTTCTCGCCCCGTCCTGCATCATATCTTAGTAGTCATGGATCATCTCAACAAGTATGCACACTTCTCACTAGTCAAGCATCCCTACAAAATCAACAAGATTGTCCATGTCCTCCTCCGAGATATCATTTGGCTACATGAGATCCTTCTATCAATAGTGAATGACCAAGATATGATTTTTATGAGCACATTTTGGTGGGAGCTCTTGAGGCTACATGAAACTCTCTTATGTCAGACAAGTGTGTATCATACCTAGACCAGCGGTCAAATAGAGGTTGTCAACCATAGCCTCGAGAAGTACTTGTATTGTTTTGCAAGAGATAGACCTCAACAATAGAGCAAGTGGCTCACTTGGGAAGAATATTGGTACAACATCAATTCCCACATATCAACCTCTCAATCGTCTATGGCAAACCCCAACTGTATCTCATGCCCTATAAAACAAGTTTGGTGTGAACAAACAAGGTCAACCAAATGTTGCATGAACATGATGTTTTTGTCAGCTCAAGGAACATCTAGCTCATGCCCAATAGAGGATGCAAGCTTACAAGGATCAGCACCATCGGGAGATCAAGTTCACAATCCGCAATTGAGTCTACCTCAATCTTCAACCATATCGACAATGAGTCTTGGCGAGGCATCCATACAAGGAGCTCATGCCTCATTATTTGGGATCATTTGAAGTCATGAAAAAGGTGGGCATTGTAGCCTATTGACTCACCTTGCCACCAACCGTGGGGATCCACTTGGTCTTACACATGTCTCAACTTAAGAGCTGTCCAGACATCAACAAACTCAGCCACACACCTTTATTATCAATTCCCTAGATTCCCTCTTAAGGACAAGATGACACTTCTAGGGGGGAGCATTGACATGCTATTGGTAGTCACATGCTTGCAGCAAGAGACATTAAGTGAACTCCAAGAGGAGCTGGAGACTAACCATCTAGTATCAGTCACACCAAAACATGAGAGGTCCCAATGACTTTCCCATTATCCCTGTATGCTCCCCTATACTAGAATCTCTTTGTTTTCCTTCTAATTTTTATCTATTATATTATGTACTCGTCAATGTGGTCCCTATTTACGAGACTAAACTCAATAAATATGTTGTATTTTTGTAGAGAATTCCCTCCTTCCGTTAACCCCCTCAGTTGAATCTTATCAACTGACCAACCACACTCCATATAAGGGGGACCCTACCATACCCCCTATGTTCTTGTCTATAATCCAGCCCTTATAAATGACTTAGACATTAGTGGGCTGATTAATGGGCTTCCTACGAGTGTAAGTTTGGCCCAAGGGCCTAACACAATGATGTGGAGGACCCTACAACAAATCAAAAGATGAGAGGGCCTAGTGGACTTCATGATTTTGTCTATGAAGCCATCATATAAGTTTCTCTTACAAGCACATACAAGACATCTACCCCCACTATTATGACATCTTAATCATGGGTAGAATGAGAGGACACAATTAACATAGGGACTAAAGCTATTAACTACCATGTGGCATAGAATAAGGCATGACAATAAAACATATCTCATCACCCTTTAGGAACAAAATGATAAGATCTCACTCCTTAATGAATTCAAAGATGACCTCGATTACGTGGCACCCAACACTGACACCCACTCGAATGAATATGTTGCAAAGGGCATGCACATAGTTCCAATGACATGGAGGATGCAATGACAAGAATTACAATCACAGCACACATGAGTGCACATTGGACAGACTAGTATGTGACAATGGAGGCTGGGGTAAAATGATAACTCTGGCATAGAATCCCACAACTTATAGAAAAGTTTTACTACCTCTTGCCGGTCTTTTTTGGCACCTACCACCGTAGCATGAGGTGTGGAGCTTAAGACTAATTTCATGCCAGCTTTGTGCATACCAACACATGCATCATATGTGTATGTCAAGTTATGCATATTATTTTCTCAAGTTATACATAGATTACTGAGCACATAATAAAATGACGTGAAGGAATAAGCATTCGGTGCCCAACACAAAATAATTATTTGACCATTTGTGATGAGCATATTATATCCTAAGATAGACTTGAAAAATAGCTACAATCAAGTTTACATTTTAAAATGATGATGAGTAAAAGAATGAGTGTGTGATTGACTACAATTCATACATTTTAACAGTGGTCATTCGTTCTCACCAAGATCTTGTTAATGTTTTGTATCCTAATTAATGTCATTTTTAATGAGTATCTTGAATGAACATGTAAGGTGACACTAGATGGATACTTTAGGATTTTGTCACTCTTCTAGTGATCACACCTCAGCCCCCTCTGCCCTACGGAGATGATGCAATATATAGAGAGAAAGGGAGGTGTTTAAGCCACAATGGCCGCTGTGAGAGGGATGATGCGTAGAGAGAGAAAGGGAGAAGCTCAAGCGTGAGCAGATATATATTTATAGAAAGGGATACGTTAGAGGTATGATATGATGCATATATACATATATATATATATATATATATATATATAGAGAGAGAGAGAGAGAGAGAGAGAGAGAGAGAGGAGAGGAGGGAAATTATGGGTGGTAAAATAGAATAGCAATCCACAAGGAGATGTCAAAAACAGGGACAGAAGATGAAGTGAAGCAATAAATATTCCAATTCAGCGTGCGTGCAGCTGTTCTTCGAGGCGACTAGAGAGTCCGTATTTTGCAAGGAATTCAAGTCTTCGGCAGGGCGATGCCGATACCAAACCAACTGCCGGAGAGAGAGATAGAGCCAAGTAACCGATCCACACGAGGATTTCAAGGACACGGGCAGAAGAAGATAGAGCGAGCCCAAGAGCAGTCTCGGTGTTCCCTCCGGAGGGAAAAGAGAGTTCTCCAAAGAGGAATTCCTTCCTCTGGTGGAAACAAAAACCAGTGGAGATCGGCTGCAGATATATGGCCAAATCCGATGCCAACTTAATTCCCTGCGGGATAAGAATAAATCATGGGATGCAAACGAGGCACAGATTTTCAGATCGATTTCAACGGAACGCTTCCTGATTCTGAATCTTTCTCACTAGGCTCTGATCGAAACTCGCTCAAATCCGGAGCAATCGCCACAGTCGCCCAGAACCTGCATCACAGAGGTCGGAGTGAGCTGAGAACCGCCGTCCCCCATTCCTCATGGCCCTGGCGAATCCTAAGCGAGGAACTCGAATTCGTCGTCCTTGAGATGGGCGAAGAACTTGAGGGGGCCGGGGCGGCGCCCCTGGATCCCGTCGGGGAACACGAACTCCACCTTGAAGGGAAGATTGGCGGAGATGCGTTTCCCCTTCCACAACCCGGCGTACTGCTTGATCACCCCCTCCATCCCCATCAGGTCCAGATCAGGGACCTTCTGGATGTGGTACACCTTCACCGGAGCCGTCACCCTCACCCTGGCCCCCACCCAGCCCGCCGCCTCCGCCTCAACCGCCGGGGAGGAAGCGGCGGCGGAGATGGCGGTGGCGGTGAACGTGACGTCGGAGGAAATCGACCGGCCAAGGGGTCGTCGTCTCCTCGTCCAGAGGGGACCTCGGAGGGGAAAGCTGGCTGGAGGAGAAGGGAGGTTTCCCCACAGGAAGGACGCATTGACTGCGGCAGAGATCGTCGAAGACATCGTGGGGAAGACGGAAACCACTACAATCGAGAGAGAGAGAGAGAGAGAGAGATGGGTAAGGGCTACAGCAACTCAGGCCAAGAGAATGGATTCCAGATGGAAGCTTCCATGGTGGAATGAGTTCCGATAAGCTCGGGTGTTGGGCAACGCTGAGCTGGAAGGCGGAGTCGGCGGAATGAATGGCACCCGTTGTTTCGCCACCCTTCAGAAAGAGAAAGTGCAGACTGCCGATATCAACGGCTCTCCCTCACTCCCTCCCTCTCTATCTCTCCGTTGACCGCTACTAACACAGGACCGACCACACTAATTCTGATGTAAGCTTCCAGACCTGGATGCATCTGGCGCTCGTTGACTCGTGGGAAGACCATCGGAATCAGGTGGTCGGTGGGTGGAAGTAAAACCAAAGTTTGACTTTGAGATCAACTAATCCACTCTCGTGCTCCATGACTTTCCAACAAAACCCTGTTCGGGCAATCTGTGGACGGCGGTCGCGTTTGACCAGCTAGCATCATAAATAAAAAGGTTGACCGCACATGGTGATGTTAAGGTCAAAACCACAAATCCATATTTAAAGTAAATAGCGGATTTGGCACTATTCTATCGGAACGTCGGATCTACACCCGTATCAGACCCATTAGATCTATGAGGAAAATGAATTCTCAATCAGGCATTAAACCAAAGTTCCACAGACATTATCCCACTGATGAGCTCTCTCTCTCTCTCTCTCTCTCTCTCTCTCTCTAAATAAAGCTTCTATGAAGACACGAGCTATACCTGAAAACCATCTCAGCCGATAAATAGAGCCCTAAAAGAGGTCTCATTGTAAGAACAAGGCTCAGTTGCAGAGAAAGCAATTAATTGGGTTTGATATAAATCGCCACAATAAGAAAGACACGAATAGAGAGGGAGAGAGAGAGAGAGAGAGAGAGAAGAGACTGGTGTCATCAGAACCTGGAGAGCAAGAACATGGGAGCTTCAGTGGAGTCAAGAATCCAGAGTGGTGGGGCCTCCGCGGTGATGAACATTAGAAATGTCTGATAATCTCTGTCTCGGCGAGAGAGTGAAGCTGGCGGCCATGTCAACTTCCAGGGTCGAGATGTTCTTCCTCTTCTGTGTTTCTACCCTCGGTTTCTCTTCTGAGGTCTCGAGGATGGGGCTCAAAGATGGCTGTTCGCTACCCTGCTGGGAAGCCATGGCCTGCACCTCGGTCAGCACCGACGAGTCATCATCCGCAGCATAGAGTATCTTCTGAATAGCGCTGACGATCTGAAGAAAATCGAGTTTTCCGGGATCAAAATGTTGCCATCTGCTGATAATAATCATGGATAAACCGATAATCTTCGAGAACACCATCTAAACATTTCTATGGTTTTAACTCTATTATTTCCTCAACATCATCTAATAGGCTGATTACACACGAGAGAGCGAGGGAGAGAGAGATAGAGAGGAGCCATTCTTACAGGTGAATGTTCAATGTCAGGATTCTGGCAGAAGATTTCAATGTCTCTCAGCTTCCCGAAGTAGAAATCTCTTTCCTTCTCAAGACTGTCCACAAAAAGCTTGAGCTCGGTGATCTGCATTTGATTCGAAGATTTTAGAGATCTCTATGCAACATTACCAAACTATTCAGCTCAAAGCACATACGTGAACCACCTGTGCATCGTAAGCCTGTGCACATCCACTAGGAGCAGGCTTTTGGACCTTCTGCGATGAGTGTGAAGGATTGGAATCACTCTTCCGGGTTGTATGGGAAGAACTCGATGTCCTCAGGGCAGTGGAGGACTTGGATGATGTCTGTACAGGAACTGTCCTCTTGCCTGTTTCCTTTGCTCCCTTGCAAGCATCTCTTCTATCCACAGGATTATAGCTGATTCCAAACTCATACTAGAGGTTAATCATAGGGTACAAAGTGTTGAAGCGTATCTAAAATTCATATAAAAAAAATAATCAATTACGAGTTCAATTTCCAGTTCCAGCATCCACCCTATGAATGTCTTAAGAACATACTTGTACTGGAAAAATCTGGGTTATGATACTTTTTAGGAAACCAACTAATATCCACCCATCAGCGATGTAACTACACAAGCCCGTCTCACTACGTTGAAAGTTTGCAATAAAGGGAAAGATAGAAAAGGGATGAATATAAATCATGAAACAGAGGGAGAAAAGGAAGAAAGCTCACTTGTTCAGCATGCCACCGTTGACGGAGTCACAGTACCTCTTCATCCATTGCATAAACTCCAGGTTATCCAGCGGCCTCCCTTTCACGAGCTTATTTACTTCAATGTGCTAATGCCAAAAGAGAAGCGATGAGAAAAATAAACAAACGAAAAATCAGATAATCGAAATATTAGATACCAAGATGAGTGTGTTTTTCTCTCCAGATTTATTATTTTTCCTGATGTTTAAGCTTGATGATGAACGTGGGCGTTTAAGTAGACAGTGAAGAAAATCGTTTCCCTTTTTTGCGAAGAAAATGGACCAATGATCGATGGTTCCTTTCTGCCTGCGGAACATAGCTTCTTTACTATTGGTAGAATACAATTTGCTAAATAACCTAACTGGTCATCAGCTCCACACAAAAAAAGGAAACTAAACCAAGAATTCTGAGAAAATGCCTCGTAAGCAAAGTTCATAAGAAGAAGAGCCGAAACGTCAGAAAAATCGTACACAGAAAATTCTACGTAACTCAAATTTAGAGGGGATCAAGACCTTGGTAATCTTCAACTTGTTAAAAACATCCTGGAGGACCTTGTAGTTCTGGATCATGTCATATTCTGTCTTGGCGTCGAAATTAACCTTGTGCATGGGAACAATCCCCGGGTGGACTGCATCCATCAGCTGGCATTGCACAGCTCCCGACGCCGCCTGAAAGACACAAGTGTAACATAGGACAATTCCAACAACAGATCTAACGGCAGAACCCCAGCCACCACATCTCCTTATGAAAGATACACCGCCCTTCCCCACACTAAAAAGCAAGAAAGAAAACCATCGGCGATACGGATTCAGTGAAGGCCCAAATAAAGGAAACGAAACGGAAATCGCATACCTCTTCGACCTTGGAGAGGTTGAGCCGTAGGGTGGAGTTGATCCACGCCAGGATCTCCCCCCTTCCCACAAAGTATGCCGCGTCCATCATCCCTATATTGGTGGCCATTGCTTCCGTAGTTCCTGCTCCGGTTCTCCTCTCTCCACCCCCACCCGCAACGAATCCCAGATGGAACAACCGATCGAACAAGATGAGTATCGACGAGAAATCTGCGCCAGGAAGACAAGACGGAAACGAAGAGCGAGAGAGAGAAAGCGAGAGAGAGAGGAAGGGGAAGGGGGAGCTAGGTTTTGTATGTTCTTTTCTATCCGTGGGGAGTAGACGTGGGGGCGTTCGGGCGGGATCCTAGCTTACCCGACAAAATTCAAATTTTCTCCGCACTTTCTGAAGAAGGCAAGGTTTTCACTGTAGCAGCCCGCTAATGGGCCGGCCCGGGCCCTTCCTACCTGGGCCCGGGTGGCTCTCGGTGGGGCCCAACCGCTATTTAGGACACTCTGCGGGGAAAACAAACGAGAGTATAGTCAAAGAAAACGCCGCTTTTGACTCTGCCCAGTCGTCTGCGGCGACCACTCTCTCTCTCTCTCTCTCTCTCGGTCTCCGTCTGAGGCAAAAGCCCTCTTTGAGAATTTTGGTTCGGGAGGGATTCGTCAATTAGAGCGTGCTTACACGTTGGGTCAATTCTTGGTTGGACCCCGTTTCACCTTATGTTTAATGTTATTTTAAATTTGACGTATTGTATTAATAAATACGCATTATTCAGCCACGTAATTTTTCATTACAAAAAAGTATTCCTAAAATCCTCGCCCGTCCAGTAAGCGTTACCTCCTCATAGCGGTGAGAGGAAGAGAGAGAGAGAGAGAGAGGGGGGGAGGAGAGAGAAAAATAAGTTTCCTTGGACTAGAGCGGGTCGCGGAATATTTTCAGGACGTCTGTTAGGGTCACCAACCCTGCCAACTCGAAGTCGTCCTCCACCACCCACACGTAGTTTACACGATGAGCCAACGCCTGGATCAGCACCGCCACGAGCGAGCTACCGGGATGGGAGACGATGGCCTCCTCCAGACTCCTCCCCATCCTCACCGAGTAGCTGCCCGAGCCGCCGTGCTTCTCTAGCCGCCGTGTCCTCGCCGGGGTCGTCGATTCCTCGTCCGACGACGAGCTTCCCGACGACAGCGTGGAGAGGGAGGTATCTGACGCCGACGACGACAACGATGCCTCCTCCTCGATCAGCTCTAGCATTCCCTCCATGCCCCGCTTCCTCAGCCTCGCTTTCACGGTCCTCACGGCTTCCTCCGGCGGGCCGCCGCAGTCGACAAAGGCCATGAGCTCGCCGGCGGAGAGTGTGGCGATCGCCGCCACCACGGTCTCGTCGCAGCTGGCCAGGGTGGACGGTGAGATCTCGCCGACGAGTTTCCCGTCGTCGGTGACGACCGCCACCGCGGTCTGGTACATCAGGGCCTCCTTGATCAACGGCAAGGCGGAGAGGGCGGGTTCGTGGTACCGGACGGCGAGGACGTCACGCCGGATGATCCCCAGCGACTCCACCGAGAGGGAGGAGACTTGGGAGAAGGCACCGATGGAGTTGAGAAAGAAGCGAACGAAGTCCTCCTGTACGAGACAGCAGAAGTCCGCCGCATATGAGTGGAGCTTTTTCCTGCCGACGGATCGGATCGGAACCACCAGGTTCTGCGCCCCCTCCAGAATCAAATCCAGGGCTTCCAACAAGCTGAAGAAATAATTAAATACTCATCAGATCAGAGGATCAATCGATATCTCCTCGAGCTATACACAGTTGACAAATCTCGCCGAATAAAAGCAACCCATCCACCCCCTACTATGCATTGATGACGCAAAGAAATTAGACAGTATTCTGTCTATCCGCAAGGAAACGGGAATACGCGAGTAAGAAGACTGGATTGAAAATTTGATAAAAAAGAAATACGCGAAGGAACATCGGAAAGTCCACAGAAGATCAACTGCAAAAGCAGAATAAGTTTGCCGTGCTGTTCGACGGTCCTGTACGAATCCGTTGAAGACAAGCGCAGCAGCAAATAACAGGAAATTATTTTTTAAAGCCAGAGAGATCGAATTATCAGCGCGACTACGGACCTGGAATGCCGTTCGACATGTCTGACCAGACTCCCGGATTCCTTCGGGAGGAGAACGGAAACAGGGGAACTCAGGGCGACGGAGGAAGAACGCTTAAGATTCTCCTCCGAGCAGAGGTAGCAGATAATATCCACCATGCAAACCTTCCCCACGCAGGTTCTTCTCTCGGGGGAATTTGGTGATGCCGCTTTAGAACCCTCCGTCCACACGCTGAGGTAGCTCTCGCCGCATCTCTTCAGGCAGACGAGCGCCTCGCCGATGGTCGCGGACAGCGGCAGCGGCTTCAACGGCGGCTTCCCGATGCAGAGGTCCGATACCTCGTATGCCAGAAACCTTACGGCCATGCACTCACAGTCCCAAGCAAGGATCGAGCGAACCCCAAAAGATGCCGGTGCAGGTGTCCTGAGATGTTCAGAGACCGAGACACAAAGGGGAGGAAAAAGGCAGGAAGGAGATAGATCTCAGAGAAACTTCTGAGCTGCCAATAGAAGCCACGGTCCGTAATAGCGAGGGGATGGGTTTATATAGATGGTGGTTACCAGCTACAGCCGGTGGCCCTCGACCTCCGGTAAACAGCTGGAAAACAACTCGAACGCTTTAGGCCCGGAAAATTATCTCTCCTTTTCATGGGGTCCACTATCCGGCCAGTGCCAAACCTGCTGGGCCCGGTCGATTTGATCAGATTTTATGCGTGGAGATTTGCACGAGCGCCACGTAGCAATGCGAAACTAGAGGCGCTGCTCTGCAGCCCGCCGTTTAGGGCCATGTCTCGAACGTGGTGGGCCCCACTCGTTAATGGCTGAAGATATTTATATTATATAGATATTCACAAATATTAATAGCGATATTTAATCCTACAACGTTTTCCAGGGCGTCTTAAGCGGGTTTAATTTTGGTTAATTTCGTGTAATTTTAATTTATCGTGTCTGAATTTGATGTCGCCGTGCTTGAGACGCCTTTCTAGATCTTTCCTTGTCACCCGGTGACGTGTCAAGTTGTGCACCGTTTGGTTCAAATTTCGAGGCGGTCGAACTGGATTTTCCCCGATTTTATGGAACGTTGAGGCGCCATTCACGGAGTACGTTCATAGTGTACAGCCAGTCGCCATCCGAATCAATTTCCGGTCACTCGGATCCAAATGTTCGGGATCCCCTACATGTCGTCCTATTTTTTTTGTGACGAACGATTTTTTAGATTATTCAAAAAATATATTTATCTTTTCCTAAACGACAGACGGGTGGGGGCTGCATTCTGATTTTTTTTGTAGCTAATTAATGTGGTTTATTTTTTAAAATATCCCATAATTAAAATATTTACGACTATTTATAATAAAAATATATAGGCGTATCAAAGACTTCTTTTATTTATTGTCTACTATATTAATCACTCCAATATTGTCACAAAAAATGATATTTTTTATTCCAATTGACCACGTTATCAAACAATTTTCTATTATTTGCGTGTGCTGGTATCGATTGTCATTAAATTTGGCAATTTTGTTTTTCTCACTTCCAATTAAATATTATCGTTGGAAAGAACTGAGTAATAAATAATTAAATATTATATGCTACAAACTGTATGCACACGTTTTAAACAGTGAACATGACAGCTTATTTAATTTCGGTAATGAATGCCGCACGGAAAAGCATTACAATATTATTTATACGTTAAATCACGAGGGAAGGAAGTGATGATGCGAGGATTATGGGTTATTTATAATAACAGATGGGTTTCAGGGATATTAGCAATGTGATTAAATAAATAGGACTTTTTTGTTGAGTAGTAGAGTCGAATTGATACTTCATTAAAAATAGACTCAAAATAATTGGCGTGGGTACCGCTGCCGAGACCGTTTTCCGGGCTTTTCTTCGGACCCCGCTCGGCCCGGGCATTCCTGTAGCACGGCGTGGTCACCTCATGAGAAGATTATCCGGGCCGAGCTCATCGAATGGATTTACCGGCTCGGCCCGCTTTCAGGCTTTCGAATGGCGAGCTGGTGATAAAAACGTCGCGCCTGAAAAGCTTGAGCAGGAAACCAAGAGAGACGGATTGGGGGTGGGAGAGATGGCGAAGAACGGCGTCTCGATCGGCGAGTACGACGCGTGTAGGAGACGCGATTCCGATGCCCGGCTGTTAGAGGAGCTGCAGAGGTTGGAGAGGAGGATCTTCCCTAAGCACGAGTCCTTGGCGAGGTCCTTCGAGGAGGAGCTGAGGAAGAAGAACACCGGATTGATTTACGCGGCGGAGCTGGTTCCCGGCGGTCGAGGACGGGGAGAGATCGTTGGATACGTCATGTACACGCTTGCCTCTTCTCTCTGCGCCTCCGTCACCAAACTCGCCGGTAACTTCTCATCTGGGACCACGGTTGCCTCGGTGCGGGGTCTTTTTACATTTTCGTATTTGGTGTGCTAAGATTTACAGAAATCATGAAATTATTAGTGTTCTCATCACGCACCATTCCCTATTCCATCTGCAAGTAAGAAATCTAGGTCACGGTCCTCGTTTCTCGGGACCACGTTTTTCTTCATCCGGCACGCATACTTTGAAATTAGTTTCTGTTGTTATTTTTGTGCGAATGGGTTAAGTTGTCTCGAGTGTTGCTCTCGCAAATCAATCCGATCATCACCGACCTTTGAATTTTTGACTTGTCGAAATATTTTGACGATCAACAGTACACAGTGTGAATAATACGGGAATCCGCATGATACATTATTGCATCAACATATGGACATCAAATGTACGAATAATAAAATCCTCACATGCCCATAACTATAAGACGAGCACCAGGCCAAATGCAAAGGTTGGGACTCCAAATTATGTGGCATACACTAAGGTAATTGCCGTTGGTTACTCTAGAGGACGCACTGCTGTCTTTCGCCAGAAAATGTAGGGGTGGATTTTTTTTCTTATAATTGGGAGATCCCCAGTTCTGTAGATGTCGTCAACTAAAGCATACTATGGTAATGATACGAATGCAGCTATTCCAATACCGATTCCATTGAATTTTATTTCCTCGATTCCTGATTCACCTTGGTTACATTCGGCCCATTGGCCTTGGTTCCCATCATTTACTATTTTTATGATCTTGGCCCACATGTTCTACGATCACCAGATGCCAACATTCAGATGTAAACATTCGTAAGGGCAGAACTCCATGTGAAGAACAATTTTTCTATCAATCGACAAGGGCTCTACCTTTTTTTTATCTTCTAATGATTTTACTTGTCAAGTGCAGTAATTTGGATGACATATATGGACCGCATCTAACTCCTCGGCTCTTGTAATGAAATTTGTTGGTGTGTGTTGGGGGGTGGGGGGTGGCGGAGGGGATTGAGTTGAAGAAAAGGATGATTTCATAGCAAAATGATTAAAAAAGTCAACTCCAATTGACATATATGAACAGCTGAATGTTTCTTTTCTGGGGAGATGGGTTTCTTGCATAGTCTAGGATTGCTGAATTTTTCTGCTTCCATTTATATTCTCATTATTCATCGATTTTATTCATCCCGCTCAAAAAGAAATTCTAATGCCATAACACATCTGCTTGAAGTGTGAGCATGCCCCTGCCACTGTTCTTCACTTCTCATTTCTTTCCTCTATATGAAAATGTGGCTCTACTATGAGAGAAAAGGCTCATAACCATGCTCCAAAAATAGCTAAAACTAATCACCCCCCCCACAAACTATGGGTCAGTCTCAGAAAATATTGTAAATATGGTAATCTGAGAGAACAACAATCCTCAGTCATGTTTGGGCACCTTTTCCTTATATTCTTTCTGTTCTCATGCCCCCTTGTCTCCGGTCATGCAGTGAAGGAGAGTTGGAGGCGGCAAGGCCTGGGTGAGGCCCTGCTGAAGGCGGCCATTGAAAAATGCAGAGCCAAGAAGATTCATTGCGTCTCCCTCCACGTTGATCCTGCCAGGACGGCTGCCCTCTCTCTTTACCAGAAGCTCGGATTTCGGATAGATGTACTGATCGAAGGTTATTACTCCTCAGAGCGGCACGCCTACAGAATGTACCTGGATTTCAACCGTTAGTCTTTATAATTTCGGTAGCTCCTCTCTCTCTCTCTCTCTCTCTTTCTCTCTCTCTCTCTCTTCATCTCTCTACATATATATATATATATATATTTATATATATGTGCATACATATATTTATAAATTTCCATAAATACGTAGATTTGTATCGGTTTCCATAAATACGTAGATTTGCATCGATCTATGTATCTGATTCTTTAGGTCTCCCATCCTACCTCCTTCTATCTTTCTGAATCTAATGGTGCTCATAAAGATTTGGCTTCTTGACTAGATTAAAGGCCTCGTGGATAACGCTGCTGACATAGGGCTTGTAGTAGGTTGATGGATGATACATTGACTTGTCCTATCTATGTGTTTGCATGTGTTCGAGCTCATCTCTCTCTGTGTCTGTCTCTCTCTCTACTCCTTCCCTCTCTCCCTCCCTAGAAAGCGAGATGAAGGGGCTCAAGGAAAATTTCGTTTTCACTAGGCAAATTATCCCTTTCTTTCTCCCTTATCCTTATTGTCTGCATGTCCATCTCACTCCCTCCCCCTTTCCTTCTCTCTCTAGATCGGAGATAAGATTTTGACTTTTTGTTTAGATGGAAGGCCTCATGAGTAACTTCACTCTCTCTCTCTCTCTCTCTCTCTCTCTACGTCGACGTGGAAGATTTTGATTTTAGTGTCTGTCCGCCATCTCTTTCTAGAAAGCTGGATGGAAGGCCTTGTGGGCTGAGAGAGAGCGTTTTACTCACAGCTGACTTATATCACAATCATATTGAATTAAAAAAATAAAGAGTGATTATTTTTATAGTAATCCAAACTGCACCGGGTAAGCTGGCGTACTCAATTCTGGCCGAAAAGTGTTTGAACACAGATAAAAATTATTTAAGGGTAAAATGGTAATGAACGCGCAAAGCACGAGCCGCATATTCCGCACGTGGGTCTCGTTGGTTGCACGAGTACTGCCCCCGGGCAAGGGTCAACTTCGCAACATTCACTCTGGTTAGTTCTCCTCTAGATTGTGTCTGTCTCTCTCCTCTGGGGTACAAATAAAGTAGGAGAGAGATTCCTTGCGGAATCCGAACGGATTGAGCGCGCTTGCGCTCGTTGTGATGTGCCGCAGCTCAGCTTACGATCGATGTGCCTCCCTCCGATGGGACATCGGTGAAGATCCGCCGATCGCTGGGTAGTTCAGTTCCCGGGATACAGAGAGAGAGAGAGAGAGAAGGGAGGAGAAGAGGGAGATATGGATGCATGGAGATGGAGAGTTCTACCGCTGGTGTCTGTCCTTCTGGCGGTTCTGTTCCTCTACGTCAGAAGGCCAGATAAGGTTTGGAATGTCTCACTGCGACGCACTCTTCGTGTTCATCTTCTCCCGTAGTATGGTTGGGGAGTCTCGTAGTTGCAAGAATAGTAATTCACTCTGCGTCTAAAGAGCTCTAGATTCTGCACGTACTTCATTTTATGCCAATTTCTTTTCGCAGCCATTACCAAATAGCCAGTGTAGCCTTCTTCCCCATGACCAATACCTGATACGCAGCAAGCGCATCATTACACCAGAGGGAGTGATTGCTGGCTCAGGTTAGTGTCCATTGTTTACTTCAATGTTTCCATCGAATCCCCATGCCACGATAGGGGTTTTCTTTGTGATCTTGGACTCTTTAGTTTACTGCAATGGTGTGCCTATCACGACAATTGTCTGGCTTATCTGTGCAATCCTGCCAGTTGAGGTGAAAGGAGGGATAATCGTTTCGGTCGCTGAAGGAGGGGATCAGTTTTCAGACTACTCACAAGGGTATATACTTGACTACGGAGACGCAGTCGTTATGCCTGGCTTGGTTGACATGTAAGTTAATTCGATCTTTTCCTTTGAAAGGAAGATACTTTGCCGTGGAGAAGTTCTAAATGAGTATCCTTTTTGTGCTTTAGCTGAGAATTTCATTTGTATTATCTGGTCTAAAACGTTCGTCAGTGAAATAGGGCAGTAAGTAGTTCTAAGATTTTTTTAAAATTTTACGACGTTTCCTTTTAATTATTTTTCTGTTTCAATAATTTCTCATCTGGGGTTTATCCTTTCATCATTACAACCGGATATACTAGTTTTATTGAATAAAATAAGACTAATGCCCTCAGCTAGTGAGGCGAAATACATCGTCGGTGAATCAGAGACCTTTTTTTTTGCAGTTAATTATTTCCTTCTTTTACTTGAGCAAGCATAGATATTTCAGCCGTTTCACTTTTGGATGGAGAATGTTTCCAGACTTGGTTGATATCATGCCAGACATTTGGAGAGAAGAGTTTTACACTTAAACGCACGGTTCTTTTCCATTATTCTGCTTTTGATTCCTGATGACCCGTGCGTTTTAAAATATGTAACTGTTTCGCATTTCTAAAAATTGTTAACTTAAATGCAACATATACGTGATTTCAGGAATTCGTTGGATGAAGTACTACTGATTCACATTGAACAAATGCAAGAATTCTTTCTCTCTCTTTTTTTTTTTCCTTGTGGTGTTGACAGTGAATTGTCTAATGCATGCTTCAACTTCAGCCTAATATGGGTACTCACTCCCTAAATAACTTTTATCCTCCGTAATTTTCGTGGTATTTTCGGTATTGTAGCAGAGAAACAGTTCTTTTCTTGGTTCATTGACGTATCGGTCTTTGAATATAGCTCATTAATTTTAACGTTTTTGGGTTTTAGTCACGTACATCTGAATGACCCTGGAAGAACTGAATGGGAAGACTTCACAACTGGGACAAAAGCAGCTGCTGCCGGTATGCATCTTGAGGTCATTTACTATGTTTTAGAGCTAGTTATTATGGATGTGATACTTGCCACAAGAAAGTGGTAATCACAATGAATAACGTATATCCAGGCGTGTCTGATTTGTGAATGTCACCTTGCGTTCTTTACATGATAAATCGTACGCTGGTATGGAGAACCAGAAAGTCAACTCCAAAATTAATTTTATATTGACTATCCATTGAAAACTTATGTGTCCTTGGGCACGTATAAAGTGGTGTATGCCAGTGATTACCTAAAATGAATCGTTTATCTTTTATGCAGATATATAATCTGGATAGTCATGTATTACTTGGTTAAAAAATCCTGCAATCGTCATTAGCAGATGCAAGATGCTTGGGATTGAGTTGAGTAGAAGCAAGCTATGAGGAATTATTTATCACTATGGAACCTTTTTGTCAATATGTTTATAACAAGGTTTTCCTTTAAGGGAATTGAATCTTAAATCGGAAATATGTATCTTGAGATCTAAGTTTAGATTTTTATCTGCATTATTTTAAAGTTGATTTCATTATTTTTTTTATTTCCAATTATTTCGTTTGCTTGGCAGATATTCTGTTTCTTGCATTTCAGCATATGTATACTAAGTACGGATTATAATTTTCTACAGGTGGCATAACAACCTTGATTGACATGCCTCTTAATTGTTTCCCTACGGTAGTATCAGAAGAAACTTTCCGGCTCAAGGTACTGCCACTCTCATTTTAGCATTGATTTTGCAGTACACTTCTGGCGTGACTAATTCCTGTCGTTTCTGTTCACATTAGCTTGAAGCAGCGAGGAACAGACTTCATGTAGACGTTGGTACGAGCTTCAACAATAATAGGAGCCATTGATCATCCATTCACTGAATAACCACATTTAGATGTCTTACAAGAAAACCAAGCAACTCATTATATCTTCTTTCATGTGTAATTGACTTGCTATATATTTTCTTCATTATATTCCAATTTATCTTCAAAAAAACGTAATTTTTTCTGCATTTCAGAATTGGATCCTGTAAACCTTGTTATCTACAGGTTTCTGGGGAGGTCTTGTGCCTGAGAATGCATTCAACAGAAGTGCATTGGAGAGTCTTCTTGATGCTGGTGTTCTTGGTCTCAAGGTAGATTTTTTTGTGGTGAACAGGCTCTCGATAGTCTGTAAGCTTGAAAGGGACTATCTTGGGAATCCAACATAAATGTATTTTTGTTGAGGTTGTCTGATCCACATTAGATTAAGACTCGGTGATTGAAAAAAATTGGTGAATCTAATTTGATAACCAGAGTCGTTCTTTGATAAATGATCACTATGAGTCAGCCTCAATAGAATTTGATCAAAAGAAAATTCTGTCGTTAAGGTGGTGAACTGAACTTTATCATATAATATGCAACCACTATCTTCAAAGTCTTGTTGAATAATCAATTTTAATCTAATTTGTACGAGTCTGACAGAGTCACGTTAAAACTATATTTAGAACAGCTCTTCCAAGTTCTTTTTCGTTTGCTGTACCCTCGGACGTATAAAACAGGATGACAGGAGATGTAACTAAATCCCAAAAGTTAGAACCTACGAGACATAGTAAATTAAACTGGACATTGATGTGGTGTAGTTTAATGTTCCTTTACCAGAGTGAACATTGCCCATTTATGTAGATTGATTCACCTCTGGAAGGTGGGAAGTTCATTTGTAATGCTGTGTGGTTCTCATAAGTTCATTGATGGATAAGGGATTGCCTATATTTCAGATAAAAATGTATATAGTTACCTTTATTTTTTATATATTTTTATTGAGGATATATAATATGATGAATATCGATAGGAATTATTTTTCCTATGGACTGTTGTTTTCACTTTATTAGCTTCAATGCATGTTGTTCTTCTTAGACATTGGAGCCTGTGTCTGACTTTTACCTTGTTTGAAGTCTTTTATGTGCCCCTCAGGAATCGATGACTTCCCAATGACGAATGCGACTCACATCAAGGTGTGCTCCTCTCTTCAATTTTGCGTTTCCCAGTAAATCACATGTGTAGGCTTTTCTTAGGTATACATCTTTTTGAGCTAGTTGCAGTGCTAATCGTCATATTTTTTTATGCAAGTGAACGGTTGAGTTGCTTAATGTCATGTCAATAGTAGTGTTCGAATAGCAAAACAAAAAGAACAATATTCGCTATTTTTTTTCGCTTTTTTTTTTGGTCTTCTTTCCTTATGTTTTGTGCATAATACTCCTGAAGGTGTTTTAAAATTGAAGAAGCGAAAACGGAAAAACATCCAACTTTCGTTGTTTTTTACATTGGTGGCCCTTTTATCATGTTTGATATTTTCCCCTCATTTTCCCTTGTTAATCAAACAGAAGCATTTCAGTTCTCACTTATTTTCCTTGGCCTTGTTACGGTGAGATGATTTTTCATTTTACTTGCTCAGTAAATAATTTTGACTTTGATGCTGAAATGGAAAAACTGCTGGTTTGGAAAGTAATAGCTATGTTCACTATCAATTGGTTCGATAAAGATAAACGCAAACAGTTCATCCTGTACATACAGACCGAACGGAATATTCATATATATAAATTATTTTTTATTTTGGAACGAAAAGTTGGACCACCAGAGCAACTGGCATGGGTTTTTCTATTCGTAAGTAATCATATATATGAATATATTTTTTTTATCTAATCATCATTATGGCTAAGTGTACGCTTTTTTTTCTATGAAAAAAATATGTCCCTCAAAACAAGGGCTTGATCTCTCGCTATTGTCCTCTTAAATATTTCTCTGTTGCTCGTAGGAAGGGTTGCATGTCTTGGCAAAATACAAGAGGCCTTTGCTCGTTCACTCAGAGATTGCACTGGATTCTGAAGGCAGTACAGATAAAGCGTCCCCTCCAGATCCTAGATCTTACTCAACTTATCTTAAGACTAGGCCACCTTCATGGTAAGTCAGCAACCAACATACTTGGGCATATGGAAGAAAACTGCATCCTGATTGTTTCTGTGAGAAATTTGCTGCCTGTATGATAATTCATTCAGTTTCCTGTAGTCTTATCTCTATTCATCATTTTCACAATGTGGTTCCTACACTAATAGGATTTTTTTCGTCCATAAAAATATATAAAATCTGTTGAGAACAATGGTTATTAATGAATGAATACCCTCTACCCTTGTTGGGTGCATTCCAAAAATATCTGCTTTCCTATTCAGGATATGATGCCTCGGGGGAAAGTAAAACATCCAATTGATAAGAGGTTGAATAAAGATTTCTCCGTTCTGAATTGAACCTTTTTAGCATTTTACTAGCTCTGGATATAAACATAAGCCATCTATCTATATCAAAGAGTTTACCAGATGTTTTAAATTTGGAAATAAATAATTAACAATTTAATACTCTCCTTGGTACCAGTGATAAGATTACTGGCCAACGCGACTGCTTTATGCATTTGATTAGCTTTGGCTCATTGGTATTTTATGGGAGAATGTCCTGTGAGGCTCAAGCTACTTGTTATGAAGGTTCTTCTGATTTCTTTCTACAGTGCTCTCCAACCATGTGTCTTGTTTGTGATTTATTTTTGTCTCATGTTCATATGGGAAGGGAAGAAGCAGCTATTAGTGAACTGTACAAAGTGGCTCAAGATACAAGGGTTGGTGGTCGTGCAGAAGGAGCTCATCTTCACATTGTTCATTTATCCGATGCGTGGAAATCACTTGGTATAATCAAGGTATTTGAACACATCTTTTTTTGATTCCTATGTTCAGACTAGGCTTTCCTCAGATAAAAACTGATCTTCCAGGAAGTTTCTCTTGGAGTCAAACAAGCATTGAACAAGCAAGCCCAAGACTTTATTCCATTGCTTTATGACATAATTCTCTTTCCTCCTCTCATGAAAATTCTTTTTTTATCATAGTATTATGGTTTTTACTGTTTATAATATTTACTATACTTATTTTTAATTTTATTCTATATTCATCTCACATGTGGACTTATCATATAAAACATCCTAGGACGTAAGGATGACCTTATTCAATGCATTTTCTTCTCAAATAGAAACCGTAATCACCTTTCGAAGATGGAATGGGGACCGGAGCAAGAAGTTAGCACGAACAAGGGATGAAAATGCTGGTGTAGTTTGTATGTTCAAGAGCAAGACACCACCCTCCTCCATATTTAGGGTACTGTCCTATCAGCAGTTTGGATCATCAGATAATCTTTGAGTCGGGAATAGTCTATTGATATAAAAGCCACCCAGTTCATATCTCCTATAGAATGCTCGGTTTTCATTTTGAGCCGAATTACCTCTTCACAAGTACCTTATCTTGGTGAATATTCTCATCCAAAACCGATGCTCGGCTGCATAATTCTGTATTACGTCTTTTATTCCAAGCATCATATGGTAGACAACCCCAACGCATTATTTTTTCTTTTCAAATCTTTGGGCGGTATGACAGAGTATTGCCTATTTATCGTCAGATGCCATAATTCTACTCTAAATCAACTCTTTTTTTTTTTTGTTCTTTCTGAAGGAAGCAAAGGAAAGTGGTGCTAGCCTAAGTGTTGAAACATGCCCTCACTACTTGGCATTTTCGGCGGAGCAAATAAAGGATGGGGATACACGCTTCAAGTGTGCCCCTCCTATTCGAGATGAAGTGAATAGGAACAAGCTACGGCAAGCATTGATGGTATTTAACGTTTCGATGATAACCTTTTATTTATTTTTTATTATTTGTTCCCAAGTGCCTGATTTTTAATTTTTTTTTCAGGATGGACATATTGATTTGCTTAGTTCTGATCATTCGCCTAGCGCTCCAGAGCTCAAGCTTTTCGATCAGGGCGATTTTCTTAGGGCGTGGGGTGGGATTTCCTCGTTGCAGGTAAACACTAATCAAGAGAAGAACTCTCTTCTTCTATTGAATCTCATGCTAGCTTATAATGTGCGGTCCGATGGGGACATGAATCATGCTCATATTTACGTTTATTTATTTAAAATTAGGCTGGGAAGCCTTTTTTGAGAAAAACCCTTGATTTAGAGTGGCCAGCGTGATTTCTTTTGAAACCAGAATAACAAATTAAGTTTTAAAAAAAATCTGTCTCCGGTATATTTATGGAAAACTATGTTATTTAATCTGCGATAGATCTCATTCCTGTGTAATTATTGAATGCTCACTGTATTCTGTCTTCTTTGTTTCAAAGCTAGTGATTATAAAATGTGATCATCCGAGAGCATAACGGATTCTCTGCCATTATCAATCAAGATATTGTAATATCTAGAGAATCAGAAAAAAATAAATATTCTTCTGCGATTTATTTTAATTTGTGGAAAGAAACTAATGGGCATGAAATATTGTACTGTAGTTTGACTTGCCAGTGACCTGGTCGTATGGGAAAAGCTTTGGAGTTACTCTGAATCAGTTAGCTACATGGTGGAGTGAGAGGCCGGCAAAGCTTGCAGGCCAAGAACTAAAGGTGCTGTCTGTGATTATTTTTAAATTATTTTCTTACATGATTTTTTTTTTTTTAATCATGGGTTATTTTATTATAAGACCCTGGGAACCAACTGAATTATCGACAAGTTCCTCTATTTTTGAATTAAACTTCTAGGTCCTTGAAAGCTATCATACTCTTATTTTTCTAGCCTCTTCTGTCTAAATCATGACGCTATTATGCAAAAAGACTAAGCTCCCTTCATGATTACCCTCTCTCTCTCTATCTATATATATATATATCTTTCTCTCTCATCCATGGCCCTTTGCGGCCATCTCCCTTGTTACACCACCGAAAAAGAGGGGTCCCTGAGGCCCTTTAGATCAGATTATTGTTTATCAGTAGTATATTCGCAGACCTGAAAGTAATCGATGCATGCGATATAAAGAAAGCGACAACAAATTGCTGACAGATCAGGAAAGGTTACACGATGCCTGACCCATAAATGTTTCAATTCAGGGGGCCATCTCTGGAGGAAAACACGCCGACATCGTCGTGTGGGATCCTGACGAGGAATTCGAGCTCAACGAAAATTACACCACGTACCTCAAGCACCCTGTATGTTGTGCACTGCATTCCGTCTTCGCTCACCAAACTGTTGAGTTCATCTTGACGAATGGGCATCCTCCGTCCTAACAGCGTGGTTCTTCATGCATATTATTTCTTTTCTTGCCATGATTGGGCTTGAATGTGCCTGCAGCTTCGAAAGAACATCGGCTTATGCTTTGAGGCATTAGTTCTTCACCGGCTGTTCATCAACTTTGGGAAAAAATAGAATAACTATGTATATTTTTTTTATTTTTCTACAGAATATCTCAGCTTACATGGGCACGAGATTGTCTGGAAAGGTCATGGCAACCTTTGTGAGAGGCAACCTTGTGTACAGCGACGGTAAACTCGCTCCAGCGGCCTGTGGAGTTCCCATCCTGGCGAAGCAGTAATGTGGGTAAGTTGAATTTATGAATCTTGCACAAAAAATAGCCTTGGAATGAAATCCTCGGCATAGATCTTGTGGGAAAATCAATGACCCGGCCCGGAGCACGTCTTTCGCACCAAATGACAAGGCCCGGTGCTTCATGAGAGCCCATCTAAGAGAGAGAGAGAGAGAGAGAGAGAGAGAGAGAGAGAGAGAGAGAGAGAGAAACTATCATTTGGTGGGAAAGACGGGCTCCTGGCTTACCCCGTGCATTGGGAACCCTAATAGATCCTGACTAGCACTGGAATCCCCAAGGGGTCGTAATTTTGATGTACCATGCACCATCCTTCAGCTCATCAAATCTCGATCCCTTCTATTTCATGCAGATCGGAGGTGGGATCGCTAGGGAGGGATGCTGAAGCTGGCCTCGTGGTCCCCGCGACGACTTTGGTTAATGTCAATCCACTGTCTTTTGTCTTTGAAGGATTATGTGCCATAAACTCAGAAGAATTTCACAATAAATGTGATAATAACCATAATAAGAGATGGATCTAAGCAAATGTCAAAGATGTGAAGTGAAACTAATTACTAATCATAATTAGTAAACTACTGAAAATGTCAAACTTGATTTTGGGTTCAAAGATTTGGGAGAGATCGACTCAGTTGTGAAGTGAACCAACGAGTGTTATATGTCCGTACGGGCACTTGAATGGAGAACTGACCAACGGGCAAAAACCCAGACGGCATCGGAATGAGTAGATGCAGAAAAAAGCGTGGACGGCAGGATTCGAACCTGCGCGGGCAGAGCCCACATGATTTCTAGTCATGCCCGATAACCACTCCGGCACGTCCACTTTGACACTAGGGGATTAGAAAATCTAAAATTGTCTTAGAAAAGTGTGACGTTTAGAAAATGAATTCACACGTTGATTTTCACTACTTTACAATATTGATGGTGGTTTTGTCTTCATTTTCCTAGTTTATCAGGTTGAGATATTTTCTTCATGAGAATCTTCATGTAAAGTCAAACAATTATTTTCATTAAAATAAGAAAAACACAAGATGGCATGCTCGGTCCAAAATTTTCGTGCAATTTCTCAAAGGATAAATTCGTAATAATTTCATTGTATTCTTATTCAAGTACCATGTTTTTGGTAATATAAATTATCTCACCCTTGAAGAAAATATGTTAACATAACGAAATGATTTGTCTCTAAAAGTCAAATAATTTTGCTCATCAATATACTATCAAAGAAATGGATCACATCCCATCTCCATTCAAGCATGTCTCCTCACTACCCCATTAAACTTACCAAATCTATATATTTGAACATGTACACAATACACATTAATCTCAAATCTATTTTTTTTAAAGATTATTTTATCTTAATAATATTAATTTTATTATAACTAGAGATCAATGGCAAAAATTAAAAACTAATGACATATGTCGTATCACATTTTAGAGCTAGTTTTATTGATTTCTATCTAGATCTAAATTAACAAGTTACACCAGTATGGAAGATCAAAGTTAGTCTCAAATTCACTTAACAAAAAAAAAGAATATCATCAAATCTAAAAAATTAGAATTTGAACACAAAATCAACAAATCATCATCCTATAAGCATACTATCACGCTTACAAATTTGAAATTTAATCATATATAATGATTATATTCATCTAACTCATTATAAATTGATTATTTTCAATTGAAAGAACTCTATTCGTTTAGAAGGTATCTAAGCATTGTGGGATCTATTAATTAGTCAACTTAAATGTAATTTCATTTTTTTTATAGTTTAATTGAAAATATTTTCATGATATATCACATAAAAATCAGAAAATTCCATAATAGACTTTCAATTGATAGATTAATACATATATATAAGTTGAATTTGTATATATTTAATCATCATGCGTTTTACATTTAATAGAAAATCTCAGATATGAAGTATAAATATTTCTTGTTTTATTAAGAAATAGTGATAAAGAATGATGCTTCTCATAATTTATGGTTAAACTATATTGGCTAAGCATTGAAATAATCTTATAGTTACGTGGTTTCCTAAATTCGATCATTTTATGAAAAATAGTTAAATTCATTATGTGCTTATTCTCCACATTATTTGAAGGCTAATCTCTAAAAGGATTTTCTACATATTTTTAAACTACAACATATTATTTTCAAAGAAATCATCAGTAGAAGTAATAAATTAGCACATCTCACTTATATTTTAGCTAAATAAACTTGATTCAATAGGGCCTAATGTGTTATATGTTATTTAAATATTATTTAAAATATTTTATACATAACTTGGATAGGTGATGTATCACATAATTCTTTAGTCTTAATGTTTTTTTTAGAGAAACTAAACAATTCTCAACATTTTACCCACCCATGTTATTTTTATTTACATGATGTAATACAACCACATAAATCAAGAATAATGTTGTGATGAATGTCATTATTAGTATAATTTGGAGAGGCACAAACATAGCTTTTTCTATTGAGGTTTTTAAATTTAGTAACTAGACTTACATAAAAGCTAGAGGTAACATAACTTAAAAAGTAGACTCAATTATTATAATCTTAGGACCACGTTATACATTGTGGAGATTGATGATGCTCTATGGTGGGGATCTTTTGTCATATGCTACACTCTTTAGATGTACTTTTGTTCCATATATTCTCTCTCTTCTTAATGACAAATTCACAAACACCTATTTGTTGGTTTAAGGAAACAAACAAGAACTTTTGTTCAGAATTTAATGACTCAACCTTGTGATCAAAGTTTTCCCTTGTTATCCAGATTTTTGATTTTGTAAAGAGCAAGGATTGAAAAACTTGTGGGTGACAAAAGGTGTCTAGATGAGAAGGGAAGAGGTATGAATGCACTTGCTCCTGTGCAACAAAGAAAAAGCTAATCTTATTCATTATGAAGAAATATTATAGTCTTAATGCCATATGTTCAAAGATGAGATAACTAGTGCAATAAGCACATGAAATTGACTATATACGGGTGACCACTATTTATTGTTATCAATATAGTTAATCTAGCCAAGATGATCTAGATAACTTTTTATTGATTTGAGAAAGGTAAGGCACGAATGTAAACATAATTTTTCACATAATAAACATATAGATAATAAGTAGATTGTTTGACTCTCAACCTCCATCAACTATCCCTAGAACTTTTAGACTCATTTTGGTTACAGTATCTCATTGAATATTATTACATCAATTAAATACTCATGAATATAGCCACTAGATAATTGACCACACTATCAACAACAATAGGTTTTACAAAACTAGAAATTATGTTGCTTCTGAAAAAATCACCTCACTAACTTGCTTACCTCTAGAGCACTGAAAAAAGATTCTTAGAGTGTCGCTGTTCTAGTTGTGTTAGGACTATTTGCCACTGGAGAACTCATATTATTGCCAAACCTTGAGTGGAAATGTATTTTCTGATTTAGCTCATGATACCAACATGAAAAATGTATAGTTAAAAAGTACTAATACAACACAAAATCACTATTATGTTGATTAATTATGATTCAACATTTTCTAATGACTAGCATCTTGTGATTTTATACACTTAGGTTATAAGGGCTACATTATTCTCATATGGTTACAAATGGATTGCATAAGAGTTTTGCATGATATATCACACTTGAAAATAACCTTGAGAAAATACACATTAATCTTCTAAGTTAAAATATACATTCAATATTTGATTTCTTTATTGCATTGTATCTGCCTTCAAACTAGGTTTCTAAGAAGTATATATATAGATATACATAAACATATATTTGTGATAGAATTTGAAGTATAAACATAAATGTAAAAAGTTGTGTCAATTCTGTACTTAAAAATGTTTAGAATGAATAAAAATATTTGAATTTAGATGATATAGTATACCATGAGATAATGCAAAACATCAATGAACATATTATACGAGAATGAAAAAGTTAGTATGTCACATAATAAGATAATATATGAGCACAGCTAATGTAATATACTAGTGAATGCATCATATGAACATAAATGATTGTAATGAGTGCAATATATCTATGAACACAACATATAAATGGATATATCACAACATGTCATGTTATAGATAATTCAGTGCATCAATAAACATACCATATAAACACATATAATGCACTATATGACTATAGATAATGTAATATACTAATAAATACTATATGTGAATCAATATTAAAATGTATATTATTGCATTTTATAAGTGAAAATAACATGTAAACACAATTCATGCATTAGACGAATGATGATAACATGGTATATTGTAAACATTCACTGTGATTACATAGTGAATGATGTTGTTAACAATGTAATGTGAACACAAAAAATATATAAATACTATTTCTATTGCTACAAGATATCACTAATGCCAATATCATGATTATAGGATAGGATACAATTCATTAAATATCAATAAGAGACTAGATGATTACATCTTGTCACTAGGAAACTAGTATACTACAACATTCCTTCAAGCATTTGATACTAGCAAACATGGATATCTTTAACAATTGTTAAACCAAACCAAAATCAACCTATCATAGAACTAAAGTCCTTAATCACAATATCAAAATTTTGATTTATTAAATATTTTTTCCCATGTTTATAATTTCTCCAAGAAAACATGATAATTATTAATTTAATTTAAATATTTGATGTTCTTCTTATCTTGTTCCTTGTGTGATCATTCAATCTTAAAGGCTTGGAATAAGTCATAGACATCAACTCTTGGCAATGAAGTGATCAATAAAAAATAAGAGTAATAGTAATTTTCAATTAACATAGTTAGTTGAGAAATTTTCTAAAGTTGAATTCCTACACAACATAAAGATGTGTTATATATCCTTCCCAATATGTGCAATAAATCTAAAAAATAAAACCATCATACAAAGCTCACTACTTTACTACTAATGAACGCAGTGAGAAGATGTCAAATCAGTTTTTGACCAGCACTAAACATGATTCGTGTGCATTCCAAA